TCTCCCAGGTGCAAACACACAAAGCAGCTCCTTTTACTCCTCAATCTGTCCACCACAGTTCTCCCCTTTTCCCTCACTGGGCAAGGTACTAGGAGGTTACAGTCTTTCCATCCGCCTAGTTCATATTCCCTGTCTCATGCATTTACATACATCTACATAGATCACGTGTGCATTCTAATTAGCCCATTATCTATTCAGGGTGTATGAGTTATTATTCATCAACCTATTATGCCTGCGTGCTTATAACTACAAGTTCAGTAATTCACTCCTCTCTAACTTCACCTAGCCCTACGACCGCCTATCTCATAAAACTTCTGGGAGGATGAGCTAGGAAGTAGCACACTTTCTTTCAAGCCAATTATCTTTTTCTCCCCTCCATATGCCTTCAGACAGGCTTCATGACTTGGGTATTGGCTTCTCTGTTTCTCAATCACTGTGTTACTTTCTTCAGTGGCTTCCTGTTTTCCAGTAGTGCTCATAGGCTTGGAGACTGGCTGCAAGTGGGTAGAAATGGTTTGGGGACTTGGAAAAGAGCTTCTTTTCCCTTTCCCTTCTCCTGGAACCTTGTATAGCACAAGAAGAGGAATTTACATTTGGGCATGCATACATCCTGCTCTTAGACATTTGTTAAGAGGTACTACAGACTTGGAAAAGCCAGTTTCCTCTTCCCTGCCGCTAGCTCAGTTTCCTTTCCATCCCATCTGTGGTTCACAGGTGTTTGTCAAGTCTGAGGTTATTAGAATTGACTGTTCAAGAGGATAATGGAGACGTGTAGAAAAATGCTGCATTGTGCAAAGCACAGCCAAGCCTTCTTTTTGGAATCTGCATTCTGTCCTGACCAGCTCAGTCACTCAGCTTTCCATGTAAACTGAGGATCCTCACTGGGTAACCTTGGATGGTTTTTTCACTATCCTGTAAGTTTTTTTTTTTTTTTCCTTCTAAAGACGTTTTATCTTAGAAAACCTTTTGTCTTCTGAAAACCTGGAGTCCCCTGAACATGCTGATACTTCACCTTTGTGAATGAATGTTGCTGTTTGAATGAATGTAATATGGGCATACAGCAGGCTTCCCTAACTTGGTGGCCTCCAGATATTTTGGACTTCAAATCTCATCAGCACCTCCTAGTATGACCAGTGGTCAGAAATGCTGGAAGCTGTAGCATGAAACAACTGGAGGCACCATTTTGGTGAAGGCTGGCATATACAATGATATTAATGATTACAGAATGCCATTACACATAGTTATTTTAAGTTATTATGATTATAGCCAAAGCCTTTGCTTGAATACCTGTAAATCCTGCTGAGTTCAATGGAGCCTTACTCTGAGGGTAATGTGCTGTAGTCTTACCACTTTAAATGAACATAAAAAGGAATCTAGGTGAGATCTGGGAAATTACAGGCTGGTAAGTTTAACCTCTATTTTGGATAATTTGACTAGACGTATTATTAAAGACAGAACTAGTAAATTTATAGAAGGATAAGCTTTGTTGAAAAAGAATCAACATGGCCTCTGCAAAAATAAGTCATGTCTCAATAACCTATCATTTTTTTCTGAGAGTGTAAGTAAACATAGGGACAGGGTCAGCTGCTAAATGTTGCTTTCTTAGACTTCCAAAAGGTTTTTGACAAGTCTCTCACCAAAATTTCCTGGGCAAACATAGCGGGCATGGAATAAGAGGGGAGGTCTTCTTGTAGATAAATAACTGGTTAAAGAATAGAAAGCAGAGAGTGGGATATATGGTAAGGCTCCACAAGGATCTGTATTAGGACCAATGCTGTTCTAGTTGTTCATAAATGAATTGAAATTAGGAGTGAGCAATGAAGTGGCCCTGTTTTCTAATGACAATGAATTATTTAGGTTGGCTAAAACCAAAAAGGATTGTGAGAAGTTCCAACTGGGATAATGGGCATTGTAATGGCAAATGTAAAACAAAGTGCATTGGGGCAAAAATCTCAACTTCAAGTATAAATTGCTGGAAACTGAGCTGGCCATGATTGACTAAGAAAGGGATCTTGGGTTCATAGTGAAGTGCTCCATGAAAATATTGCTCCCATGCATGACTGCTATGAAAAATTAGAGAGACCTAGTGTGGTGTAGTGGTTAAGAGCACAAGACTGGGACTCAGGTGACCTGGGTCCTAGTCCCCAATCAGGTGTGGAGACAACTGGGTGACTTTGGGCCAGTCACAGACTCTCAGCCCAACCTACCTCACAGGTTCGTTGTTGTGGGGAAAAAACTGAGAACAGGAGAAGGAGAATATTGCAATCTGCTTTGATCTTCTATTTATTTATTTAAGATATTTGTATGCCATCCTTTGCGAAAGCCTCAGGATGGCTTACATAAATAAAATACCTGTACTTAAAAGTATAACATAATGACCCACTCTGGCTGCAATTAAAATATGGTAATAAAATACAATATTAAAACTTGTTAAATTATTGATTAAATAAAAAGGTCTTAAACCTGGTGCCGAAAAACATATAATGACAGCACCAGGTGGACCTCTCTGGGGAGCACATTCCGTAGATGGGGCACCACCGCAGAGAAGGCCCTCCTCCGGGTACTCTGTCTCCTAATATCTTTCACAGATGGTTCCCGGAGGAGGGCTTCTGCTGCTGATCTCAGGGGGCGGGAGGGCAAATAGGGAAGAAGGCATTCCTTTAGGTATCCTGGTCCCAAGCCGTTTAGGACCTCCATCTTCTATGGAGGTCCTTATCCAAGAACCATCCCCTAAAGAAGGGGAGACACAAGTTAGGAGAAGAGCCTTCTCTGTGGTTTTACCCCATCTCTGAACATGGTCTTCAAGGAGGTGCATCTGGAGCCATCTTTTTTGCTTTCCAGCACCAATAGTGCTCATAGGCTTGGTTTTTATTTACAAGATGTTTTAACAAATAGATTGGTTTTAATATCATTTTATTTGATATTTATTTAATATCATTTTATTTGAATTGCTTTATGCCACTTATTTTTCTTAATCACCAGGAGTTGCCAAGCTGTTGTATTTGGTTTTAATTGTTTTGAATTGTTTTTATTGTTCTATATTTTTACTTGTAAACCTCCCAGAGGCTATGTGGGCAGCATAAAAATGTAAAAAATAAATAGGCAAACGCCAAGATCATCCTCTTAATGGTGCAACCACACTTAAAATATTTTGTACTGTTCTGGTCACCGCATCTAAAACATTATATTGTAGAGTTGGAAAAAGTACAGAAAAGAGCAAGTATAAAATCATCAAAGAGTTGGAGCAACTTTCCTATGAGGTAAGGGGAAACACTGTTGAAGGGTAAAGAATTATGCATGATACAAAAGAAATAGGTAAGAAGAAATGTTTTATCTAACTTAATACTAGATCCTGGGTGATTAGATAAAACTGATTAGTGAGAGATTCAAGACAGAAAAAAGGAAGCACAGGAGGAGGTTAAGCTATGGAATTCACTTCCACAGTAAGTAGTGATGGCCACTAATTGGATGGCTTTAAAAGGGGTGGCTTTATATCCAGTATCAGAGGCAATATGCCTACCCACCCCAGTAGCCTGGGCAGGAGGGCTCTGTTGTTTATGGGATTGTCTATCTGATTGGCCACTGTGTGAACAGAATGCTGGAGTAGATGGAAATTAGGCCTGATCCAGCATGGCTCGTCTTATTCTCTTAACTCTTTAAAAGCATGATAAAATGTACCATTCGGCTTTCGGTCTCAATTGCATTACATATATGGTTTGTTCCTGTGCCTTTAAAAAACCCTCAGCACTGATAGAGATGATCTTGAAGCTTATAGGCTTCAAAGTCCAGCTAATACATGGGTTTATTTTAAATTAGGGGAGGGTATTAATCCCAGCTGCCAGATTGCCCTCTGCAATTAACCTGGGGGGGGGGCAGGTTAGATGATGCTAAGGAGAAGCTTAAGGGCTTGGTCCAAACTTCTTCATACACAGAGACGTGGACCTCTATGCCTTTCCTTTCACAAAAAAAGAGGCTCAGCCAGCACATGGAAGCATGGTCCTTGCACCTATTTCACAAGCCATTTGTCTTCATTGAATACCAAGGCAGCTTCATTCTTCCTGCACCTTGGTCAAATGAGGAAAGTTGAGGAAGCAAAGAAGTACCTTCAAGGAGTGCTCCCTGAAAGCTGCAACTCAGTCCTGATGTTGCTTTCTCCCCTTTCCAGATCTGAAAAAGGATCTGCAGGCTGGACATTCTCCATCTTAAGTAAAGGCATTCCTTCCAAACAGAAGTAGTGTGTTAATGTTAAGATGCTACAGGTTTTACCTTCATCCCTAATGCTGGAAATTTTGAGAAATATACTTTAAACATTCAGGAAGTGTAAAATAATTCTTAAATACTAAAATATACAGACTGCATATGGTATTACTGAAATAAAGCATTTTGTTTGATAATATGCTGTTACACGTGCTTCCATTTTCTTTTTTTCAGAAATATTCCCCCCTTTCCCCGAGAATGGGTTTGGGCGGCAGTGATTTGGGGGGAAAGGTGCAACGACGGCGGGGTGGTATGGAGGTCGGCCATGGGCGTATCAATTCCTTGCTTGGGGGAAAACCCGCTCCCGCTGCCTTGTTTGCCTAGCTTCATGAAAAGGTTTTTTCCTTCAGTTCTGTCTGGAGGGCGCTGTTAAAAAAATAAGTGTGACGAGGTTCGGAGGCCTGAATGCCGGGGCTGCGATGTGCCCCAAACGCGTAGGAAAAGCTGGCACCACGCTGTTGCAGGACTCTTTGGATGATCAGTCGGAGACGGGCTACTCCGCGCGTTATGGCTGGAATTCGTCAACCTCTCGGTCATGGGGAACGGAGAAAGGCAGCGCCGATTCTGAACCGACAGGAAGCCTGAAACAAAAAGGTGAGGAACCCCGCCCGCCCGTGCTCCAAAATCTGCCAGCCCTTTTAAGGACGTGGGTCTCAGGCAGCACTGGGTGCCGCACCCTCCAGCTGGAAGCACCACCGGGCGGAACTGCGCCAGGACGGAGGAACTGAGATCACGCCTTTTGGGTAATGCCAGGCATCGCCGGAGCCCGCTTACCGAAGCTGCCTAATAGATTTCTGGCAGCGGTCAAAACCCCTCCCGACCATGTCCGCTATAACCCTGACGTAAGGATTCCTCTTCGCCTTCCAGCTAATCAGGATTTGCCAAAGCTGCCTTTAGCCAATGAGAATTAAGAGGCTGGCCACCTTTGCCTTATAAATTAGCAGGAGGAGGCAGCCCGCTTAGCAAATTTGTCTTTTTGGTAGGGTGCTTGCAGTGCTTATAGCAAGTGGGTTTTCTTCTGAGCCGTTGCAGGTAAGTGGCTGTCCGTGCGGCGTTGTTAGTAGTTAAGTTTTTTGTATTAGCTTGCGTGCTCTTGCCGACAGAATACCCGTCGAGAGGTCTAGGAGGGTGCCTTGCTGCGGGGAAGCGAACTGCGAGGGCTGTTTTGCTGTGCAGCGTGTCTGAGGGTACTGCTTTTGTGGGGAGCGTAGCAGAAACCAGAGAACAGGGTTGCTTTTTCGACCGCCATGGTGGGGAATAGGTAGCATTTCAGCCATAGCTGTGACTTTAGGAGAAGCGCCGGCAGCGGTTCTGGGCGAGTATAAAGAACGGAACGTTTCCGCTAAATTCTGTAGAGGGCGCAAGAAGGCGAGGGCGCGAACTCAGCACTGCCACGAGTTGTGCAAGGTAAAGCTTTTTCGAGGCTCACGCTCTTGGAGAGGATTCCGGACCGCTTCCAGTTGCGGTCTTTTTTCCGCCGAAGCCCCTTTCAAGCTTGCGCTTGTCCCGGGAGAAGGGTGGGGCCGCTGGCAGCGCCCCCAGCGGCCGCCTGGGTTTAGTAAGTCTGGCAACATCAGAGCTGGTGCAGCGCGGGGCTTGAGAAGAGGCCTGCGACGGACTGGCAGTAAGGCGTCCTGCCCATCCTTCTCTGCAGAGGGCAGTGGAAAGCTCTAACTGCGCCTTGCCTGATGGAACACGACTCGCCCTGCCCCGAAGCATGTCTACGGAGAAGCGAGTCTCACTGCACTTGAGGCTTCCTTCTTGCCAGACTTGAAAGGTGTGGCTCTGAGGGGAAGCTTTGAATGGGGGCGGCTGGCGCTCTCCTCCCTTCTCCTCCCTTCCCCGCCAGGCTGCCAGTTCACTTCCACTACTTCCTTAACGGTTTCGGAGGGCCCAGCTTCCCAACACGATTCGTTAACCACGTGGCCGTTCAGCAGCAACGGCAGCTGCGTCAGCGGTCGACGCCTTTCTGGCGCGCTCGGCCCCGCATAATTTCGCGTGCCTTCCGTTGTGTTTTTCCACCAAGTAGCTGGGTGGGTTGTGTACGTAGGCGTTTGAACTTAAGCATTAGAAGAAGGGGGAGTATGCTGCGGAAGAGAAAATATTTGATCATATTATGAATTCTTTAGTATGACGAAGTATAGTGGTGCATCAAGATATTGTAGTGCAATTATGTGGGATCCAAAATTGGGATTTGTCAGGGCAGTTGACATTCTACTGTCAAAACCCCCCATTCTCCTGCGAAAGGACAGAAAGATTTCCTGAAAAGGTGGAATGCATTCTTGCAGGTTCTAGAGTAACTAGAGTGAAAAAACGAGGCAATGTGGGTGAAATAGTCAAGGTTCTTACCTCAGTGTATAAGTTACCCATGATGGATTAGCATATCAGTCAGAGGAAGTTAATGAGAATTAAGGAATTCTGAGTCCAGGAATTGGTTTTGAATATTTGAATTGAGTGGAGGTGATAATTTTGTTTGCACAGAAATCTATTCCTCTTTACTATAAGTTATTCATTTCTATAGCATAATTTAAGGTAATGGAAGGTCAACTTTTCTTGTTGCTAAATCAGAAATTCTTAATTATACTCCCAAAAGCCATCCTATGCTTTGCTATTCAGCAGCAAATGGGAGGAGGAGGATCTAGGGTTGTGTTGAACAAGCCACACCTGGAGCTCAAAATGTAAATGAAGTATTGGAACATAGAACCTCAAACTTCTAAGGGTTGACAACTAAAAGTAAGTTGTACTGTGTGGTGATGTTGCTGTTAAAAATTCTAAAGCTAATTTTTAATATGTCCTGTCCTCGCCCTTTCACAATCAAGCCCCATTTTGCACTTGAGCTTAATACAAATTTTTGCCTGGTAAAATGTGTACTGGTTTGGAATTGTAGCTTAGGTTTGCTCTTCTGGTGGAAGAGTGCAAGAACAATTAGAATGGATATATTGGCAAAATAAAACAAGTGAAAATAATTATTGATTGAAATGTTAAAGATGCATGCCCATCAGTTGATTTTTAAACTATACTACTTCCTGAGGTTTTATTGAATTTGTTCATAAATGCCAGAATGCAGCCCCCTTGGAAAAAAAAATCTTAGTCATCACTTGTGCGTATTCATGAACGGTTTACAGTTAATAATTGTAATAAGTGGCCAGAATTTTTTTTTATTAAACAAGCCCTTCCCAGGGTACAATGGATGGATGGATGGCACTTCTCCAGATGTATGACTGTAACTTCTATCCAGCTCAGTCCATACAGTCAGTGAGGATTCATGGAAGTTGCAGTCCAACAACATGTGGAATGGCACAAGTTGCTCATTCCTACTGTGAACCCTGCAGTCCTGTCCTCCTCCTCCCTGATGGATTTATCAGATAAGAATAGGTGTCCTGAGTGCTTCCATGTCACTGCCTCCTGGGTCAGACCTAACTGGTTCTGTGTTTTCATCAAGTGAGTTTACTCAAGGCATTTTTGCAACTGAATCCGAAAGTTAAACACTAATAGAAGGTGGTGTCAAGCAGGTGTTACCCAGTTTCAGGCTTGACCATTGCTAAATTAGACTAAGGTATTTATTTAAAATTTGGTTTCTTCCTGCTAATAAATTTGGTGCTGGGGAAAAATGCCAGAACAGCAAGTGATTTGTCAATAACATAGCCCCCAAGTGGATGGCATTCCTAGTGAATTATTTTAGGAAAAATCTGGGAGTAAAGTAGACCTACAATACGGGTTTTATTTTTGTAATGTGAGCTCCTGTTACTCCTGGGTGGAAATGAAACGTGGTGTTACCTTTTATGTGTAGTATTTGCCCTAAATGTCTTAGACATCACCATTATTATACTGCATTTATAAGCTGCCTTTTTTCTCTCGCAAGGAACCCAAACTGGTTTACCTGGTTTTCCTCCACTTCATTTTATCCATGAAGTTGGAGTGTCCCCAGCTTGAATTCTGACTTTCTCACCTCTTTCCTTTCAGCTTGTCACTTGGCTTTTTTTCCCTCTTTCTTAGCTCCCACTTTCCTTCTTAAAAAAATCCCTCCCCAAAATTTCCAAGCACACTTTCCCTCCCAGCCACCTGCTAACCCCACTCCTACCTGAGAACCCTCAACTGCTGTGCAGTTTCCCTTTTCCACTTCATCTAGTTCCCCCTGCTTATTGGGAAAGAAAGCCTTTCTTCTTCTTTTCTTTTCTTTTTCTAGACGGTTGGTTTGCTATCTCTTAAACTTGTTGGATGCCTTGGGAGATACTAAAGGAGACATATAGGGAGACACATAATACCAAATCAAAACATCTTGCTGCTTTTTAGGTTAAAGAAGAAAAATCAAGATGAAGTGTTTCTTTATCACAGCTTTGATGAGCATTTTCATTCTGGCTTTCTTCAGCCATTCTGGTAAGTATTGGAGTGCTGCAGTAAAATGCTGCAAAACCAGAGCAAGGGGCTTAGAAAAGCATGGAGGAAGTGGTAGCTTGTACTCCTTGGACTGATTAGTGCAGGTTGTAAAGTAGGTGGTGATTCTTTCTAATGGTGGCTAAGGGTGATAAGCATGGAGTCTGGATGACTAGATAATTGAAGAAGAACCTTATTCTGTGTGTTAGAAGCAATTCTTCTAGAATACATTGGGGTTTTCCCTTGAATTGGAAGGTCAACAAGCAGTTAGTGGAAAAGAAAAAACTGTCCCAGTTCTTCTGTACCAGTGGGTCTTCAAATACTTTAGCACCAATGAAGAACCAAGTCACCAAAAGTGGCTCCCACTGTGCTGGGTTACTACATGAAAGAGTCTTTGTATGGTTCACAACTTGGCTCTGAGAATGGGATGCATTTGACATAATGCACACACTCACAATAGTGCTGGCAATGTAGAAGACAGTAAGAGCCTTCCATGGTTTTGGTCATATAGCTTGATTGATCTGGCTATGGCCTTCTGAGTGTAGAATCTCCTTATATAAAATCATGTTTCTTCTTTGGCTTCCTGGGAACATCTTGAGTGAGAACCCAACTAGGTAAGGCCCCCCTTAAGCCCAGCTGCCAGGCTTAATCTTCTCAGACTAGGCTAGAACAGCTCACTGGCTTAGCAATATTTACTGGAGAATCCTCTGTTCTTGATCTAGCCTCACCATTCTTCAGACTCGCCAACTAGATTTTGTAGCTCAGCTGAGTTGCATGATTGCATCAGATCTAACAGGGCAGGATAGTCTGCTTAAACTAATGTAGGATACATTTTAATAATTAGTGGTTCAATATTGCCGTTCAAGGTATTTACAAGGAATTCAGTTTCATTTTGGAAGACTGCATTTAGATAACCTGCTTTTTTCCCCCTTTCATTTAGGAAGTGCCCTAAAATGCTTTAAGTGTGATTCCAGCCCATGTTCACAAAATGTGACATGCCAAGGAAATGAAGATCGCTGCATGGTGGTTTATCTTGGTGAACGTGGTATGTAACCTCACTTAGACTTACCTCAAGTAAAACTTAAGTACTTACTTGATAGTCTTCCTAAAGGGAGATAGTTGTACAGTGTCTATAAGACCACCCACTCTGGATTAGACCAGAAGTCTATCTAGCCCAACTTTCTGTTTGATCAGTGGCCTAGGAAAAACCCACAAACAGGACATGAATGCAACAGCATCTTCCTGCTGGTGTGTCCCAGCAATTGATGCACAAAATCCTTTAATAGTAATATGTAGTCATCAGGACTAGTAGGCATTGATAGCATTCTCCTCCAGGCATTTGTCCAATCCCCCTTTAAAGGCATTTAGAATGATGGCCAATTGTGTTTATATTTGTCTTTATATATTTCCCAAAATATTTTGAAATAATGACTTTTGGTATACAGCTAAATGTGTTATCCAGGACCTAAGATGTAGAATTCATTTGGGAAGAGAATACTGGGATCTGTGTAGTCTTCCAAGTGTGTTTTATTGGGTTTGTTTTCAAAACCCTATTCAAACCATTGGGGATTTCAACATAAGCCAGGAGAGTGTGGAATTCAGCCTGTGGGACTGCTGTGTGTACCCACATCCCTGCTTTACTTGAGGTCTACTCGTTTTTCAAATGAAGCCTCATCTCTAGGAATTATTTTAGGGATCATTGGTCAAGATATTAAGAAAGCAGTCATGACCACAGAAGATTTACAGAACTTAAGTGCCAACAGTGAAGAAATTGAAATTGTAAAAGCTGACAAGAAAATTGATGCATGCGAAACATGCCGCTGGACAAGGGCTTTTTGAATACCCTGGATTAACAGAAAAATGAACAAGTGGGTCCTAGATCAAATCAATCCAGAGCTTTTTCCTAGAAGCAAAAATGACAAAGCTGAGGCTGTCATACTTTGGATACACCATGAGAAGGCAAGACGCACTGGAGAAGACAAGCATGCAGAGAAAGTCAAAGGCAGGAGGAGAAAAGACAGACCAAATATGAGATGGATTTACTCCATAAAGCAAGCTGTAGCCTTGGATTTAGAACAGCTAAGCAGGACTGTCATGGATAGGACATTCTGGAGGGCTTTCACACGGTTGTCGTAAGTTTATGATGACTTAACACAACAACAAAACTTGGTATTAAGCAGACATAACTCTTTTTATAAGGGATGCAGGTGGCGCAGTGGTTTAAACTGCTGTGCTGCTGGGCTGGTTGATAGAAAGGTCACTGGTTCGAATCTGCACAACAGGGTGAGTTCCCGTTGCTCTGTCCCAGCTCCTGCCAGCCTTGCAGTTCGAAAGCATGCAAATGCAAGTAGATAAAAAGGTACCACTTTGGTGGGAAGGTAACAGCGTTCCATGCGCTTTGGTGTTTAGTCATGCTGGCCGCATGACCATGGAAACTGTCTGCAGACAAATGCTGGCTCCCTCGGCTAGGAAATAGAGATGAGTACTGCCCCCTAGAGTCAGACATGACTGGACTTAAAGTCAAGGGATAACCTTTACCTTTAACTGTCTTTTTAATGCTTACCCAGAATTTATCTGAGTGGAGGAAAAAAGCAGCTCTTCTGTATATGGCATATGAAGGAACAATTTAAGCTCAGGATGTATGTCTCTGATATTAGTAGAAGGTGCTGGGGCAGGGATGGAGAACTTCTGGTCTTCAGGATTATTCATCTTATCTATAGAGGCCTTTTTTATTATTTAGATTCTATATTCCATTCATTAACTCAGGGCTGTGCCTCATTGCTTGGAGGCTAACGTGGAGAGAAGTCCTCCCTAGCCTGCCCAATCAGATATTGGAGATAATAGTTACAATTCAGCCAAGCATCCCAAACAGAGCAAATTTGGCAACTGAGCTGGAATGTGGAAGAGATTCCCTTTGAAGCCATATCTGTTTAGGGTGTGTGCTTCTTCCAAAATAGACAAAAACAGGGGGGGTAGGTGGAAAGACGACAATGTCAGGTAATAGGTGGGGTCCTGGGGAAATCTCTAATGAAATTGTGGGGGAGTTTGGTTCCCAGGGTACAACCAGGGGATGGGAAGGGGCTTTATGAGAGTCTCACCCCACTGCATTGGTCTGGGGAGAATCTGCCCCAGCCAAAAAAGTTTGACACCCCTGTGATGAGGTATCAAACAGGTCATTTTCCTTCCTCTGCCAAAAGTACTTCTCTTAGGAAGTGGCATTGTAATGTTATGGTTTCCTTGATGCTTTACAGAAAGTTGCCAGCTTTCATTTGAAGTCTCAAACATTTATTATATTTAAATTTTACTTTTTTGCACAAGGAATCCAGGGCTGCTTACAGACTCCTTATTTCCATTTTATCTTTATCCCTGTAAATTGGTCAGGCTGAAAATCAGTGAGTGGCTCAAGGTCATCCAGTCAGCTTCATGTCCAAGTAGGGATTTGCACTTGGGTCTCCATTCTAATCCATTATTCTTACCTCTATACCACAAATGGTGTTCATCTTAATTTTCATCTATGTATGTAGATCTCCTGAGTATAGAAACACTTACCTTATTTTTGGTTGGCTCTGTTTGACTTCCAACCTGACAGACACACAAAGTATCAGTTACTATTAGGGGGAGCAGCTGGAATTTCTCACTACTTTTTTTGCATAATGGTGAAGTTCATGTAGTTCTACGCAAAATGTTCCTCCTTGACTGTTCATGGGTTTCTCAGGTGAAACACAACTACTTCTGAAACAGCAACACTAAGGACACACTTCTATGTAAGATTAGATGGTTGAAAGTCCTAGAAGTCCTGCCATATCTACTATGGCTGGCTGAAGGGATGCTGAGAGTCAAAGAACTACTTGGTGTCTAAACATAGGATTACAGCCTAAGGTATTTCATGTACAGTTGGACTTCTTAACACAGGATATACTTGGCAAGGTGTACTTGTATTAATGGCAAGTTTTTTGGCCTGATTTTAATAACTTCCAAATGGAATTGTTGGTTGTTTATCAGAGTTGTTGAGAGACATTACCTAAACAGTTCCCCCCTCCTTCCCTTTCTCCCCATTCCCCCTCAACTCGTACAGTTTCTATAATTGTACATGAAGTTCTTCTCCGTGGTCTCTGTGCATCACACATGCAGGCTCTGCACTTGTATAGGGCCTGTGTCAGGAAGATTTCAAAGCTAGGCTGTTTCTGATGGGAGCTTCACCTTTCTCTCCCCCGATGTGTGTGCATGCACAGATGACCACTCAAAGAACATCAGTTACAGGTAAGCAACCTTTATCTTGGTTTTTTCTTTTAGCTGGAAGAAATATCTCTAGCTGCTGGGAACATGCCAACTGCAATACGGACTACATTGGGAAGCATTTTAGTAGTGGTACGTTCAAATTCAGATGCTGCTCAAGAGACTTGTGTAATAGCAGTCCAGTTACAACAGGTAGCAAGATAATCCTTGGCATAGCTTCTTTGCTTATAATCATCCAGCTGGTCTATTTCTAACCATAGAAACAGAAGAGCCAAACTATTCTGATGTGTAAAATGTAATACCTATTGACAAATAGCCTTTGGAGAAAGTACCACATTTGGACAGAGGAGTGTAAGTCATGGAAAACAAGTGTGTAAAAGCATGAAATTTATTATACTGTAGGTACTGCATTGTGTGTGTCTTTAATACTGTGTTCTATTTACAAGCTGACAATCTATTCTGTGTGATTTAATCATTTACATAGTTGGGTAACTGAGGTTCATATTTGTCAAGCACTTTTTGTTCTGCAGAGAGCTCCTGGATCTCTTGAAAGTGTAAACTTGCTTTTCTTTTGGACCTGTTTGCAAGACTATATTGTAGTAATAAAGGGGCTACAGCACTCAGACCTACAGGTTTTTCATCACTGATTGTCTTCTGTTCAGAACTGCTAGAAGGCCTCTCCGCCTAGGTAGTACCAGATGTATTAATGTCCATGGTTACTATCAGTGTGTGAGCTTCCTTGCTCCTTCAGTTCTGGTTTCTATAATTAAAGAATTTCTAGTGTGATGTTAGAATAACCCTTTTGTAATCCAGTCATGTTACCTTGTGACATTCTTATCACTTGTCTGAACCTACGCTAACATTAACTGGCAGCATTTCAAAACTATTTAGCAATTAAGATAATACCTTTCACACTATCAGTGTATAGATTATACATATGTAATGTGCTTTATACAGTTCCTGGCATCTATTACCTGTTTTCTTAATGATGCATAATGCCATCCATGATACAATCTGCTACAATTGTTTGCTCAGTTGAGGACAACTGCAATGTAAACAACATCTTGGCTGTGTTAGTGCCGTTTTCATATTCTTGTCTAGATGCAGATATTTACTTAGGTACAAGCTTTCACATTTAAAAGATGAATATCATACCCCAAATCTCAGTGACCTTCAAAAGTGTTTAAAGTGCTGCTGAATTAGTATTAGATCACAGAATGGATTCAGATCAGTGACTTTGATGCTGAAGATTTATCAAATGATTTGATTATCAAGAGGTTATGCACCTTTAGTGTTGCACAAGAATCTTTTCTAATTTTTTTGTTGTAAACCACCCAGAGAGCTATAGCCAATATAGAAATGAAATAATGCATGGGAGTACAGAGGGACCCCCCCCCCCACCTCTGTACAGCATGATTGAGGACAAGATGGATTGGTTTTTAAACCAAGGCTGATTTAAGTAACGATTGGACATTCTGCTTTAGTAAAATAAGCTAAAGGAATGACCATCAGCACTCAAGTTCTTCAGAAGGGGCAACAGTTAAGGGCTGAAAAAAACCAAGCTCATAAATGTTCCTTAGATGTTGCATATTTTAACTACCAAAGGAAAAGGATTTTTTCAGCATTATTACATGCTACTGTGTCAGAATCTGCCTTGCTCACTGATAATAAAGTACAAAACTCAAAGTAGTTCTTGTTTTGTTTACTCATTTGTTAACCCTTTGGATGTGCAGAGCAGCTTCCTGTACCATTTTAGTCCCCTGATATGCTTGGTTTTTCGCTTAAAGGGAGCTTTGACATGCAATTATTTCATCCCTGCCCTATACTCACAGGGCAGGAAATGCTAGGGCTGAGCAGTGTTTTCAAGTCTGTAGGCATACCAGTTCCCGATTATTCCTCTGCCTACTTGCTTGGGATGCTGCTGTTGCAGAGGGGTAGGCATGGATCTACTTAGGGGTTCTGGAGTATGCTGCAGTTCCATTCCCTGGCCTGTGGGATTGTGGGTCTGCTGCCAGTGCAGCCCAGCATAAAAATGTATGTTCCTTGGTGTGAGATGCCTGGTGTATATGCAAGAACTGAGGCTATGCAGCTTGCCTTGCCCCAGAGATTGGCAAGGGCAAAACATGTACATTTAAGTATCCAAACAGATGGATGTTACCCTGCAAATGTCTGTGTCTTCATGTGGGTACAGGGCAATAGCAGCCCTACTGGGCTAAAGCAGCATCATGACCCTTCTCATTGCATGAATACCCACCTCTCTGGGCATAGAAGAAATGAAGGTAGGGTTGGAGTCCTCTGCAGAACTCTACGTTCAGCTCAAAGCATATGTCTGCCTTGGAATGAGTCAACACCTATGCTTCAGCTGAAGTGATTCATAGCAAGTCAGCCAGCATCCAAACAGTGCCTTAGAAAATTAATTACCAGCGCAGGCACTTAAAAGTAGGCATTTAGGCTAGATCGATTGTGCAGAACAGTAAAGTAGAATGTGTGACTCCAGATGTTATGAGATTATTCCTGTTGGCTCATGCTTATTTTAAAAATGGGAATGCCTGATGGGAGTTTTCAACATGCACAAGGGCCACACACAATTTGCCCTTCATATGGAGGAGGTAGGTAGATGTCACCCTTACCAAATAACCTCAATACATGGTTTTGGCAAGGCTGAGTGCATCACTATCTTTTATGAATTCCTAACATCTTGACTTGGGACAAATCCACTGTGAAATGGTAAGATATATTGAACAGAGGCTGGAACAATGACTGGGTATGGTTATATTTTAAACTTTTCTACACTACCTCTGCCTCGTCTTTATGAAAAAAAGCCAGGCCTGGAACCATTTTTTTGGATGTGGGTAAGTGATCAACCCAGTGGACTCTCTGAGAATGTCTTCAAAGGATCACCTGCTCATCTACCAAAATAGGTAGTCTCAGTAGGCCCTAAGCTATTTATGGTATAGTTCTATGTGGTTGCCTAGTTGAGTGCAGAGGTGGTGCTTCCCTCCCCTGCAAAAACATCTGATTTTGGCTGTTTCCCTCTCAGAAGAGGGGTTGAGCACTGCCTACACTGAGAGCCACTAGTGCCTTGTGTGCCCTCTTCTGTTGTCTTTTCCCAAGATGGTCTTTCATCTTGTGCTCTTCACTGCTACCGTGAACTTCACTGGCTGAAAGGACTTCCAAGGGTGGAGTGCCCACTGAGATTTCAGATTTCTGAAGTTTTGGTGGGGATTTGCCTTTTCCTATGGCTGACCATACATCATCTACAGCCAACACTTGAATTGGACCCAGGAAACAATAGGTAACTGTTGCAGATCTTCCAGTATTGGAGTGACATGGTCCTGATTCCACTTACTGGTTAGCAGCCTTGCTGCAACAGTTTGCAGTGACTGAAGCTTTTCGGTATTCTTTGAGTGTAGTTCAGCATGCAGCATGTTGGAAGTCTGTGATAACTAAGGTATGGATAACAGAATGATTCAGGAATAGACACAGCTGGTGCACCCACCTCTTGAAAATCCAAGAATGAGCGCTGCCAAGCATAAGGGCAATGCCATTCAGAACAATTCACAAATACAAGTCAGACTATGTACTGACCAAAAGCACCTCTGTCTTTTCTGAATTTAATCTCTACTTGTTCTCTCATACAGCCTATGACTGAAGCTAGGCAATGTTCAAGGGTGTTGACTGCGCTCTAAGAGATGTCAAGGAGCGACAGAGTTAAACACCATTTAGTATATTGACCTCACTGCAAAGCTCCAGATGCTCATCGCATGTTCATGTAGATGCTAACACAGGTCAGGACACAACAGAACTCCGTGGGATTGCCATGTCCCAGTGTTGTGGGGCCCAACAGTAGTCTCCCAAAAACACACCACTGCAATACAATGCCTTGAAAGCATCCCATTAGCTGATTCAGAACAAGGCTGGTTACTTCTATATCAGTGCTCTCTACCTATTGTAGGGGCTGCTCCTTTAATACAGCTTTATAGAAGCTATTCACAGTGCTGGACTTCATCTTCAAAATAGGCTTACTATCATGGATTGCTCCTATAAAGCTGAAATAAGCCCCACAACACAGGAGTCACCAATGTCCCCTGGTTCACAAGACCATGATTAGATGCTATCAGATGGCACTGAGAGGACCAGAAAAACTAGTAGGGCCATATTTGCCCTATCCTGTTCTTAGTATGGATCATCTACCATGGTGACCAAGACAGTCTGAGTTTAGCATCTCATCCAAAAGCCCAAAAGAGGTAGGTAGGATCAGTATTATCCAAAAGTATCTGGACCAGCAAAGTCATCTCCTGCTTGACAATCATAACCAATAGTGGAACAATTGAGACTGGCCTATAGTTTAATAAATCTGTTGAGTCAAGCAAAGATTTCTTTATTATTACTCCTTTGAGCAAGAGCAAATGTGCCCCTCTCACAAGGAGGCATTAATTAGTTCACTTAATCATGTAGCAAGTCCTTTCTTCATTGATTTAATCAGCCAGTATAGACAAGGGTCAAGCAGACAAGTGGTAGCCCTCACTTCTCCAGACCACTTGTTCACCTCAAGTTGTACAGGCTGAAAAGTAAAAAACAACAGCACAGGCCCCCTGCCCTAGTTTTGGAGGCCAAATCTGGGTGAATCTGAATGACTTAATCCTCAAAGTATGAGACAAAAGGTTCATAGCAAACCTCTGAATATTCTGGTTCCCCCTCAGCAGCATCCTGGTGAAAAAAAATCCATGCACAGTGTGGGAAATTACCTCAACTAGTGAATTTCAATATTTTAATTGTTATTTATAAGATGCTGTCCAATCGGTTAGTGTATGATGTCAACACAGTTGGTTCCCCTGCTGTTCCAATGAATGGTTTTATTATTGATGTTTTATTATTGAATTTGTTAATATGTTGGTTTTTATATTTTGTTGACACTTTTTTTACTGTGTAAACCATCCAAAGAGCTCTGTGGCTACTGTGACTGTCTATAAAAATGTAAATAAATAAAATAAGAGTGTGAAATTTGAGCTTCAGTACACACCCAGCTCTTCTTGTTTTACATAGTCACTACGTGGGAACTACCCTTGTTTTACACAGAAGCATGAAAACTCTTGATGTATGCTACTCCAAAATGTAGTTCTTATTGCCCACAGCTACCACTGATGCATCTGTTTGAACTGGCCAACCAGAGCCCCACAGAATTAAAAGCACCATATCAAAAAGTATGTTTCTACTGGGAAAACAATCAGTAGTTATTATCATATGTAAAGGAGAGGAGGCAACACTCATTTAAAAAGATGGAAGTACTGAGGACATATGCATCTGTGGAGATTGCCTTATGCATCTAGCTTCTGTCCTTCTCAAAACAGTTGAACATTTTTCGGTAAATACTGGTTGGGAGTACTTGAGAGGATTACAAATGCACAATATGAACTGTTAAAGTAAAATTTGAAGAAGCCAGGACAGGTCCACAGTACATTGTTGTTTGGAAGCACCCTATGTCCTGCCCACAACCACGGAGAGAATGTAACAGAAAATATACACACGGAAAGCACTAAAGCTCTGATAGTGTGGAAAGTCCATTGCAATTTCGTATGTACCTTCCAGTGGAATAACAATGGGTTTGTAGCACTAGGAGATGCCACATGGGAAACACTCAGGAATGTAGCTCTTTCCCCTTCACTCTCAGTTGTAAAATTTCTGTTGTAAATGTAGCACAAATAGGAAAAGAGTTACTAGAAGAGCACAGGGCAGTCTCAGAAAAGTAATACCGAAGTCAAGAAAACTCTTGAACTTTGCTGATTTCACAGGAAAACATAATCAAAATGTTAACAAAGATAATGCCTTTATAAGGGTCAAACGGTGTCTTGCCAAGTGCAAGGAGTTTTCTGAAGAATGAGTGGAAATGAGTGAAGGAAGAAGTAAATTTCATTAAATTCTTTTTAGCAACTAACAAAGAAGAAATTGGAAGCATAGAGAAATAGGCTTGCATCTGTAAGATGCTGGGGATCCTTGCACAGCAATGCATAAACTCCATGATCTACCCAAGTTGTACAGCACTGTCCACACTCTCAGTCTGCATTTAAGTCTGAAAAATGAGGTAATTTCCATAGATTTTTATAAATTTAGATTTGTACATCAAGCCCATCTCTGCATGTGCTAGGGGCTAGTCCAGAGAGGGGAATAAGCATGGGAAGCCAAGTGATAAGCATGATCTAAAGGTGGCCAGTGCATATTCTTCCTACTTTTAATGGTGCCAGGCACACACTTTAGATGCGCAAAACAAATTCACTCCCTAACATAACAACAAGGCTATACAGGGTATTACAACGGAGAAGAAAAAATATTTGAAGCCAGATGTCCTTGTAAATTATCTTGCCAAGGAAAGCTTAGTTCAGGAGGTTCAGTGTTGAGGCTTTCTGGGATTCATAATGGAAAAAAAAACTGTAACGTTATACTTAGTTCATCTAAACACAATGATCTTCCCTTGGTGTCCACATCTCTGTTATACCCACTTACTGTTTCTCTGCACTTCAGTCTAAAGTCTGAATCTTTACATATAAGTGTAATCTTTGACATATCATCCAATTACCCAGCCTTGTAACATTCATATATTTTCCTGTCAACTCTGGGAGGCATTGTTTTTGTTATAGCACAGGTTGTTTACAAAAAGATAAAGTCATCTCATTGCTGAATCTGGACACAGCATCAACAAGGTCCCGAGTTGCAGGCGCTGGCAAAGGGCCTCAAAGAAGCAGCTCCTACACCTAAGAAGGGATCCAGTGGACCCAAGAAGGAACAGCCACCTCTGCAGCATGCTACTATGGTTTACAAAGAAAACAAGAGATACGGTTAGCACAATAAAGCTAACAATATTTATAATGCATGTTTGATGTATTTTAATATTCCCAGCCATAAAAACACCAGGGATTAATCAACAGAAAGCAGTTCAGTAGGAGTCAAAAGTAGTTTGAAATACGGAGCAAAGATCTATGTTTAAACTGCTTCCTAAGAACTCAAGGAAATTCTGGAGGTGAGCCATCCAATCAACCACTCCCAACTGCACTGCCACGTATCAGCTATCAATACAGTATTAGGTTGATACTCAGTCTTAATCCAAGGTCCTTGATGTTTTTGGCCAGCGAGTATACTGGTGCACACTCCCTAAAAACAAAACCAGTGAGGAGGAGCACCAGTTATATCCAGGTTTTGATTGTCTGCCATCCCATGTTCATTTCTCTGTGTTCTGATTCAGCTATATCCAGGACTATGGGACTGTTATTACCAGCTATTGATATCTAATAGATGGCTCCTGGTCCTTTTCTAAGTTTCTCTCCAGTCTGATTTAGCTGGTTAGGGTATATTATCTATACTTTCTGTGCTGAGATCATAAAAATGACCTGTAATTTCTTGAATTACATATTATTTTTTGCATTTTCTAACTATAGTCACTCCCTTGCCAAAACTATGGAGCTGACTTTTCCCTATAACCGGTAAGTGGAAGCAAAAAGGGAAAACAAAAGCACATTTATCCTCTTAAAATCTGTAAGGCTGAGGTGTGGTTCTTCTTTGCCAAAGGAATTCCAAAATAAGGAAGCTGTCACAGGAAAAGGTGTGCTTTGGGTGGCTCCTATTAAATCTCCTGTAGTCAGGAAATCCTGTGCTGATCTCACAGAAGAAAAAAGTCTTCAAACAGTCACTTTATGAGGCATGCAAGCCCAGGTGGTGTAACATTTTGCCGATTACAGCCCACTGATGTCAAGCTGAAGACAGGTCCAAACACTTTTCTATCTTGAACTGTTGAGCCTTTAACAAAGAAATGTTCTTTCTTCCTAGTACTTTATTAACACATCTGTCAGTTATTTGGATCCCTATGTGGCAACTATGTTGTCAATGTTTTTACAGTATATGGAGAAAGAAGTTGACATTTCAATGGCAGCACCTGATGAAGCTCAATGAAAAGGGATACTACTGGGACGCCATAGCTTTGTCTTTTTTTTTTTTTTTTTGGTCAAGGTGCAATTTCTATAAAAATATGCACTTAGGAAATGATTCTATGGCCCTACACATTCACTGAAAGGCCATAGGATAGGTCAGCATTCCAACTTCAGGGCTGGGAATCTGAGCTAACCCTACCCCACCTCCCACAACACACACACACAGCCAGCATGGAAAGAACCATATTAGCTGCTCTCCCAGGTTGGGAAAGTGACCTCAGAGAGAAGTAGAAGGGACTGTTGGGTGGGGAGAAAGAAGATGAGGGACCTGGAACAGCAGACAGTACTTGTTCCCTCTTCTTTGGAAATAAATGGAAAATAGCTTTCCATGAAAATACAGAGGACAGGCAAGGAGGCAATGATTGCCTTGCTGTTTCTCCAGCTCTGTAGTGGATGAGCATGAAACTCCAGGTTCAGCAACTTATGCTCATCCTGACAGGACTGCCTTCCCAATTGAAAAAATTAGAACTGAGTGCTTTTCATTCCAAGTGCACATTCCTCCATTTTTGCTGTTGGATTTTTGGAGGGGTTTTCTGCTTTTTAGCCTTTAAGCAGTGAACATCTGGCCTGTACTCCATGTAGGATACTCATGTATACATTTTGTAATAGCATGTATGTAAGACTTTTGCAAGCAGATTAGATTTCAGTCATATAATAATAGCAGTTGCATGCTCCTCAGTATTTGCTACAGAGCACACGAAAGGTACGGCGCCTTGCTGGCAAACTGGATCAGCGTTCATGACAGTCCGGAGTAGCGAGGAACTCTCTCATGAGTAGGATCCTAAAGCTAGATTTCCTTTCCTGCCTGATCTTTGCAGATGCCACAAAAGTGCATGGCACTCCATGTGCTTGGAGCAAATTATTGGCAACTGCTTTACTGACATTTCTCGGGCATTTCTCACCCAGAACTTATTAAGCCTGGAATGTGTTGATGCTGGTAATATGCATCCATCAGTTTTGTTTCCAATTCTTGTGAAAGCTGTGTGATCCTGGGGCTTCTACATGTCAGTTTGCATTTGAAAATCCTGGAGAGAGATCTGTCCCTGCCCATGAAGTGCCTGCCCCTGCCCTACGCAGGAAAAAGGACAATAAAGAAGACTGCCAGATCCTACCAGACTGCTGCAGACACAATGCCAGAAGTGAGGTCATCACACTGATTTAGCTGCTTGCTCACAGAACCCTTTTAGCTACATTGCAGTAGCCTAACTATTGACTGGGGCTAGACACCCCTTTACTACAGCTTTGTTCCATTTCTATTTACTACAGCTTTGTTCCATTTGAATGACATGATTCAAAGAGCAGTTATTACTTACGGAGCCCTTGAAAAAACTATTTTGATTCCATTCCTCAGACAAAAAGGTTCCTGGAGCAGTTTGGAATCCATCTGCAAACCATAAAGTAAATGGCTTGGGACCAAGCCTTCTGTACGAACCTGCCCTGGGCTTTAAGAACTTTGGGGAGGCCTCTGTGTCCCATGTGTGTTTGGCAGCAATTCTTGTGCCCAGGGTTCCAAACTCTCTTCTTGGGGAGGCCTCTCTTCCCCTGTGTGGTGGTCTTCCAACATCAGGCTAAATCCTTTTAGACAGCGCTTTGGATGTCGAGCTCCTGTTTTAGCTGTTGTTTTTAAGTGGATGGCTTTTATTTGCTGATTTTATATACTGCTTCGTATTATTATTTGATTCATATTTAATATTTTATAGGATTCTTTTATGTTTTATCTTGCTTTTGTCTGCCTTACGAACCAGGGCATGGAAAGGCAGGTTGTACATTTCAGTCTTCCTCCCCACAAACAGCTGAATGACACTGTTGCAGATAATCAGACAGGTTCATGCATGCACACCTGCTGGATAAGTCTATGCATGTGTGAGTGGAAGGTCAAACCATCTGCTTTCAGTGCTTTGGCCCAGGTCAAATAAGGATTGTTAGCGGCTATATTTAACCTTTCTTGAAAATATTTGTGATCCATTTTGGGATCTACCAAAATGTTATTCCCCAATAACCACCAAGGCGTATTTTTTCTCATTGGAAATTATTTTTATACTCATTATTTTTAGTCTTCTATTCTTCTCAGTATATATTTTTCTGAATTGACATGTCATTTCTAATTTATTTAGTGTAACCTTTGTGAAGATTATCACTCACGTGGTGCAGACAAATGGACTTGTTCCATGTTTTAAATACAGAACACTAATAATAAGTTATTGCAAAAATTGTTGTACTTTATTGCAACCTATTCCAAAGTCTGTATAGGAAATGGATGTAGATGATGTGGTTTATATGAATGCTTGTAACTATTGAAATTCTAAAAGTATAATTATTATGCAAGCTATTTCCATAAGCGAGAATGATCTTGATTGGATAGACATAAGAAAGACATTGTGTTTGGATTACAAAAGGATCCATTGTTCTGTTGTAAAGCTTTGGGCAAAATCTTTGCTGACTAATACGACCATATGTGATATGCTTTCATAACAGAATGTTTATAAGGCAGTGAAATCCTCAGTTATTGGAGAATGGGGCAACACCACACTTGTAATATGAAAGGAATTGAGGGGGCAGAACTACAAGCTATGTACAAGAAGTTTGTTGTAGAATGTCCCAGTGGAGGTCTTCATTTGCATGAATTTAAGCAGTTTTTTGGCATTACCGACCAGAGTGAAGCCTCTGAATATGCTGAGAGTGCATTTAAATCCTTTGACAGGAATGGGGTAAGTTATGTTTTTAATGTAGGTAAATTCTATGTGCATGGAATTGGCTCACTATGGTGGCGTATAGCCCAAGAAAAGCCATTCAAAAATGCCGATTATTCTGCCACAGTTGGATCTTTTTAAAATGTTGTTGCTTCTTACTGGGGTGACATAATGGTTTCCTTTTAATATTTTAGGATAATATGATAGATTTCTTGGAGTATGTAGCAGTTTTGAATCTAGTGTTAAGAGGAAAACCTGAGCACAAACTGAAGTGGTCATTTAAAGTATACGACACCGATGGGAACGGCTTTCTTGATAAAGCTGAACTACGGAAAATGGTGATGGTAAGAATACATTATTGAATGTATCTTGTAATCTTACTATGGCAAGATATTGGGATACACGAAGCTATAAGCTTCTTCATATATAACTAAAATAAATCAAAGAGGGAGGTTTGGAAAGTGGCAACAAGGAAAGCCTTCTTAGTGGTGGCTCCATATTGCCATCATTGTCAACATGTCAGTGCCTGGTCGGCATTTGACATCATATGATAAAAGTTTCAATTAGGATTTCTCATTGTTGATTTGTAAAATAATTTGTGTTTGTGTGTGCGTGCTGTTTATATGTTTGTGTGTAAATAGCTTTGCTTTAAGTACAATATTGATTTTTAAGTTTTTCAAATCTTAATAAACCACCCAGAGAGCTTTGACTATTGGGTAGTATAGAAAGGTAATACATGGATAAAATGAATGGATGAGTTCACAGGCAGGTCAGATGGGCAACTGGAAGAAAAAAGGACAACTTTATAGAAGATATGACTGCTAGACAGGGACCAGAGTGAAGGGAAGAAAGCAACTTATTGATTCATTTGCATTATCAGTATGCCATCGTGCCCTCGATCATGGTCTAAAAAAAGATCTGTACAGATTCTGGGTTTGGGAATAAACAAGGAAGAGATCCCATCTCTCTTAATGATTGCCTGAGCTTCTATAGAAGAGCTGCTTTCGGCTTCAAGTGCCAGTGGATTGTTTCTTTAAAAAGCAAAGTGGAATTCTGTTGCCAAGGGCATCACAGATTTATCGCACAGTGCACTCCGTGTACTTTGTGTGCCCTGCATTGTTTCCTAGTCTTCAAATCTTGGCTTGCCTGACACAAACAAATCTTTCACCCCATATCCTCTATGCCACACCTTGTTTGTCCCTCATCTGTGGCACTCTGAGAAGATTATACCTCCCTTTATGGCACTGAACCACATGGATTTCAACCACCTAGTCAGAGAGGCCCTAGTCCAGACTTCCCCAACCGGGTGCCATTCAGAGACATTCAACTGCAACTCTCATAGTTGGCTGGAGGATTATGGGAATTATAGTTTAACATACTGGGAAGGCACCAGGTTGGGAAAGGCTTCTCCAGAAGCACAATAATAGACTGGATTTGGCCTGCTGCATACCAAGACTCTCCCAGCCTCCAGTGACAAAACAGATGCCACTCTGATGACTGGATGCATTAACTGTACATGTACTGATAACCCACTGGGTGTGGCAGTGTGCCTGGCCCAACTTCCCTGTCCCAAAAAAGGAATTAGTGGGATCAGCTTGGGAAATGCCAGTGATCTGTTTTCAAAACATATGATGTCCACAGCCACAGAGTAAGCATTTTCACAGATCCTGAAAGGTGACTGAAGCACACAAGACTTTTTCTGGCAACAAACGGCATTTGTTGATTTGGAGAAAATATTTTTCCTGGTCCTTCATTGCTATGGAAAGTATCCAGAAAGGATCATTCCACAAACCCAAAGAGCAGCAGCAGAGTCCCTCTGAATCTTTCGCTGCACAGGCAGTTTCTATTATACCTGCACAGCCACAGCTGGGTTGCATAAAGTAATATTAACATAACTTCTTTGCTTGCATATCGTTCAGAACCTATTTTACATTAGCACAACTCCATTTGTACTAATGGAATGGCACAGCTGAGATCAAGATTAAAATTCTTTTAACACGATAAACATGATGGTAATCTTAAAACCATTACAGGTTATCTTACTGTGTCATGACAATGCCCATGTATTTTTTTGGTGCAATTTATTTGGTCCCTAGTCTTAATTTGTTGCCCTTAATGCATTAACAGTCTGAGTGTATTTCTCAGCCTTTACAAGTAACAACATGATCTTCTACATCTCTAATCACAGGTAAGTCCCACTGATTTCATTGAAATATACTCCAAGATAAGTAGCTTCAGGGCTTTTTTTGTCATAGAACGCACCGGAACGGCGTTCTGGCACCCTTTTTTGACAGATTTTTCCAAGTGATTGTGAATCGCCCTGTTAGGCGTAGCAGATCGGCAGCAAAAATCATTAACATAGAGCCTGCGGGCTGCCTGTGTGTTGGTGCTGATTGTCGGCGCTGCCCTGGTCTCTCCCCTTCTCCTCCCGAAGCTGTTCCGCGTTCCGGTCTCCCGCCCCGGTGGGGCCCAGACCTCTTCTCCAAAAAACAGCCGTCTCCCCTACTCTCTGCTTTCCATGCCTCGCGGTCTCCCTGCCGGGACAGCCCGCCTGCTCTGCCCAGTCTGCTCCTAGCCCGCTTGTCTGTGGACGAGGGCCACTTCCTCGCCTTCCCCCATCCTGAAGGCTTGGGCCTTGCAGGCTGCATCCAGACGGCCAGTCTCTGGGGAGCGCCTGCTTCCCTCCCGGGGCAGCATTTCCTTTGCAGGAGGTGAAATCATTTCACTCCCAGACAGAACCGTAATGGGGGGAGGCCACACTGAGAAGATCCTGCCCCGTGCTGAGGAACTTGCAACCCCCCAGATCTGGGGAATTGCTACTCCCATCTTACTTTGCCAGCGGGTAGGCTGGTTGTGGCTGATGGAAATTATAGCCCAGCAAGGTCTGAGGGTGTGTGTTGGGGAGGCTGCAGGTGCTTCTGCTGTACTCTGAGCTTGAGAATGATGCAAGGGAACAGCCGTACATTCACTTTCTTGTACGCACGCCTGCAGTCTGAAATGTTAGAGCCCAGCCAAGTGAGAGACTCTGCAGTGGGGCCGGTTTGCCTGTGGCCATCCAGATGTTGCTGGGCTCCATTAGTTTGAGACAAGTTTGCTAATGGAAGGGAAAGATGAGAACTGTAGTCCAGCATCACCTGGAAAGCCGCAGCCTTCACCTCCACCATTTTGCCCTGTTACAAGAGGACATAAGAGCACTCAGCTGCCCATTTGCCCTCACTCACCACCCGCTTTTGTTTACACAATCAAGGTGATTTTCAGAGAGTGGCACAGGGCTTGCTTATGCCTCTAAAGCACAGGAGGGCACCCTCCAGTCTGGACCTCAGGTAGCCCATGGAAGTGGCTTGTTCAGCCCATGGTCGCGTGAGTGCTTACTGCCAGTGGCGACCATTGTGTAAAAGTGTGACCCCAAGACATGAGTTCTGGCACTTTTTTTTTTTTTACACAAAAAGCACTGAGTAGCTTTAAGGCTGTACCCTATATCTTTATATTGATCCTATCAAAATAATAATCTACATCAAAATCTGCTCTTTAATATCCTTTGAGACATGGTAAACTTATAATCGGCGAATGGGGCAGCATAAAAATGTTTTAATAAATAAATAAATAAATAAATAAAAATAATGCTCCTGAGGGCATTAGAAAATCTTTCGGATGTGCTTGAGGTGCCACAGCAGCTGTTTGAAAAAATATTGTTTGGGGTTTTCCAGGATATGGGGGTATCACAAGCAGCTGTTCATTATAATTTCTTTAAAGCCATAGTCTCACTTGTATTTATTACTGTTTCATGTGACTTTGTAGGTTCATAAAGAGTAGACTTCCTAATATGCTGCATATATACAAATGAAAGGAAGATTGACTACCCAAACAATTGTTCCTGAAGTAAATCTATTAAAATAATTGCTTTAATTCAATATAATAAAATTATTGAGGTTTGCAAGTTCATTCTAAAGGTGTACTGGGATTTTGCAAGAACCAATACACCTTTTCAACGTTGTTTTTGCAACCAAAATAATCACATTTCTCCAATTTTTCCCCTGGCTCCATTGAAATTTCCTTTCTCCTTCCCCATGCTAACATCTAGATTGTAATCCTCTTCCAGCAATGGCTGAGTCATTCTATGCATTGTTCCATGAATGGATGGTGCCATAATAATAAATAATCATTTTCAGAGTATCTATAATATCAAGCAAGGATGGACAAGAAGCACAGATGCTCAGATGTCAAACCTGGAGGCAGTATGTGACAGAATATTTCAACTAATGGATGAAAACCACGATGGTAAATATATTCTTTGTGCTTTCGGTGCATTTTTATTTTTGTCTGAACAAGTTTTTCAATGCACAATGTCTTAAGGGACTTTACCAACCAATCAGGAAAAAAATGATCTGATCAATAGTTCCCAAAGTGCATTTTTATTTTTGTCTGAACAAGTTTTTCAATGCACAATGTCTTAAGGGACTTTACCAACCAATCAGGAAAAAAATGATCTGATCAATAGTTTTCAGGCTCATTCCCACAAAAGTAAGGGGAAAAGATACTCATATCCCCTACATAGTTCTGTTTTTAGGCTCTACATCTGACGTGTAATAAAACCTTGGAAACCCACTTTTATGAATAGGTGGTAGCTGTTAAACTAGAATCAACATGAAGTCAAGAAACAGGCCTGCTAGAACTATCTTCAAAATACAAAAAGGCAAGCAATTTATGTTTATATCTCTATAGTTCAAACTTAATAACCAACATGCTTCAATTGTTGCTTTTTAAAACTAGGACAGAGTTTCTTTGCTGTGTATTCTTCCAGATTTAAAACACTAAGCAAATCCTTACAGTGACTTGCCAGTAATAAGTACTTTCCAAACAAGGCCAGAATTGTCTTCATACCACCATGAATATGATTAGTTAATGTGAATAATTAAAGAAGACGCCTGCTTCTTTCCAGATTGGAAAATAGCAGATCAGTCATATACATGCTTATTCAGAAGCAAGACCTACTGTATGGAATTGAACTTCCTTCCTTCCAAGTGTCTTTAGGATTGTGCATTTAAGCTGCTATCCTATGCAAGTTTAAAAAGGAAAAAACATAGCTAGCTGGGACATGTTGAGAGTTACCAGTATTTTTTCTGGCTAAAGTTGCAGAGACTTGTACCCTAAGTTAATTATCTTGAGAAATTAGGGAAGCTTAGCCAGTCATGTGGAGAAGAGGGTTAAGCTTCATGATAATACTGCAGCTGGTAGCTATGCTATACAGACAATAGAGCTTATCCAAGCAGACTTCTCAGGAAATCTCTCCAATTATGTAACTGCATGGGTAATGCAATTGGTAGTGATTTAACAGAACCACTGGGAGGAGCTTAAGCATGAAAACTATAAGGATAGGAATGTTTTAACGTTGACACGTTCCTGGCCATATAGTTTTAAACTAGTAATTATATTTCATAACAGCTGTTTATTATGAAATATAAGAATAGATATATCCTTGATGTGGACAAGGTGCTTTGCAGTAGTGAAACCGTGTGCTCTCTTGATCCTGGCTGATAAATGCATCCTGAGGAGGTCTACCTTGGTGGGTCCAGGGAGTGGTAAATACATCTTTGTGTGAAGTGGTGGTTTTCACCATCCTCAAGGAGACAGTAGTGTGAATGCTCCTGGAAAAAAACCCAAAACACAACACTCTGGACCCAATGGCATTTGACAATTAGTACCCAGTAGCAAGTTCTCCCCTTTTAAAGGAAAGAGCTACAGATACTGATGAACTAAAACCATTTCAGCCTGAATTTCAACCTGGTTATGGGACTGAATCTGCCTTGGTTGTCCTGATAGATGACCTTTACTGGGAATGAGGCAAGAGGAGTGCAACCCTGCTGATTCTACTTGATCTCTCATTGGCTTTTGATACCATTGACCATGGAATTCTCCTGGATTGGCTCCCTGTGTGACAGTGGCTTTAGTCTTACATATGAAATCAATTTCAGAATAACATTGGGTGCCTACTCCTCAAACCCCTGGTAACTGAGCTGTAGAGTTCCACAGGGTACCATCCCCAGTATTACTTAAGATCTGTATGAAGCCTCTGGGAAGGGTCATTAGGGGATCTGGTGCCAAACGCCACCAATCTGCTGAAGATGCATAGCATTACCCTCTGTGACAGCTGAATCCAGAGAGGTTGTGTGAGTCCTAGATAAGTGTTTTGACTCAGTGATAAATTGGATGAGGGCCAATAAACTGAATTCTGGAGATAGGCCATTCCTGTGGCTAAGTGACTCCTGAGTCTGGGAGATGTTTTTTTTTTTTTTACTTCTTCTGAAGGGGGTATTCTCTTTCTCTGAAAGATCAGGTCCACAGTCTGGATTCCTTGACTGAGGCAAATGAACACTATACCCAATTTTTACTTCCATTTCCATTTGAATACATAATCATAGCTATCAGCTTGAGAACTACATATATTTGTATTTCTCTAGAACATTTTTAAAGAAGTGTGATACTACAACTCTAGTGCTTGGCCTTAGATCTGGGCTCCAAATAATTTGCAGTCAGAGCTGCTCTCATAATATTTTCATGATGAAGAATGCCCTTTTCTGTGTTTCTCAAGTTTAAGAACAGAAATTGTCCATTTCATGTTTCATTTTACAATCTGCAGGTGGTTTCTTCAACTGTCTGTAGTGGTGGGCACAATGCTCAGTTACTAATAACTGGGTGTAGAATTGCAGCTTAAATATCATATTATGTCCCAGACTTGTGCTTGATACCCTTGTTCTAAAGGAGCCCTATTAACCATTTCTGGGCTACAGAGTTTGATGACTTGTTTAAGTTTCTGACAATATCAATCTATCAGTTTTCTTTATTCTTTCAGGAAAGATTTCATTGAAAGAGTTTGTTGATGGAATTCAAAGAGATGACTGGATAAGGAAAACGCTGCATATAGATATAAATCCCACAGAATGGATCCTTAAACAACAGGAAAAAAGGAATGCAGGTGTAAAGTACTAAACATCAAAGGACAAAGAAATGTTATATCAACCCTAGCCCTGTTTACTTAGCAAATTCAGGATACTGAATGTACAGTGCTAGGATTGGTGTTTATATGAATAATTTTGTCATGGTGGTATTTTGGTCCGAGGAAATGATAGATGCAAAATGAGAAAGGCATCAACCCTGTTGTCAAAGAATCACCTTTTCAGCATCGCAAGCTTTGGATTTACACACAATTCTTCATTGGAGAATGGAATGGTTGCAAAACTCAATTATAGAGGTAGCAAACAGTGATGGTCCACATGAACCATATATTAGGCTTATACTTGTGTATGCAAACATGCAAATCATTTAATTTCAAATCACTGTTTTTATTATGGGCATTTAGATTAGTTCAGGTTGAAGTACATTAAGTTAAATATAAAACCAGGCTGTGGTTTTTTCAATGTAGCTGATAGAAGCAGACAGCTAAGCTTTTGTATACATGGCAATCAGAAAAAAATAACCACTTGCTCAGCTCTACATGGGACCTTATCTGATACGCAATTGATACTAATCTTTTATCTGGATAACCCAGAAATTATGACATCCAAGTTCAAAATAAAAAGGTAGCTTACAAGTTTCTCTTCCTCTCTATGTTATCCTCACAACAGCCCTGTGAAGTAGGTTAAGCTGAGTGTCACAGGCTGGCCTGAAGTCATCTCAAGAACACAGATCTCTTGAGTCCCATTACAGCACCCTAATTGTTGCATCATATTGGCTTATGAGTATATGTGTCAGAGTTCCAGAAACTCCTGACTTACATGGACATAACCCACTTTAAAATGGAACATTCAAAATTCTGTCCTGAAGTGCCACAGATGATAGACCATTTAGTTTTGCAAGAACACCTCTGTGAGCTTCTAATTGTTAATAGATGTCAGATGAGGGAAGGTATCAGAATTGGGAAGAATTCAGTGGGTCATGGAAGAGCAAGTGCTGTCAGACAGAAACCATAGGTCCTATCTTTCCAGTATCATGTAGCCTCTGACTCAGAAATTTAGAAGCTGCTTGTTATTCATGTAGTAGCATTAAAATGAAACACCAATTAAGTTCATTTTATATGAAACTTACCACACATATTTCTTCAAATCTTCAAAACCATAATTCCAGCTTTCAAGCAGTCCTAATAAAGCTTCCTATTATTGTCATTATTTGCCCATCTGCTCAAAATCATTTTGTTTCTCTGTAGAATGCTAATCTAGTCACTGTCACTTCCTCACACAGGAATTTCTTCCTCCTGGCTTATATCACAATTATTTCCCACCACTGTATTACACCCACACACCTCATTTTTTCCACTATTTCTCAGTATGGATCCCACCAGTGGGCACAGCACCCCTTTAAGCTCTATGGACTGGCCATGGTTGATGGAGAAGGGTTGTAAACAGTGCGATATGCAGGTAGAATGCTTTCTAAGTACTTACCCAAGCGTGGACTGAAACTTATTTGTTCCATTACACTTATATGCTGCTCCCGAACCCTTGGGTTCTCCGGTCAGCTTATAAACTTAATTTGCAAATGCAGTGGTTTGAATTTTGCTAGAGACCTGCTTTAAACTTTCAGAATGCCGCTACTGTCTTGGGACTGGCACAATACGCATATGTGTTTGCTTCTGTACCCCTTCTAATGGCTGTTCAGTTCATGCATTTGTAAATGCTCACTATGTGGAAGCTGGCTCTGCTTGAAAAAGCCACTGAATAACCATGTGATTCACTACAAAAAGTGCAAGGGGTCAAGAAGCAATTAACGGGTCTGAATTGCAGGAAAACAAATTTCTCAGTCACTAACATGGAAAAGCACATGACTTGGGGGTGAGTCATCTGTTCTATTTTAAGATGTGCACTGTCAAGTAGCTACTGCTCTTTTCCTCCCCACCTTCCTTGCACAAGGTCCACCAACTCTCATGTCTGGAACCCATTTTCAGTATATGCATTTATTCATGGGTCACATAAAGTAATAATAAAGAGAAGTGCACATGAGAACACATAGACTAAATGAGCTCATTCACACACTATACTGCAATTCCTGGGTTGTTTTAACTCCCGAACCACTAGCAATCAGCAAAACAGTGAATGTTTCCAAAGTTTCTGGAGTTGCACGTTACTAATCAGCTCAGGAATGGGGCACTCCTAGGTTAATTAAAAGTAGAAATGGCAAGCATGAGGGAAGCTGCATTACTGTACTTTGTAAGCCAAACCTTTCAATAATAGCAACATAGTTTACGAACTGGGTCAGTGTGTTTGAGTCATTCCAATCAGTTTTCACATACCTGAGAATAGAAGGACCTTTCCAGGACAGATGGTGTGATTTGAAGAGAAGTCTTATCTTGTGAAATATATTTAAGTTGCTGAAATACTATTTAATATGCTTCTCAAGTACCTTTCAATAAAGTGTTCTTCCCAGTATAAAATGATAAAATTCAGTATTCTTTTTCCTGCAAGGGACCTCACAATTATCCTCACAACAACCCTGCGAGGTAGTTTAATTATATGTCGCACTAGGGATACGGAGTGGTAAGAATGGAAAGATGGCAGTGCTTTTTTTTATTAGTACTCTTGGGACATGTTCTTTGGCACAGAGAATCGAGAATTTAGAAATCATGCCTTTAGCTCATTGAAAACAGAAGTGTTTTGTAGTCGGTGAGGACCTCTAGTGGTTGACTGTATTAAAATAATCTCAGGCCTAAATAGAAGAACGGTTGGGATTTATTGGAAGAATGTGAAACACTATCAGTTATCAAACTTCTAGAGGTGTACAACAATGAACTAATAAGAACAAAGTATACACAAGTTTGACTCTGGATAGAACAGGTCCAAACCCTTCATGAAAATCTGCATCTCTAGTGACTTACTCTATAGTAAAATCAGCTTTCCCTCAAGAGTGAGCTGATAGTTTTCTGCTTCTTTTCTGAACCCATCACACTGCAAATGAAAGGGGAAGAGACAGTCAAAAGAGCCATGCCATCTACCAAGCAATCCTACTTATGTAACATGCACATAATTTACGTGGCTGTTGTTGTTAGTCGTGAAGTTGTGTCCAACCCATCGTGACCCCATGGACAACATTCCTCCAGGCCTTCCTGTCCTCCACCATCCCCCACATAATTTATAGTTCATAACATTTATGGGGTGGGATCTTAGGATTTGCAATCAAAAACAGTAGCATGCAAATGACACAGAGCTCTATTTATCCTTTCCAACCTACTCAGGTATGGTGCTGAATCAGCAGCAATAGGGTTCAGTGTGGGTCAACAAACTGAAGCCCTAGACAAGAATTCTAGACAAGACCAAGGCACTGGTAATTTCTCTGTCCAGATGAATGGTGCTCAGCCTGTTCAGCAGGGGTCTGGAGGTCTATTACTATCCATCACTGTCATTAAAGGTGCAGGTAGCTTGTGTGGTATGGAGTGGCTTTTATTAGTTCAGCTGATACTCCATTTTGACCCATATGGATGTAGATAACAATTCATGATCTGATAACCTGCCATTTTGAATACTGCAGTGTATTGTAGATGGGGCTGTTCAGAAATGTGGAAACAATCAATTGCAGCAGAATATGGCAGTAAAAATTTTAACTGGGACCAGCATTATGAACATAGGATAGTATTTTCTTGCTTTATTGGCTTCTGCTTTGCTTGCAGGTTCAATTCAAAATGCTAGTTTTGACCTATGAAGTAACACATGGCTGGAAATGCTGGTATCTTAAGGAACATCTTTTCCTATATGTACCTACCAGTGCCTTAAGATACTGAGCTCAGATCTTTCTCCAAGGCTGTCCTCAATTTGAAGTATGGAGGGTGGTAGGGAAAGAGAAGGTTGTTTCAGTCATGTTTCCAATTGTGAAATGCTCTCCCTAGATGGGCCCACCTGCCACCTCTTGTAACAAGAACTTTCTTGTTCACATAAACTTTAAAACAGTTTAAAATAATAAGCAACAGCTATTACAAAGATCATTTTACTTCAAGTCTCTACTTTTGCTGTTTATTTTATAACCTTATAGACTATTGTCACTGTTTGTGTTATCCCTTCTGCTGATGGTGCCCTGGGGCATTATATATTGTATTATTTCTCTTTTTTGACATAATTAGTGTCCATAATTAGTCTTAACTGAAAACTAGGATAAGTGGTGACTTACAAATGCAAATAATAAAAAGATAAATAACGTAACAGAGGTCTCTATTGTGGTATTGCTTTTATTTGTTTCTGTAAAATATTTAGCTGCTTAAATTGCCATTTTTAGTTTAACCAAATAAAAACTTTTGCTTTGGTGAGTCCATCAAACAATTCGGGTTGCATTCCTACACCAACTTATGTGGGAGTAAACATTCATAGAACTGTGTTGCATGACACAAGCTTAAACACAGTATTAGAAAATATATGTGTTTTCACAGAAGATATGGAAAATTGAGGGATAAAATGGAAATCTAAAATTATTTCTTAGAAAGCTCAACATTCATGAGAGAGCAATCATTAACACAATAATCTTTACAATGACAGCACTGTTTTACCCTGTGTGTGCATTTTCTGCCATCAAGTCATTTCCGATTTATGGCGACCCCATGAATGAAAGTCCTCCAAAACATCCCATCCATAACAGTTCCATTCCACTCTTCCAACATCAAGACTGTGGCTTCCTTTATGCATTCAGTCCATCTTGCATTTGATCTTCCCTTTCGTCTTCTGCCTTCAACTTTCCCTAGTGCAACTGCCTTCTCCAGTGAGTCTTTCCTTCTTATGATGCCTGAAATATGACAGCCTCCATTTTATCATTTTTGCTTCTTTTGCCTGCTTGGACTAGGACCCACTTGTTTGCCTTTCTGTTGGTCCACATTATTCAAAAAGCTCTCCTCCAGGACCATGTTTTTTATGCATCGATTTTCTTCTTGTCAGCTTTCATACCCACACATTGTGATTGGAAATACAATAACTTGGATGATCTTGACCTTGGTCTCTAATAAAACAGCAACTAACCCCTAACCCTTACACTTGATAATCTTTTCATTACTGCTTTCCCAAGTCTCAATCTTCTTCGAATTTCTTGGTTGCAGTCTCCCTTTGAATTGATGACTGAGCTGCAGTATATGAAATCTTTTACAGTTTTGATTTCTGCATTATTAACGGTAAAGTTCTGTAATTCTTCTGTGGACATGATTTTTGTTTTCTTAATATTTAGCTGTAGTCCTGCTTCTGTGCTTGCTTTTTTCATTTTTTATCAGGAGTTATTTGAAGTCATTGCTGCTTTCTACCAGTAGACCCCTTGTAGACACATTTATACACCCACATTTCCTTCCTTTTGTAAAAAGATGGTTAATATAAGAAGCTATTTTGAAAATAACTATGTCAACCTACTTGTGTTTAATGCCTCTGAGACAAACTTTCTCACTTAAAGTCTTATGTCCCTGAGGTATCAGGGGTGGGGTTCAGGCAGACCTACTTCCTTCCTTTTATAATAGACCCTTATCCATTGCTTTGGCCTAGCCAGTGTGTGCCGGTACAATAAAATTGAACTGGAATGATTGCATTTATTTTCCAGAGGGGTAGTCACGATAACCTTTGTAGCAAAAACAACAAGAGTGTTGTGGCACCTTAAAATCTAGCCTAACAAACTGAATCTGGCATAAACTTCCACAGACACTACTTATGATAAAGTGGCATTTGAAGAAGTGTCTGCTGTCCACAAAACTGTACACCAGAATAAACTTCCCTGCCTTTACATTGTCCCTAAACCTTCTTGCTACTGTGCTTAAAAGCCTGCAGAAAAGCTTTTGATTTGGTTAAATTTTGACCTAAGTCAGTGGACTTTGTGCATTTCTTTAAGCTCACCTATTTTACTATCATAATTCAAATAACATTTCCGCTACCTGTCGTCCCCCGCACATTGTCTGCACCTTAACATCTTAAAACATCACCATACATTAAGAGTATGTGTTTTTTAATATTCACATTTTCCTTTTAAGTAGTGAAAAAGAATATAGACCTGGAGCTATTGCTTTTCCACACGATGAACCTTCTTTAAATAACTTGATATCAAATACTACCTTGGTTCCAAGCCGCCCTGGGACGTGGCTACGCTGCAGCAAATACACAAGTCAAAATCAAATCCAAAATCCGGCCCGGATTGTGCACTTCTCATCATACAATGGGCCCTCACTACCGCTAGAGGTCGCCATGCGGGCGGGCTTAGAGGTGGCTGACCTACCTGTTCGCCCATTGGCTGCGCTCTCGCTTGCGCAGATATCACGTAGTGACGTGCGGCAGGCTCGCGCGTGCCGTCGCCGTCGCCCCACCGCGGCGAAGCTCCAGGTCCGGTCATCACGTCGGTGAAATCGGGATGATGATCCCGGGTGGCTTCTGGGCTGCCTTGAGCGGGCCGAGGAGGAGGTGGCTACGCGGCCTGTAAAGACCAGCTTCCAGAGCGAGGCGCCTCCCCTTGCCGCTCCCTGAGAGGGTTGAGCGTGCTTCAGCCTCCTTCTCTTCAGCCGTCAGGTAAGGGCGGCCGCTGCCAGACTCCCCTCCCCCTCAGGCTACGGAGAAAAGGGGTCGCCCCGTCCTCTAAACCGGAAGTGTTTGCCCTCGCTCTAGCCCGCCTCTTAAAGGGGCGTGTCGGTTTTCTCAACCTGTCCGTGTCGCCACTAGCGTCTTCACTTAGAGACGTTTTAGAAGAGGGAGTGTTTCTCGCGTTCTCATTGGGCGCCCCACTGCCATAGGAGGACCAGGTTTCTCTTTGCCTCGAAATGGGGCCCCATAGGGAAAAAGGTGGGTCCTGTTGTTGTTGTTAATCGCAAAGTCGTGTCCGACCCATCGCGACTCCATGGACAATATTCCTCCAGGCCTTCCTGTCCTCCACCATCTCCCGGAGTCCACCTAAGCTCACAGCAACTGCTTCAGTGACTCCAGCCACCTCATCCTCTGCGTCCCCTTCTTCTTTTGCCATCTGTTAGCCTAGTCCTAATCATGTTTGCTTGAGGTCCTGCTGTGTTGAGTGGAGCTGAGGGACGCTCAGCTCAGCACAAGTAGGATCGCATCCTACTCGTTAGTGCAGGATCCGCTGAGTAAACGCCCCTGTCCAGGTGTTATGAGAATACTTGCACTGCAAAGCTTCCACAGAACAGGAATAAGACCATTTGGAAGTTTAGCTGTGAGTTACTTGAACAGAATATTCTTTTCTATTTTACATTATATGTGTGCATAATACTTCCCAAAATGAAGACTCTATAGGCCATTCATACCACTCTATAGAAGTGATTCATACTTGCTAAATTCACAGAGAGAATATTTCTTTATATTTTAGCAAACTTGAAATTGTCTATAGGATATTCCCTAATTTTTAAAAAAATCAAAACTTAAAGCAGATAATTCTTTAGACAAAATGACTGACCAAGCAATGATTTTTGTAATGGGTGATACAAGCATGTTTAATTGCATAGTGTTGGTCTGCAAGAAGTGTAGTAGAAATTCCATCCAAATTCTAAGAGTGAGAAAGCAAACTCGTACAAATGGGTTTTCCAGGTGTGTATAGGACTACAGTAAAAGAGTAAAAGACCTTGTTTGGAAGTTTACCAAAATTAGTAGTGTAACTTAAGTTAAAGTTGAATGCAATGATTTAATGTGTTGCAGTTGATAGCTTACTGTCATCAGCTGTGCGATGTTCTGCTCATATTATATGATACTGTTCTGAGTGGGACAGTGTAAATTGGTAACCTGCAACAGCAGGGGCTTGGACCTGATGACAGTCTTGCCCCCTTCCAACTCTAGCTTTCTATGATTTTACTCTTATTTATGAATTTATGCAAACTAAGCAAAGGAAAAATCCTTCTCTAGTCAAGTGTACAATGACAGTTAAAGGACTGAAGCTGTTTTCTTTAACTAAAAATAGAGAGGGAGGAGTGAGAAAACTCAAGATTAAAGATATTCAAGTTCTGTTCCTTTTTGTGAATTAGGTCTTCCTCTTCAGAATGCCAGTGATAAACTCTCAGAACTATTTTTAATGCTTAACTGTGTGCATAATTCTTGAAAGCAAAATCCACAGATGGTCACTGCTTTACTCTGAATTCCATAAGCTGCAAACCAACTGGCAACTATAAAGCCCTCTTCAAACTCATCTGTTTCCATTTACTAAATCAGACAGAGGGAAAGAAAAATGGGTGTTCTGCATTATTTTATATTTGAACTAGAGTTTTTAATTTCTATGAGATTACCAGAGTATAATGATTACAATAATAACATTCACTGTGATTAATTATAATTGCATTTTAAGTGCAGGAGACATGTCTCATGTTCCTTTCCTTTCTAAAAGCAGACTACATATTAAATGGATTTCAACTTTGAGAAAGAACTACATGACATCTTCAGTCCAACAGCAGGGTATATATAACCCACTTTAATATAATGCTCTCTCTACTAAGAAATAAGTGCCTAGTGTATGATTGCAACACCAATGAAATTTTTAAGAGATCCTAGACAGTAGCTTCTCACAGATGAAAATATTGGTAATTCTGTGACTGTTGCATATAATTTCTTATCCAGTTACTCATTGTTAGATAAAGCATTGTATGCTAAGGCATGCACAAACCCTCAGCATCTCTAAGTGGTTTCTAGCTCTTTCCAAATAAAATATGCCCATCTCTGTGTGCACAAAGGTAAATCAGCCTTCATCGCCCTTTATCCTGAAACAATAGATAACATCCACCAAGATAAATAATCTGGCACCAATGAAAGGCAGTCCACATCCCAATTATCAAGGAGAAAATCTAGTCTACTCAGTGACACTTTTCCCGGAGTAAACATGCTTAGATCAAACTGCAAGTGCCTTTCATTTATGGAGAAAATGGCATTCAAGGCAGCTTACAAAAATAAAATAAAATAAAATAAAATAAAATAAAATAAAATACATTAAATAAAACAAAACAGTTGTAGAATAAAAGCAACTAACCCACAAACCTCCTTATAGGCTAAAAGCCTTCTTGAATAAAGCAGGTTTTGCCTGCCATCAGGCAAAGAGGAAGCAAGAAAAGAAAAGTTAAAAGCCCATTTAACTCAGTAGAGCTTCATAGTTGACCTGCTGTAAATTAGTGTTATCCTGTAAAGAGATAGTAGCTCCTATGAACTTGGGTTCAGAAATGGCCCAAAAGATTTATGCACATCAAATTTTTTCAGCAGCAAATGGGACACTAATAATCTTCTTCTGCACTAAACCATTCTGCTCTCGATATAGGGGGCGCTATTGCAGCCATTTTTTTTAAAGCTAGTAAATGTTATATAGCTTTTAGAAGTGTAGTTGCTTACAGCAGGACATTTGGCCTGCCAGTTATGTCTTAAATACCTTTGTTAAAGGTAAAGTTTCTTTCCCTAAAAGTATTCCAATAACATGTGACTGGATGGTAGGGAGTTTCCAGCTGTGCTGTTTGTCTTGTTTAGTAATACTTGCTAATCCTGAAAAGTCACATTTACTATTAACATTTATAAACACTTGACAGAGACACTTTTTAGGTAGGCAAGTCAAGGAGTCTTATCTAAAGCTGGGTGTAATGAGAGCTGTCTTCGTTATAAACCTTCTGTTACACAGCAGCTTCTCAGTACTGCACAAAAAGTGCATCTGAAGTTATCAGAAACAGGATTCCATGAAGTATGGGAATGCTGCTATTTATGAAAGAAAATTTAAAGTTTTGCTGTACTTGTGTAAGCCCATGTGCAAATTTAATGGATCTTGTGCAATTGGGGCCATTGTGAGAAGGGAAACTCAAGTAAAATCAATGGGGCTTAATTCAATGTAATTGTGTTTCAGCATGAGGATCTTCACAGAAGTAGTCACATGAGTCAAATGTTGTTTTTCTGCTATTAAACTTCTCCTGCCTTCTCATAGAACACATATATTGGTTCCAAATTCTACACTAACAGCTTTACTTAGTGCAGAATTTGAGCAGAGCTGGAAGGTCAGAATAGATGGCCCAGCAGGCCCCTTCTGATTTGCTCTGTTTCTCTGTTATTTCTTTGCTTGTCTTGCCATGCTTTAGATGTAGCTTTGCTCCTTTAAAAGCAGACATAAAGCACTTTTTTTGTGGGGGGGATTCTAAAACTCCCTTAAATGAGGTGGAGGACACAGTGTCACTACTGGCAGACAGTCAGTGTTGTACATAGGGTTGGATCCAGCCCATGGATGGGAGATAGAAGATGACATTTCTGCCCCTCTTTCTCTCAGTAGCCCTCAATCCAAGCTCACATAATTCCCTGTTGAATGGGATGGGCTGGTTTGAGAGGGTGAGGTATTGAGGAAATCAAGCTCAACCACCCACTCACAGGATTCCCTTTTGCTCTCTGTCCACTGTACCAGTTTTATAGGGGAAGATGAATGGAAAAGTTAGCTTCCACTTGTCCACTTCCCTGGTCCTTTATTTGGATCCAACCTATAGTCAGCTTTTGTTGGAAACTAACAGCAGATTTGACCTGAGTTCATTCTTGCTCTGGGTAATAATGAGCATTTGATGAAGATGGGGGGTGACTACATTTCCACACTGCCTTGACTGCTTTAATTACTCATATCTGTATTCACAGTGGAAAGAATGTGCATTTTACTTGATGTAACATGGAATATTTTAGGACAGATGGTGCTGATTTTTGCCAGTGAGACTCATGATCTGTCCAATCCTGCCTTCAGATGTTTAAGATCATCACTCCTATCAGCCCCAGCCAATATGGGGAATTTTCAGGAATGCTGGGAGATGTAGTTGAAAACATCTGCAAGCTATCAGCAGGGTGAAAAATATCCGAAGTTTTAGCAAGATACCAAGGAATGAATAGATAAGTAAAGAATGTGTTTATTTGCATAGCCACCATTAATAGGAAACTTGAGCTAAAGTTTCCTGACTAAACAAGTAAATTTCTGCAGTGGAAAGGGTAGGAGACAGAATTATATATAAAAAAGTAAAACATACAAATTCTCCCCCCCCAGAGTGTTTGGAAAATTGGGAGGGGGGGTTTCCTGTTTTTTGTACTCCTCCCCCCCAACTCCCCAATTTTCATCTCTATTAGTTTAACCAAATAGAATTTTCCAGAATACTAGCACTGGAGGGTTGTTAGTACTTTCTGTTCTTTGAGAAGAAAACAGTCAAGACGTATGAAAGAAAAGCCATAATTTTTGTCTATGGCCCAGTTGTTCTAATTCTGGCTAAGCACTACTGAGTAAGTATGCCAGTGTATGCTACTTAATCACTCCTGCTTGGCTTTTCTTGCCAGTGGGAATACCTAATTTGAACTAAGAAGTCACTAGCAAGCAAAAGCTTGGGGTTGTGTCTGAACAGGCATGCTTGGTTTGTCATCTTAAAACCAGCTATAATCTGAAGCCAAGGGTTTGTTGTTTGCTTTTGAAACACTTGCTTTTTAGCAACAAGTCAGCATTCTTGCTTATGAGATCTGAGCTATGTCTAATTCTTAGATGGCTCAAAGTTTAATTATAATTTGGAAAGATAAGTCTTTCACTTTCCTTGATCTAGCATTGGGTATAAATTGGTCCAAAGCATCGGTTCCTAACTTGATGCTCTGTAGAATTAAGCTACAATATGAAAAGCAAAAGAAAAAATATTTCATAATCAAAAGCAGTCTGATTGTTTTGGATTAAAGCATCTCATATTTGGATTCATCTGAGAGGCATTAATGGAATTCCTTAAGACTTGTTAAAGTTATTGTCAAATTTCTTTAAAAATCGCCATATTCTGCCTTCATTTAAGTAGTTAGTGATGCGTTGTACAGAATGTTGGCAGAAAATTTTTCAATTCAATTTTTTCCAGGAAATCTACACCACTTTTGGTTAGATTACACTGATATACTCTATGTGATTGCCTTTGAAGATTTCTTGGAAGCAGAAATGGCCTGCTTCTTTATGGGAATAAGCCAGGGAGCACAGATAAGTGTTGTCTGGACCAATGGCTCCTCCTGTCAGTAGCTACCTCTTTGCTTCTATACTCTGTTTTCTGTGCTCTGCTGAAATGAGGTTGAGGAGGGTGTTACAATGGTGGCACTCACTTTGTAGAGCCTACTTCCTCAGGAGTTTTTCCATTATGTCATTTTGCCAAATGATATATTTTTCTTATTCTAAGAGGTGTTTTCGTCTGAGCGTACAATGTATGGTGCTTTTAACTATTGCTCAGTTTTTCTGGGATTAACTTTTAATAGTTTTTTTTAGCTTCTAATGTTTTGTGAGGAGCTTTGCATCAGTGCTGTGTAATTTTAATGACATGTATGTCCTGTTGGATAGACTTAGGCAGAAAATGAAGCCGGAAATAAATAATTTGTAGTTATTTGGAAATGTTGAGAGTAAGATAATTGAAAATATTGAAGAAAACTCATTTTCTTGTACCCTTCTATAGCCATCTGAAAATTATGTGGAAATGGGGGAGTGGAGATGATTCAGCCTCTAAATCTGGAGTAAGTAGTCGATTTTTAAAAAAATCATGACTTTTGTCTGAAATATATACAGCTGTAACTTACATTAACTCTAAACATTACATGCTTATAATGAATAATTTTATGAACTTTTTAAGGAACAATCCTGTGCCTCTGGACATTATCTGAGGGGCCTTAAATACAGTGGTACCTCGGCTCACGAATGCCTCAGTTCCCAACCAAATCGGATCGCAAACAAAAAATTCATAAAAATTTTGACTCAGGTCACAAATTCCGCATTGGCTGGCAGCTGCAATCTTGGCCATCTCCCCACCCCCTTGAGTGGGGAGATGGCTGCGATCATGCTGGGGGTGTGTGTGTGTGTGGGGGGAGATGGCTGAGATTGCACCCATCTTTCCTGCACAAGTTCAACCGCAATCTTGGCCATCTCTACCCCCCAGGACGATCGCACCTGTCTCCCCCCCTGGGTGCCCCCCTTTTTTTGCCTGCCCCCCCCCCCCCCCCGCCAGCACGCCTGTGTTCACTCCCTTCTCTCCTCCCCCCCAGTGCACCAGGATGACGGGCGCATGCAGGGATAAGGGGTGCAATTGCGGTCATGCTGGGGTGGAGCGGGGAGATCGCTGCGCTTGTGCTCGGGGCAGTGGGGGAGATTTGTTGTTCTTTGTCACTTTGCTTCACATTTTTCTGATTAAAAAAAAAATAGTTACAGAACAGATTAACCTTATTTACATTGCACCTTATGGGGAAATTTAACTTGGCTCACAACCAATTTGGGTCACAACCAGAGTCCTGGAACGGATTAAGTTTGTGAGCCAAGGTACCACTCTACTGAAGATGTTCCCTTCCAAGGTCAGAGAGTGTACTGTGCCCTCCCCCCGAAATAACCCTGCCTTCTGATCTCTGAGATTAGAAAAGCAATCCTAGACAGGATGAAAAGGGAATGTTTTCATGGGCAGGAAGGAGAAAAGACCAGAGACACCAAAATACGAACTAACCAAAGATCTCTCCAGCCTACTTCCCATCCCCTCCAGAGCACCATAGCTAGACAGGCAAAAAAAAAAAAAAAAAAAAAAGCCCTTCTAGTGAAAAAAGTGGGGGTGGAAGTATGGGGAGGCAAAGATCATCCCCTCGCTCCTTCTGTGCTGCATTGGATTGTTAGAAGCCTCTGAGGTTGGGAACTTTTGATCCCTGAGGGTGCAATCAGTGGGATGTAATCTTTACATCTCAAATGTTTTTGGTGAGTTAGTGTACCCAATATAATTTTCTCCATTCTCAGCCTTAAATGAAGACTGCAGTAGGTTTCTTTTGTTTGTATTCCTCTCATGTAAAAGGTATCACCGCTTTTCAGCTGGGGGGTGCTTATAATGTGTGGAGGCAAGCTTTTATTCATGTTTTTCTACCCAGGTGAGATCTTAGATGCATTAATTGGTGAGGTGTGATTGATTTCCTGATTGGTTTAAAAATCTCTAGACCTGAGATGAATGCTCATGATCCTCCAGATCAAGTCTGAACAGAAAGTAGATTTCTGAATGTTTTGAACTTCAGCTTTTAGCACAACTGACCATTAACCACTCTGGCAGAGGCTTCTTACAGTTGCAGTCTAAACTGTCTGGAGATCTAATTTCTGTACCTCTTTGCTTCAGACGATAGACTTAAACTGCCAGAGCTCCAGTCAGCATGGCCAGTGGTCACAGGAGAGTTGCGAAAACACAGCAGTTCTGCCCTCTGCATCACCACTTCACAGCAAGCTAAAACCTGCCAGTTCAAACCCTGTTTAGGTGTGCTTTCAAACTTTCTTAAAGCTAAGTATGGGTGCTCCATGTGCGCCATGTTGCATCAGAAATAGGCACCATACAGTGTTATATATACATTCTCTTAAGTACATTGAGATGAAAAATTGTTCAAAACATTTAGACATGAATCTAGGCAGAAGAATGCTTTTTTCACTCTGGCATGTGTATTTATTGGAGTAAACGGATCTGTCCTGGGTGGCAGGAGAATTCAGTGCCTTCATTGGAATGCTCTTTCCTCAGTAAATAGCTGGTTTTGGCCACACGTTAAAGCATTGGAGAGCTGTCTCTTCAGCTTCCTTTTCCTGACACTAAAAGAGGGGCAATTTTGTATTCTAATAATATATGAATATTTTGTTGCCTACATCATTTTGTTGTTGCAAAATTAACTCTGTTATTTCTAGCTTCACAACAGCTCTCATGCAGCAAACATGTCAGTAGCTGATTTGACTGAACAGCTGGCCCAAACTGAACAGCTGGTAGCACAACTCAAGGAACTCGTCAAAGAAAAGGATAATGAGTTACACAGCAAAGAGCAACAGTTAAAGGTATTTGTGTATCAAGATATTTGTATATTTACACATTAAAATGGATTTATGTTGTCTTGAAAGTGACCTGCATTTCATAAAAAGTTGTTATTTCAGTCCGAGTTTTAGAAGGATTATAAATAGCAGATACATCTTCCTTCTAGTTTATTCTGAGTTTCTGCAACTTGCCAGATTTCATTGTCACTCAAAATGCAAATGTTCCCAAATAGGAACAGATGCTGTTGATAAATCCAGGGTTAAAATTATGCATTTCTAATTGGGAATTTTCATTTATAATTTCAAATCTGGTGCAGAGCCACCTGCCTTGGAACTGTAGTTCATTCAGTGCAAAAACCTTATCATATATTGGGAGTGTTTGGGTATATGCAATATTTGTAATTAAATATAAAAACAAAGACTTAATCTTTAGGATGAAAAAGAAGCTGCTGAGACCAAGATTTCAAAAATAAAGCTGCAAAACAAGGCCAAAGTAACATCTTTAACTGCACAATTGGAGGAACTTAAGAAACAATTACCAGGAACTAAAGTGCAAGAAGGAAAACCTGAGCAAAAGAAAGTGAGTTATTTCCTTATATATTTAGAAAGACTTTAAATAATTGGTCACAGTCTTTTGATTTGACTTTTTAAAATTAAATATTTTTCAAGTATTATTTAAACAAAATTAAGTTCAGGATTTTCAATAGGCCTTCCTTTTCTTTTCCTAAAATAGCAGGAGGTAAAATAATTCAGTTTGTAGAGGGCATGCTTTGCTAGTAGATGGTTGCAGGTTTAATAACAGGTAATCTGGAAAATTCTCTTGGAAAGCTGTGGGTTAGTATTGAACTAAGTCAGGTGTGGACAACTTGTAGGGCAAAGCATCTCAAGAGCCGCAACACCCATGATTCCTTACCATTGACTATGTTAGGTAGGGCTGATGAGAATTATAGGCTTAATTCTGGGTGAACAAAAAGTCTGAGTTGCTATTAGACAATTATTTGATATTTTAAGACAAAACCATAGGTGTCTCTTGTTGTGTTTTTTTTTACAACCTATTCATTTTATTTTCTCGTTGAGCATGTTAAAATTTCCAAGTCTGAAAAGAATTATTATTATTATTATTATTATTATTATTATTATTATAACATTTCTATGCCGCCCCTTGCTGAAGCCTCGGGGCGGCTTACAACACAATAAGATACATTCAAATACAATAGAACATAATAAATTACCACTTAAATACAAAAATACAAAAATACACTGAGATACAATAATATAAAATTAAAATTAACAGTATAAAATAAGTAAATAAAGAATATAGGAGGAGAAAAGAGAAGGAAGAAGAAGTTGTCCTGGCCAGATCATATATTTTAACAATTAAAATGATGTTTAAATAAAAAGGTCTTTACCTGGCGCCGAAAAACCAGTAACGACGGAGCCAGGCGGACCTCTTTGGGGAGTGAATTCCATAGGTTGGGTGCCACCGCAGAGAAAGCCCTCCTCCGAGTACTTACTCTCCTAATTTCTTTCATGGAGGGTTCCCGGAGAAGGGACTCTCTCGCAGATCTCAAGGGGCGGTCGGGCATATACGGACGTAAGCGCTCGTTCAGGTAGCCAGGACCCAAGCCGTTTAGGGCTTTATAGGTCATAACCAACACCTTGAATTGGGCCCGGGCTTCAGTGGGAAGCCAGTGAAGCTGACGGAGGACTGGAGTCATGTGAGCATAATGCCCCGTCCCCATCAGCAACCTGGCAGCTCTATTTTGCACCAATTGAAGTGTTCGGACCGTCTTCAGGGGAAGCCCCACGTAAAGCACGTTACAGAAGTCTAGGCGGGAAGTCACCAGCGCGTGTGTCACCGTCGCCAGGCAGTCGTACTCCAGGTAGGGGTGCAGCTGATTAATCAGCCGAAGCTGAAGGAAGGCGCTCCTCGCCACCGCTGTCACCTGAGCTTCCAAAGAAAGCTCTGGGTCGAGGAGTACTCCTAAGCTGCGGATGCTCTGTTTGATAAAACAAATGATGAAAACCTAAGTTTCTCATAAAATTGTTGACCTCTGAAATAGTTCAAATTATTAATTTTTCACTTCATTTGAGGCTAAATTTTTAAAACCTATATTTTTAGGGCTGTAGAGATGGCGATCAGGATAATGCTGCTGCAAGTCGTGGAAAAATATTGGTACTTAAAAAGAAAGTTGAAGAATTAGAAACACAGAATAGCCAAAGAAATGAAGAGCTACAGAAAAAGGTACCATTTTGTATGAGGATGTGATAATTCTTTTTATCCTGGCATTACTTCAAAATGTTGAGCAGCCATTTTCTCTGAAACTTGTGCACATCTTTTCTAACTGGCTGGTAAGGTATGCTGTTAGTGAATACTTGAAATATTTGTGTTTTCTCTGAGAAGAGGATTAAATGCAGTGATTATTCCTCTATATTTTGTCCAAAAGTCGCTTTATTTTGTTTTATCTAGATATCTGTATTTATTGCACTATAGCATATGGAAATAAGCATTTGTGATACAACCCTATTCTAAACATGTCCTGTGCACATGGAATTGCAAGACTGAAATGTTGAAAGGATCTTTGATATTTTGATCTAAAGCCTCATTTGTGAATCTTGCTGACTATAGACTGTTAGGAATTCCTGTGATGTTGGTAGTATTAAAATTCTAGAGAATGAGTGGGTTTTTCTGAGTTCATCAATGTCAGACTCATTCATGTTCTATGTTATTCACAAAGTCAATTCCGACCCATTGCAACCCCATGGACAACATTCCTCCAGGCTCTCCTATCCTCCACCATCCCCCAGAGTCCACTTAAGCTCATGCCGACTACTTCAGTGACTCCATCTAGCCACCTCATCCTCTGCCGTCCCCTTCTTCTTTTCCCGTCAGTTGTTCCCAGCATCAGGCTCTTCTCCAGGGAGTCCTTCCTTCTCATTAGGTGGCCAAAGTATTTGAGTTTCATCTTCAGTATCTGGCCTTTTAAAGAGCAGTCAGGGTTGATCTCCTCTAGGATTGACCGGTTTGATCGCCTTGCAGTCCAAGGGACACGCAGGAGTCTTCTCCAGCACCAAAGGCCTCAAGTCTTCGGCGCTCAGAGTCTGTTGTTGCTAAGACTTCCTAAGGCCCTTTTGACTTAACATTCCAGGATGTCTGGCTTGAGGTCAGCGACCACCCCATCGTGGTTATCAGGAACGCTAAGGTCTTTCTTGTATAGTTCTTCTTTGTAATCTTGCCGCCACCTCTTAATCTCCTCTGCCTCTGTTAGGTCCCTGCCATTTTGGTCCTATATCAGGCCTATCTTTGCATGAAATGTTTCCTTCATATCTCCAATTTTCTTGAAGAGGTCTCTAGTCTCTCCTATTCTATTGTTTTCTTCTATTTCTTTACACTGTTCATCTAAGAAGGCATTCTTATCTCTTCTAGCTATTCCCTGGAATTCTGCATTCAATTGGGTGCATTTTTCTCCCTTGCCTTTTGCTTCCCTTCTTTCCTCAGCTGTTTGTAAAGCTTCCTCAGACAGCCATTTTGCTTTCTTGCATTTCTTTTTCTTTATGATGGTTTTAGTTGCTACCTCTGTCCATATTTCTTCAGGCACTCTATCAGATCTAATTCCTTAATCTATCTGTCACCTCTACTGTATATTCATCAAGAATATGATTTAGGTCATACCTGAGTGGCCTAGTGTTTTTCCCTATTTTCTTCAATGTAAGCCTGAATTTTGCAACCAGAAGTTCATGATCTGAACCACAGTCAGCTCCTGGTCTTGTTTTTACTGACTGTATAGAGCTTCTCCATCTTTGGCTGCAGAGCACATAGTCAATCTGATTTCTGTGTTGACCGTCTGGTGATGTCCGTTTGTAGAGACATCTCTTGGGTTGTTGGAAAAGAGTGTTTGCTATGATCAGGGCGTTCTGCCAGCCTGTGCCCTGCTTCATTTTGTACTCCAAGACCAAAATTTCCTGTTATTCTGGTTATCTTTTGGCTTCCTACTTTAGCTTTCTACTTTCCTACAGTATCAGCAGGATCATTCATACCAATATGTAAACAGTTTTAACCATGATACTAGCAGGATCAGTACTGCAAACACAGGAACATACGTAGCTGTTCCTAGTCAACTGTTTTTCAGCCAGTCATTCAGATAGAAAGCAATAGGTGATAGACTTCTCAAAAAGAAATCTCATCATGGTCTGATAGCAGGCAAAACAAATTCTGCCTGTAGAGGGTTTTTTTTTTGGGGGGGGGGTGGCAGGCTGGGAATTAAAAGGAAAAAACAAAACAAAACCCTGAAAAAATGCATATCATCTTTAAAGGATGGAAAGTAATGGTGATAAATGGAGATATCCAACATTAAAATCAGAATGGAAAAAGATAAAGAGATGCCAATGTAACATTTTTGATGAAGACATGATTTTATTTCCAGATTGCTGAGTTAGATGCTGCATATCAGCGGGGGGCTGAAATGGATTCCATGCTTGCAGAGAAGCAAAAAAAATTAGCTGAAAAAGAAGCCTACATAATTGATTTACAGCTAGCCTGTGGATCAGCTAATGATGCCAAAGAAGTACTAATACTTAACAATGAATTAAAGGTATACTAAGTTATGGTTTATTTATTAATTATATGCCTCCCAGTAGCCAATTGTCTACTGGGAAGACAACGCTCTCCCTTTCCCTTTGTCTTTGAAGACATAGGAGTGCAGAGAATATGTATGTATGTATGTACATACATACAGATGTACACACACATACAACTACTGTTTTACTTAGCAGTGAGGGGAATTCATCTGCAGGTGTGGCAGCTTCCTTAATATGTTGAGCATTATTCACAAAAGCATAAGCCTTTGATTACTGCCCATATCATGTAATTCTTCTGCTGCTACTTTTCAGATAAACCAAATAAATATTTAGCTGCGTATATAATAAATCAAAACTGGAGTACTTTCATACTTGTGTTCTAATTCTCTTGCTTTGTGATATTCATAGAATCAGCTTTCAGCAAAAGAGGCTTCATTGCAGAGTATGCAAATCCTAGTACAGAACCTTACCAAGAAAGTTGGAGACAGTGAAGAAAGATGTAGCCTCCTTGAAGAACAAATTGAAAATCTTAAAAGCCTTCAGAATAAAGAGAGGGAGCACTTCCAGGAAAGAGAAGCCATGTACACACAAAATGTAAGTTGGTCTTTGTAAAACATAATTAATCTTTGATGTTTAATGTTTGGATCCTAATTAGGACAGTAATGAATGAATCAATGAATATATTTTTAGTGAAAATAATGGATAAGAAGAATATTTTCTTTCTTAAGTATATAAAATGATAGAATTGGTAGCATTGAGGGATTCTGAAAAGTATTCATTTTTCCACACTTTTGCCAGAGGGTAGTTGCACAGTGGTTATGTTCTTGTTGCTCAGTTGTTAGAATGAATCTAGAGGTCTTTCTTTAAGGTAGGAGTGTTTGTTCTCATCAGTGGTCTAGGATACTTGGTGTTATTCATTAGTCTTTTTTGTTTGTTTGTTTGTTTGTTTGTAATAAGGAAGACACCATTATTTATTTATTGTGAGCCGCCCCGAGGCTTTGGCGAATGGGGCAGCATAGAAGCTTCCTAAATAAATAAATAAATAAAATATAAGTGTTATATTACGGAGTTTATTTTCAATCAAAATTACATTGTTTATATTTTACTACAGTTCTGGTTAGTCAGATTATAGAGTTTATAATTCAGTCTGAAGTTGCTCTGTGTGAACCAATTTTCTGGAAGTATTTTTTTCTTTCCTTTTTTTAAGATCCGTATGTTTCAGAATATTATCCAGGAAAAGGAAAAAGAACTTATAGACTTGGCCCAAAAACATGAGCAAGAACTCTTTAAAGTGGCAGCAAAATCTGATGCTAGTGCTGATCTAGAACAGGTAAGGAGAAGGTGCTGTGGTTCAGTGTAAGATTTTGATTATCAGGATCCCTAGTTAAAGCTTCTTAGTTTCTACACTGTCAATTTAATTTAGCCAATGGACCGTAGTTCCAAAAATAGTTAAGCAGTGTGGTATTCTCTTGGACAGACACTCTAGTATGTTCTTACCTTCTCAATTACAGTGACAACCATGGAGAAATTTCTCCGTGACATAGTAGAGTAAGAAAGTGTGTCTATTCTTCATTTCCATGCAGATAAAAGCAGGAAGAGATAGGCCTGCTTTTGACATCCCTTTTTCTATTCCCCTAAACAGCTGTAGATTGGCAAACTCTCTGACCAGAAATGCCCACTCATATTTCACCAGTAATCATGATTCTTTTCTGACCCTGGCCACCAAAAATAATGCACTGTTTAGTTTGTTCAGAAAAATCCACTCATCTCTTCTGTAAGAGATATAGCTGTCACAGGAAGGATAACAAGGTGTAACAGAATTAAAGGAGGAACCGTAGAAGGGCTTGGTGGAAATGAGAAGAGACCTTTTGTAATCCTATAACTTGAGGTTCCCCATTCCTGAGACCCTGAAAACTGATAGTTTTTCTTGGATAGATGACTTGTTTAACTGAGTAGATATGTGGAATTTAGTTTCACAGGAGGTGAAGGTGGGGTGGGTTAGGAATGGAAGAGGACAGAATGGGGTAATGGAAATCTTCAGTTCTCCAGTAAAGTGTCTCTTCTACTATTACATAAAATGAAACTATTTTATCCTCAACAGTTACTGAAAGCCTTGAAACAGAAGCTACATGAAAAGGAGGAAGTGATGCTAGGAAGGACACAGGTAATAGACATGTTGCAGCGTGAACTGGATGGCAAAGACCAGCAGCTTAAAGTAAGGAACCGATTACAAACGAGTACTTTGTATAGGCAAATTGTTGCCATTTTGTTTAGGCCTAGATTGGAATTTATTTGCTTATATTTGACTTGTAACCTTAAATATCTTGTGTTGTATTACATTGCATTAATAAATTATGCGTGGGTTATAATCTAGTGCTGCTTTGGGAACATCTAGGTTTTGAAAAGCATAGAATTTGGAAATAAAAAATAAAAAACCAAGCAGGCAAAGAACAGACAACAATAAAAGATTACATCTGACAATGAAATATGTAATGATAGCTCCTACTAATTGGTTAAATTATTTCAAATTGTACATGATACCTAGTGAAAGGTTGAGGCAGTTCTACATCAAATGGACAGAAGCCAAAGCAAATTGCAAAATAATTGCAAGCACTGACATGAAACAAAGTATGTCTTACATGCAAGGCATGGTAGTGAGATCCTGAGGAACAGCTTAGGCTTCTGTTGAGGATTTATTTATTCATATGTTGCATTAATATACCACCTTTTTCTCTCGGAGGCCAAAGAGGGTTTCCATGGTGGTCCTTCATTTTATTTAGCCCAACAACAATTCTGATACAGGTTGGGCTGAGCATCTGTGAGTCCCACCTAATGAAATTCATGGCCAAGTAGAGACTTGAAACCTGGGTAGCCCAAGTCTCAGTCCAACACTGTAACACTACACTAGCTTTCACACAGGCTTACTCACAAAGAGCTTGCGGAGAGCCAGTGGAATTTGTTTCCTTGCTTTCCTTGAACAGCATCCTCATCCATACCATAATAACATACTGTTTTTGAAACTTTGAAAGCAGTTTCCCATGGGGTTTGTTGAAGTGGTGGGCTCTGCTCTTGGATAGTTGTGATGGGTCCTGATTAAACTATCCTTGAGCTTATGGATTCTTCTTTTATAAAGCTTTTCTTGGAAGGTGGGGAAATCCTAAACATCCTGCCCACCTTCAACTTATCTGATCCTAGGGTATCTTACAACAGTTATAGTATAATGGAACTAAAAAATGTGGCACAGTATATCCAAGAATGATACAACAGTAAACCTGAGGAGCCAACAAAATAATAAAAAGTATCAAGCAGTACCAAGGCAATCAAACCATTTTAAAATGGCTGAACAAAAGGAAATGTTTTCACTGACTGCTAAACATATTGTTGTGTGAGTATCAGTCTGATCTTAGAGAGGCTATTATGGAGTCAGATCACCATCCGAGGAAAAGCCCTCTCCTTTGTACTTTTATAGCATGCCTCACCAAATGGAAAAGTGCCTTATCTTAAGATTTTAATCCTGTGGCTGCTGAATCTATGCATGCTGTATACTTACCAAATTGCTCAGCAAGAGAAATGGATATTAGTCAAGAGAGATCAATCTAAATTACATAGCACTTACTCAAATGAAAAAGATTGTTAAATCATAATCTATGAAGAGATGGGATCTGAAGGCAGGGCATCCAGTGGAGTAAGGAAATTTGGGCCAAACATCAAAAATATCTTTCCAAGGGTACAACATACCAACTTTAAAAAATCCTTTTGTTGCTAGAATGCCTTGCTTGATATTTCAGTAAATACTTCTGCTACTTTATGTTGATTGATTGTGATGGGGAAGACACTGGATATGTGTTTTTTTTTTCAAAATTAATTATTTTTGGATGTGAGTTCATTCACAAAAAGTTGCCATAGAATTGCTTTAAACATGCATTTTCTTTATTGTATAGCAACAAATACAAATGAACTAGGGTTTGTTTGTTTGTTTGTTTGCATATAATTAGACCAAGGGTGGGGAAAGTATTGCCCTCCAGATGTGGTTGGACTGCAGATCTCATCAGCCCTAGGCAGCACAGCCAGTTGTGAAGGATGATCGGAGCTGCAGTCCAGCAATATAGTAATTCCATTTCTGTCTTCAAGAAAACTCCACAGCAGGCTGTAGAATATATAGTGGATTCCACAATCCACTCTATGCATTTCCAAAGAGACCAAACACAGTTTATGCTGTCAGAGTTCTGATCCAGCAAGGGGAAGATGGTATCTCATATCCACATTAGAGGCATTGGAGCACTCAATGTAATGATTACGTGTGACTTGGAAAAATCTTGCTGAACTGGGGCCTCCAGTTGCTTCTGGAATACCATCTGCCATGGTGGGATCAAACCCTTTAATTCCCAAAATTATTTCACACCAGCCAGTTCCCGAGTTTTGGGACTGGCTGCTTGCTAGAATCCAGTTCAGTAACATCTCTAAGTGTAATTCTTAGGTGAATGTAGGACCTTTAATACTTTTATGGCAGAATTTGATATTGATGGACTCTGAGAGTTAATTGAGATTAACTTTATATCATGCATTCATACTGCAGTAGACTTATACTCAAGGGTTACTGATGTTGGTAGAGGATTTCCTCTCCCCCCTTGTGCCTTCTGAGAATCTTTTCCAAAGGGTTGGGGTACCCTCTGGAAGCATTTTTATTTATTTGGAAGGTAAACTGATGGTTTCAGGGAGGTGCTATTGGTAGGTGGAGCCTTTGTCCAGGGGGAGAATATCCATGCTGTGCTAGATAGGGTTGCACTCGTCCTAAAGGACAGAGTGCTGAGCTTGGTGATGCTCCTGGACCTAGAATTATCCCTGGAGTCTCAGGTGATGTCTGTGGCCAGGAGCACCTTATATCAGCTTTGGTTGATATACCAGCCATGTTCCTGTCTGGATGGGCAGAACCTAGCAATGGTAATCCATGCTCTGGTGGTCTCATGTTTAGATGACTGTAATGCACTCTACATTTTAAAGGGGCTGCCTTTAAAAGTGGTCTAGAAATTTCAGTTGGTACAAAATAGGGCAGCTTATCAGCTGACAAGAACAGACCTACAAGAACATAGCCCTATCCTATATTATCTCTGCTGATTACCAGTTGAAGTCTGGGCTTGCTTTAAGGTGGTTGTACTGACATAGAAAGCTCTAAGTGACCTGGATATCTAAAGGAATGTCTCCTTATACATCTACCCAAGATCATTTAGGGAGGTCCTTTTCAAGCAGCCGCCTTTAAAGGAACCAAGGAAGGTGGCCATGAGGGGAAGGGCACCTTGACTGTGGAATCAGTTTCCCAGAGAGGTATACCTGGCACCAACTTTTTATACGTTTCAGTCCCAGGTCAAAACCTTTTTGTTTTCCTGGTATTTTAATTGTTAAATATAATTATTCGATTTTACACTGGGTTTTATTCATATTATCATTGGTATTATGGTGGATTAATTGTAACTTAGCTGATACTTATTTTTCTTTGTTTAATTTGTTCATGATGTTTTGGATTTAGGCGAGTGTTGTGATGCTTACTGATTTGAAATTGTTTCTGTCTTGTGTTTTTATCATCATCTCCCTGTTGTACACTGTTCAGAGAACTTTTTTGTTGAATGAACAGTTTATAAAAGCTATAAATCAATCTTTGCTATGATTTAGGAACTTAATGAGCACCTGAGCCACCTTCAGTCAGAGAAAGAGAATCTTCAGTCCAAACTGAATGCTGAAAAACATGTAATGCGAGCCCAGCTGAAAGACATGATGGAGAAACATGAGCATGAAATTAAAAAAATCAGAGAGAAGCATAATGTTGACATGCAGGAGATTCAGGAGAAGCATGAAACAGAGCTACAGGAAAAAGACCAAACTCTGCTTCAGCTTCAGAAACAATTAGACAAATTAACTTTCAGTGGACAAAGTAGTTTGGACCAAGCTGTTGATATAGATGCTACAATTAAACAAAAACTGGAACACCTAGAAGGTATATTAAATTATGATTAATGGCTTAATGCATGGAATAAATGCTTTCCTTAGTAAGCTTGCTGTGATCAGCTTATGGCCAGATTTTTGCACTAGATTCAAGGCTTCTGCTTTTCCATGTCAGAGCAAACCTGGCAATTGCACAGCTAGCCTTGCAGTATTTGGATGGTGGCTTTGTTGGGGGGCTCTGTGGGGGGGATGGTTGAAGAATGCAATCCCAAGCTTGCTTCTCTATACTTCCATGGTTATTCTATGTATCCGTACCACAATACGATACATCAGTAATCCTTGGTAACTCTAATATATTACCTTAGTTATTTCTCTCTCAAACTTGCACTATTTAGTCCATAACAGTCCAGGCCAAACCTGCAACACTATTCTAATAGCTTTTAACAGCTGTGTTAATAACATTCTCTACAGTTCTGAATAATAACTAAAATACTTATTTAAGCTTTAGCAAAACTGAAAACAGAAGAGGCCAGCAAATCTGAAGCAAGGTTCCTTAAGATGAAAGCGTGGTCTAAATCCAGAATCAAACAGCTAGAAGATGAGCTAAAAAATGTACGTAAATCTTTCAATCACAACTTAACTGTATATGGTGATGCTATGGTGTAAAAGATTTAAAAGAACCAGAATATGGTAGAGGGCCAAGTCAAATTAGTACAGTATGAAGGACTATATTTTTCTTTCGCTGAACGTTACTTTATCAGATTATGTTATTGTTGAGCAGTTGGTTAAATGTATTTAGTTGAGTTGAGAAGATGGTTAGGGTATTAAAACATTGAAACGCATAGGATAATTCTGCTGCAACCAAAGTATACAACTGCTTTTTAGAACACTTGTTACTCCAGAATGATATTTATGTGTTAGCCTGAAATTCAGTAGTTTGGCACTTCTGTATTGAAAGAAATTAAGAACAACAATTTTTCTTGGTAGTTTTCATCAATGAATACCAATGTAACTGCCTTACATGAGCAGATTTCAAAATTAGAACAAGAAAAAGAAGACCTGCAATCAACACTACAGGCATTTTCTGAACTTAAATCTCAAAATGGTAAGTGGTGACAAAATTTTGCTCTACTTCTGGATTTTGATTAAATTAAATTACATTACATTGAACAAGAGCAAGTTAAGATTGTTACAGATGCCATCTAGGGACTGTAGGATTGTTTTTGGATTCCAAATGCCAAGATGAGCAAAGTGCACCAACATTAGATCTGAGGATCTTTCAGTCAGCATGGAAAGGTCTGCTCTGGATTCTCCAAACTCAGAAGAGCAACTGCTTAGAAGAGATTTAGGGGGCATTTTGGGGGTAAGGAGTGGAGGAGAACAGACCTGCCAAAAAACAATGTATCTTGGTGGAACTTCTGCCTTCCTCCTCTGTCAAAGCACTGTACTTAGAGAGCCAAAAGTGGGCACCTGACTGATCTGCAGAGTGATGGAAGAACATTGACCTTCACCTCCTTGTTCCTCCTGTTCTGCACAAGATGCCCGCAATCCTTCAGGTTTGGAGGGTTACAAGCATCCCTATTGGATTTAACTCTTAGAATATTAGTAAGTCTATAAGAGGGTCTGTCACTGGTTTCTTCTTCAAGCACACTTTTGTTTGGTGGAGTTAACCTCCAAGTAAATAAGATTATAATTGCAGTCTATTATTTCCTTCCCATTTTTAAAATTAAAAATAGATCATAGACCTGGGTTCGGAATGCCAAGCAATATAGCCACATGTACAACTTAAGTTTAAATTTTCAAAATTGTAAAAAGCAGCTTGTAATGCAGGATGCTTGTTATTCAGCAAAAAAGTAAACTCCATGTGTGGAAGTAGATAGCCTTCATGAGAATACATTGGATCAGGGGAGCCAGTCAGGGTCATACTGAGATGATTTACTGTTGTGCAGATGATTTACTGTTATTTGGCAATACTATCCAGTGCTGGATTACTCAGGCTGATGGAGATCATTCTTACATTGTTTGTTTATGTAGCCACACTTTGCACTTCTTTTCATCTGAATATTTCCTCACAAACTATTAATGCAACTGCTTAATAATTGCATTTACAGAAGAATTACTGGCTAAATTGGAAGTTTATGAAGAACAGCAGAGAAAATTGCAGGCAGACCTTGAACAAGTTACAAAGAGGGCGGCTTCACAGGTTTGTTACTGTTGCTATTAACTGAATTAATTGAATTGGCACTAGTAGCAATAGTTAAATATAGCAGCTTGCAGAACCAGGAAACCACATAAAACTCTGGTAAATTAAGCAGTTCTGTACAGTTATGATAACAGTCTTTGCTCATTTTGCATATTTCTGTACAGCTTCTGTATCAGATCAACTTTCTGTTGTTAAAAAAAAGCAACAAAAATCAGCCTTGCCCCATGCCTGCTGTTATGGCCTGTGACTGGATCAGATAGATGAAGTCTTACCTCTGGCCTGTGCTGGCCTGCGTCCAATATGGATCCTCAATAGGCTAGCCAGTTATAGGGAAGGAGCCAATCTGTGATGACCAGCAAGAGCTAGGTCCTTCATGTTCCTGCCCCAACTGTGCTGTGTACAAAGGGATCCCTACCAACAGAGCAGAAAAGGCAGTTTCACAGAATGATGTTATAATTGCAGTTTTTCCTCTTCTCCCTAAACTGGATATTTACTTAAACTATCTTTGTTGATTTGCTAAAGAGTGAAAGAAAACTTTGCTGTGGCCACACTCAAAATGCAGTTTCGATTTCTGCATCTCAAAAAGGATATTGTTTTGTTGGAAGAGCCACACAAAAGAGAAACCAAAATGATCAAGGGACTGGAACAATGCCCTTGTGAGGAAAGTTTGCAAGGTTTGGGCCTTTTAGCTTAGGAGAAGCTAAAAAACTCAATTTGATCTGAGTAAGGGGAACATGATAGGGGTGTACAAAATAATGCATGCTGTAGAGGAAATGAATAGGGAGGCGTTCCTCATTTGTTATAATAGAATTTGGATCCTTCAGTAAAGCTGGCTGGTGGGAGATTCAGAACAGATAAGGAAGCACTTTATAATACTGCACATAGTTAAACTATGGCATTCACTGCTACAAGATGATTTAAATGTGACTTTGACACTTCCATGGAGGATATGATGATCAGTTGATGTTCATCATAATGACCTTGGAAGCAATATGCCCTTCATTACTATTTACTGGAACAAATGAACAAGAGGTGCTATTCCCTCATACCCTACTTCTGGGCTTTCTATAGACATCTGATTTCTCCCAGGATGCTGGTCAGTATAGCCCAGACTTCCCCAAACTGCTGCCTTCTAGATGTTTTGAGTTATAGCTCCCATCATTCATGACCATTGGCCGTGGAGGGTACCTGACACAGCCCATTGGTCCACCAGAGGCATTCTTGAATGCAGTTGCTGATAGCTTTTAACCATTGTTGAATGGGCTATATTATATCTGCATCTCAACCTCATTTGCTTCAGGCTAGTGAATCAGGCAGCATGGATGAACTACAGAGTCGGCTTTTGGAATGGCAAGAAATTGTAACTGAATCTGAGGAAGCACACAATCAAGTAAGAGAGGAAAAAACTTCTATAGCTCTAAGAATGGCACAAATTGAAGAGGAGAGAGAAGGTGAGTTAATGTGTTTGAGGTGACATTAGGCCATTTTGTTAGGTTATCAAATATTAGAAGCTAATTGACAGTTTTATGCTGAACATATGTATGATTCACGGTTGTAGTCAAGTGGGTCATGCATCTGGGCATTTTAACAGCACTGAACTGTTGCCTGTTTTACAGTACAATCTGATCTGAGGTTTTTCTCCACTAGTATAGCTTAAATGGTGTCTGAAACATATTAAAATGGAGCAAAGCCAATACCTGCAGTGCCACAAAAGTAGTGAAACTCTCCTAAATTTTATGAAAGTTGAGTGCAGGGAAAGAGTCTTGGGATCCCAATGTAAGCAGTCTTTTTCTGGGAAAGTTTGGCTCTCACTAAGTCCACGTTGTCTGGCACAGTGCAGGATAAGCACAGGTCACTACCATCTTATCCTGTGATTGGGCTTCAACAGTTAATCTCTGCATATTAGGAATACATGGAGAATTATGCTTTGAATTCTTATAATTACACATTTTTATCATTGGGTACATTTTTCTTTTACTAAAATTCATAACTGGATGCAACACTCTAAAGTGTAAAGACTAACAAATCTATTATGGATTAAGGTTTTGTAAACTATTGTCTATAGCATCAGATGCATGAAGTGCTATCAAGAGCTTGTCATATGCTGAGTTCAGAGACAAAGTGATTGAGCTATAAGCAGTGAGGTCTGGAAAATTAAATGTAGAAAGTACTCACACTAACCATCACTTTAATAGTGGCCATTCACAATAGTTGTTGATAACACAACCATCCTGGTACTTAGGTAGACCAAAAGACACCTGTAGATGTGGCTTCCATGATCAAAGAAGCCACTGTGGTTTGCTTAATTTCCTAGTGTATTTAAGATGAAAGCTAATTTGCACAGTCACAATTGATTTCATCCCTAAATAACCCTGTGCTCTGGTTTGCATGTCATGGTCAGCAACCTGTGATCCAGCCAGTTATATGCTGTTGATTACAAGTAGAAGTGTCAGGTGCTTGCAAAGATGCACACCTGTTTTCTTCTGCTTGTGCTCAACAACCCATAAGTTGCTTATGTGCAAACTAGTTCATTATGATTGCAATTCTCCATAGTTTTGTATTTAATTTGCTTTAACTCTCTGTTGAAATTACTCTACCCATTACAACCATGTGTATCTGAATGCTTAATAACACTTTATGAATCTGAGGAAGTAGATTTTGATAATAACATGTAAGGTGTACACAGCTCCTAGTCTGTAAGGTACCACAACATTCTGTGATTGCTGCAGCAGACTAATATGGCTATCCATTGGAAATGATCAGGGTCATTATTTCTAATTGTGTTAAAGTTTGATATTGACAGCTGAATAACCAAGGAAACAAAAGCCTGAAACAAGAGCATGTTGGAATGTTGCTTTGTTTGCATCTATTTCTTCAAACGGAATTAATAGTTTGAAGGACTATAGCACTGGACAAATGTTAACAGTGGATGAGGAGAGTCTTGCAGTACAATTCATTTAACAACTTATGTAGCTTATTAAATGGTTTTGTTAATCAGACAGGTCTGTTACAAATTATAGGGAACTAATTGAGATGATACCTGGCACTTTCAGTAACTGATAACTTTATAATTGTTGCACTTGCCTTATAAATATGAATTGCTATTTAAGGTGGCTCCACAAGAGTAATTTAAACAAGGCCCAGCCTTATTGTCTATAAGAGTGCTGCAAACCTAACATCTAATGAAGTTGAATGATTGTCATAGCTCTGAACTACTTTCCTTGGTTATTAGCTCAATCCTACTCATTTTGTGCATTTTTTCATGTCCATTAAATAAGTCTGAAGTCCCCAGATGGATACTATTTCTATCTTAGTATGTGGGAATTATGTAATATAGGATCCAATTCACTGGACTTTCAGTCTTCAAATTAGGCATATACTACATATTGGACCTTTGGCCATAACTGTCTGAGTGCAGATGAAACACATATTTAAAGATGTTTGGGGCTGAAACATTCTATATTATGGTTAAGCCCCTGTGAATTAATATGGACACATGTTGATCTTCCTGTATGTCCAATCAATATTTAATTTTGCATTTTTCTCTTGGGTTAAGCATGACTTTTCTGTTTTGTTTCCCCCCATTTGCAATAAAACCTGATGAGCACTCGGCGTCCCTTCCCCCTCCAGTCCTAACCTACACTGCGATTTGGTCAGCCACTGAGAACATAGTTTCCCATCAGTTTTGTGCATGCAGGATTCTGCAGCCCCAACAGCTTACAATGTACTGTTGCAGATTTTCCACGGTAAACCCTATTTTGTGGGAAATCTTCAGTAGTGTGTTATAACAGCTGTTTGTGATGCTATGTGTTTTTTCTTTTTTCTTAGCATAAGTAACAAATGCTGTTTTTTAAACTTTGTTTTTCTTTCTCTTTGCAATACGTATTTCTTTTATGTTAATAAAACTACCCTCTTACGATTTTGTACTAATAGCTGGCTCCATATTTACCTTACAAACCACGGAATTTATAGTAACCCATACTTTCTGTATATAAAATATGCTCTCAGGATTTCTTTAATGATTTGGGTTTTTTATTTTTTTTATAATTTATTGAAGCAATTACTACTTTTGGAACAGAAATTTGAATAGAAATTAAACTAAGTTTTTCAAACGAGCATTCAAGTATAAGTGCAGTGGTCATATTTGGAGTGCTTTTCTAAAATTAAGTCAAGCTTCCAATTGAGGTTGTGGCCTTATAATAAAATTGGTTGCAGTGAGGACCATTTTTATTTCAGTTGGGAGATAAGAAGCTACAGGCTTATGCTCAGGGGGATTTTCAGAGAGTTGAGGGTGATTTAAAAGCATGATTGCTGCTTATGGTATGTACACTCATCATCTGCTTTATGCCATGGGCAATTATGTTGGACAGGCTTTTCTATTCTAAAATCTCTCTGATTGGAGACAACAGTGAGGAGAAAGAAATGTGTGTGTTTGCTAAGAGATGTGAAGTCTTTAAACCACTTTCAATTTTTTAAAAATACTTATTTTCAGCAGCATAGCTTAACTTTCCTATTGAAATCTTAAAGGCTTTACAGACACAACCCTGTGGCCACTAAACACTGTCTTGATGGCCATAGGAAAATATAGAACCCCGGCTCTGACCTTAGAAAAGCACTCTGAGGTTGGAGCTGGGGCTCCAGATTTGGAATGCTGTCTCTCCACCCTCACAGCCAATATAGTTCTTTCTATGTCAGTTACACTTCTGAAGTCACAAGTGCAGCTTCTGAGCTTTCATTAGTCAGGGGTAAGAAATGGGTGGTAGAGGGAGAACAAGGCCCCTCTGGGATCTCTAGCTGAGAAATTCTAGTGGTAACTTACTCGTCATTCTCACAAGCAGTGGTAAAGCAGTTAGAAGGCCATCTTAAGTGTTTTGGTGGGCAAGGAAAGCACAGAGACAATCCTCGCTTCCACACTCCACTCATCTTCCACTGGATACTCAGAGTCATCCACACTGAATGGTACCAGAACAGTGCTTTTATAGGAACATGTCCAAATGTTCTAAAACAATAACATTGTTATAATAAGCCACAATATTCACATTTCATTTGTCATGATCTTAAATTTGAACTATCTCTATTGATTGGTAGACTTGATAAATTCATGACTGATAGGGCTGATTCAAGTTTTTTTTTTTTTAAATGAGCAGTTTTTCCATTGACAATTTGGAAAGTGAAAGCACTCATAATTACAAAAAAATTTATACAATGTATTTGTCTAAACTTGGCCAATGGTGGCAAATATTCCATTTTTTCTAGCAATTTCTAATGAGAGTATTTAATTTTTCTTTACTTTGTGTATTCATATTTGATTATAGGTGCTAAACCTTCATTATAGTGTAAGAACATTAGCAAATAAGTAAAATCCATACTGTTATATTGAGTAGTTCACAAAGAAGTGAAGATGAAAGTGATCTGGTTCATACACAATCACTGTAGGTTAAACAAGCCACTGTGGTTTGTTTAAGTTGTGATACATTTCAGATGCCATTTGGCTAATCATTCAATTGAGTGTGACTTGTTGCATTTTCTGAACTCAGACAGCAGGGCTTGTTGGAACAACCTTCAAATAATCCATGACTTCTTGTTGGGATATACAAGGATTGTTTCCTGCTCCAACAAGGCATGCTACCCAGGATTGGATGACATGACAACCTGTGCCTAGTTTGATTATTAGATGAATTACAGTCTTCATATGCCATGCCTTAAAACATCAAACAATGGCTGTCATGCAAGCTGGACCCACATGTTAGTATCTAATGTCTACAAATATATACCACAGTATTTTCTGTTATCATAGGGTTGGATCAAAAGTTGTGCAGAGTGATTATTAACTGGATGAACCTGCAGGCAGAAGATGGTGTGATTTCTGTGAGTTCCCTCTTTTGTTTGCAACCCCTTTCCTTCAAAAATCTGCTCTGAAGGATTTTCCCTGATAAGGAAGGACCTTAACAGGGAAAATTATTAAGGACCTTCCTTAACAGTGTGTGAGGGCATTGAGGGTTGAAAGACAAAAGAAAGAACTGGCAAAAGATATCACTCTGCTTCCTTTCTTTGGATCCTAATTCCTCTTCTAGTGGAAGGAACCCTTCTATTTTCAGGGGGCAATTCAGGATCCAGCAAGTTGTGATAATAGCAAGAACTGTCTTCAGTTGTATTCATAGACTTAATGTAATGAAATTGCATGCACAGATGTCATGCTCTCCTGCTGTCAGCTATGTCAGCAAAAAATACTGCTGTAGCACTCTGACATGTTCACCAGAGAGATCCTTGTTCATGAATGGGGCTGTGAATTGCAGTAAATCAGCGAAGCCAGCACTTCATAGGTACTCTGAGAATTTGCCTGACTTGGATCCAAAGGTGCCTGGCAAGGTCAGGGAGTTCTTCCATCAGTTAGAACAGGGGTGGGCAATTAATTTTTCTATGGGGTCACATGAGAAACTTTGACAGTTGTTAAGGGCTGGGCCAATACACTTACAGCTCTGCTCAATATATATCTCTATAAAAACAGTAAATGAAACATTACAGTGATACAATGAAAATATGGAGCACAGAACAACACTATTTAATGAATATTCACAAAAACATTAACATTAACATTACATGAAAAGCAATAAATTCAATTCAATTTAGCAGATCCTTCAAAATAAAAGCAGTGCAGTTGTATTGCATCTATATTACGACAAGATATATTTGCATTGACTTTTAATTTGCCAGTGACCTCATGCGGGCCAGTCAGGGTCAGCCATCAGGCCGGATGTGGCCCGTGGGCCGTACAATGCCCAGGTCTGTGTTAGAAGTAGATCCACTATATTTCAACTCATTGCTGCTCCTTGGTCCATATACTGTGCTCTTCTGGAGAGCTCCTCCAGACCTACAATAAGGAGAAGGAGACAAGAAAGCCTTCCTCAGGTATCCTTAGATCCAAGCCTGTATTTGTGAGATTCCTGCTTGATATTTGCCACTCCTCTTTTTTCTTTGATAGCTGCCCCTATTACAGTGGTGTATCTGAACTGTCATTGCCTTGATGTGAGCCATTTGAGTTGTGGAAAGGAGGCAGATAAATGTGTTAAATAACTAAATATGTCCCTTCAGTATTAGGACAAATCTCTTCATTAAAGGACCATAGATGCACAAGACTTTTCACAGAAGTTGCAAATCAAACAAGTATCACAAACTGCTGGTCTTATTAGAAAAGTACTGGAAATTAAGTATCAAAGAACAGACCTGACCTTGACTTTTAAGTTAGCAGAAAGTCCTTTACATATATGGGAATTTCTGTGTGTGGAAAAATTCTTTCCTTATGGAAACTGATGGGCCATTTCACACATTGCAGAACAAGCCTTGTTTACCATTTACTACACACTGTACTTCCATTCCATGCCTTTGATGAATTTACCTTTATATTTGTTATATTAACATTTTACAATCTTAGGTAAAAAAAATTTTTAGGACCTCCCCCCCAAAAAAAAGAAAAGAAAAAGTGTGAAGAGACTCTAAACTTCTAGCAAAGATAAAGAAAAACTAAAATTTCTGGCTTTTTCTTGCCTCATTTCCATTATTGCCTGTGTAGTATAGTGATTAGAGTACTGGACTAAGATCCAGGAGATCTTGGTTCTAGTCCCTGCTCAGCCATAAAAAGTACACTAGGTGACTTTGGGCTAGACACTGACTCCCAGCCTAATCTATCTCACAGGGTTGTTGTGAGGATAAGGTTGAGAGGAGAACTGTGTCAATGGTCTTGAGTTCCTTGAAGGAAATAAAAAATATTTTTTCATATAAAAAATAAAAGAAAATCTAGACTTGAATATATTCTTGCACCATGAATTCTAGTGTAAATATTTGAATAATAACTTGTTGAAGGTGAGCAGTTGCAATTGAGTTATTGCTTTAATAAATTACTTCAGCAATGTGCAAACTATGGAGCCTACTTTTTCTGTATTTCCTCATGCTGACTTTTGGCTGCTTTACATGAAACTTCTTTCACATATACATGCTTTGTTAATCACACAAAACAGATGGGAATGTCGTTAAAATAAACAAACAATAACCATCTCTGACAATGGATTGCATTCATTTCAGCTTCTGTATTATCAGATTATTGTGCATTATTGACAAATGAGTCTATATTATTTAATAGCTAATGTTACGGCTTGATGCCAATTTGTGATGTATGATAATAGCTTGTGACTTCCTCATATCACCTGTAACAAGAATTCTATTTAATATTTAAAGTCTAAGCAAAACTTGCTTCATTTTCATGAAGCATTAAAAATATGCTTACCTGAATAATCTGACTTGGTGTATTTATCACACAAATCTGCTATATAGTAAACTGAATGTAGGCTTAATTTGGTCATATAAGTGGCTGCCCTCTTTGTCAGTATCCATATACAAATTAAGTTTTCTTTGAAAAATATTGCCTAAGAGAGCTATACCCTCTATGGCTTCTTTTACAAGAATAATATGCATATTGTTTCCATATGCTCTGTAGAGGGGAAATCACAAGGTGAATGGTATGGAGTGTGTTTATTCCTTTAATTCCTGCTGGTCCTTCATAAACCTCTTTCTGTATCACTGATCCTTTTTGAATGTGTACAACATGTTTGTCTGTGTGATTGCTTTCCTGTGGCACAAAACTGATTGAGGATGACTGGTTCTTTCCTGGCTGCTCTGATCCAGCCATAGTCTCAGGGCAGCAGGAGCTGGAGGAGGAACTGACCACAGGTCACAGGACTGGCAGGATGCAGCCAGAAAGAAGGAAGACTGCCCAGACCAGTAGGAAACTACAGGCAAGTTGTTTGCATTAAGAATCTATATTTTAATAGATGTTATCATCAATAGCAAGGCTTTCTCTATTGCTAAGTATATGTGATGTCTTAGTGTGTGGCGTGGGGCACTGGGGATAGTTACAGGGAACTGAAGTTTAATGAAGTGTTGCCTTCATTAATGTATGGAGAGTTTCAGAAATAATATGATGCTATACTTAAATGTTACAATGACTATTTTATGGACTGTTAATTAGTTCCCCCCCTTTTGTGTTTAGGGAGATTATGGCTTCGATGAAAAACAGTGCTATGAAGAGCTGAATGTCACTTTGGATAGCACTGATTCAGCTGAAGGAGAGAATATGGGAGGTTGGTGGCCAGAGTACACTTCTTCTAGTACAGGTGTGGCAACCACTAGGCAGTTTATTAAAGCATGCACATGTCTGTTTCGTTTTGTTTTTTAAATTCAATTAACAAACCATGTTCTGTTTTGTTTGTACCTGTTGAATTGTACTTTTCTTTTGGCGTGGCTTTTTGTTTCATTTTGAAGCATGTGCGTGCTGGATGAACTGTCTAGTTTTGGTGCAAAACTAGAACTCTGTCATGATGTTATCTCAGACACTAACTTGTGAAAAAAAGATTATTGTCATTCATGGTAAGATTTTTTTTAAAGTTCTAATCCTGTTGTTTTTGTGAAAGTGTCTTCATAGCCAACCATTGTTTTCTGATTTGTTTTCATGTTCTGTTTGTCAGGATAGCCATATATGTATTCCCAGAGAAGTCTGTATTTATATCACAAAGAGACATTTTGTAAAAAAAAAAAAAATACAGTTTAGTGTTCAGGCTGAGTAGGAAACTTTTGGAGATGTATTAGTACTATTTTGGCTAGGCCTGCTAAAGTAACAGAATTAGTTTCATATTTCGTAGACTGTAGCTCTCTAGTATACTATTGACATTTCAAAATATGAAGGGGGCAAATAATCTGTTCCTGTTAAAATAAAATGAGAGACAGAACTGGAAATAGCATTTATTTTTAAAACGATGAATATAGGCAATTATTTTTTATTATTATTAAATTAAATTTCTGTACTGTCAGCTGTAAAAGGCTATCAGGGTACTTTACAAAATACATTAATATACGAGATACAATAAAATACAATATAAAACAAGGTTCAAGAGTTCAAAACAAAATCAGAACAGCTACATGAGGCAGTAAAGACAACAATTTACAGAATTTATAAAATTTCTAAAGGAATAACAGCAATATGAAAGAATTAAAATTAGACAATTCATTACTACCATGCAGCCCACAACTACAAATCACCCACCCAGCCAGCCAGTGGCCAGATTTTCAGGTCCAACCAGGCACCAGCTGGGCATCAAAAGGGCACCAGTAGGTGTGCTCTTTGGCCACCGCCTTTTCATCTGCTGCCCTATTACCCACACTGGAAATAGGCCAGTGTGATGGGACAAGGGTCTCTCTGGCCAGCAGGACAGGAAGTATGACTGGGTTTATACTATGAAACTGGTAGGGTTAGTATTATAAAACTATTCTATATACTAGGTTTTAACTATGAAAAACCCAGAAAAAAGTCCCATGGCTTCTTGAGTTGTGAACTCCGACTCACAAGAAACCAATGGGATTTCATTACACATGAAACCAGAACTATGGGTTCTTTGCTAGCTACAGAGACAGTGGGCAAGTGCAATGTGTACCAAAACAAAACAGCTGAAGCAGTACTGTACATGGCAGTGCCTCAGTACTAGAAAAGCATATTTTGGATATTGGGAGAGAGTAGGCAAAGGAGGGGAACAAATAATCATACATCTTCCTAACTGAGGGAAGGTCTATAATTGCATTAAATATGTTTACAATTTTCCTTCAGACCTTGTCACTCAATACAGGCCAGTTGGGTAGTTGAGGATAACACTGCAGCCCCTCCTCGCTTAATGTTTTGAATGTGCATACAACACTAGTCATTTCAGTAAGTGGGGCTTAAAAGAGTAGATTGATTTGTTCATTTAAACCGGTCTGCTTTTTTCCTTCTGTCTGCTGGCCATCCTGAGGTTCTTGTGAAATTTTCCTTTCCATAATTCCTTGTTGAGAAATGAAGTTGGGAGGGGCGGCGCTTTTGGGATTTCTTTAGCAATTTTTTTAAACTATAGTCTGGCCCTCCAACAGTCTGAGGGACAGTGAACTGGCCCCCGGTTTAAAAAGTTTGAGGATCCCTGAGTTAGACTAATTAAGTAAAAGTTTTCTATGGATTTGGAAAGTTCCTCTAATGAATCAGAGAATAGATTTTTTAAAAAATGCATATTGTACTACAACTAGTTATGAAAAACTGGATTATAGCTGGTACCTTAGAAAAAGTATTCCCCCTTCCTCTTTCATTAGATGAGGTTGATGCAATAGATGTGAACATAGGTGTTTATATGACACATAGTTTTTTAGAATTACTATTTGTCCATATGCTGAGTTATGCAGATTTGATTGATTGATTGATTGATTGATGGATTGATTACACAGTAGGTCTAATAAAAGTATTCCCCAAACTAAATAGGCTTACGTACTGTAGTGGAGGAATTAGAGTTGGAAAGAAATCAGTTGCAAGAACAAATTCTCTTCTTGGAGGATCGCTGTCGGGACCTGGAAGATCGATTGCAGCTGCAAGGCAGAATGGAAGCTCTACAGGTATATCTAACAACTGGTGCCAACCCTTCCTTCACTGTGTTCTATTGCTTTAAACAGTCTTCTCCAGTATTGGAAGGGAAGTGAACTGAAAAAAAAAAGTAACTGGACAAAGAAAAATGAGATGAGTAGGGTACCATCTCACTTCCCTTATCCATATACTGCTTTTGTATAAAGAATAAGCACCCCCCTCCATCACCACTTTTATCTAGGCATTGCTCTGCATGGAGTATTAGTATTGCTTCTAAGTTGTCAGCTTTTTGATGTGAAATAGATGTTGATTTGTTTCCTACTTTAAAATACGTTTTATTTAACAATGTAATACATATAATCAGGTAATAGGAAATTAGAATGTTTTGGTGTGCTGAAGACAGTGGTTTATATATTATATGCTTCCAGATACCATCCCTCTTCAACACGTAGTCAGTCAAAGCAGCTGTCTGTTACATGACTTTGTGGAAGCCATATTGTGGTGTTCTGCTCTGTTACCAGTAATGGTAACATGTTGATGAAACCAGTAAGAGAGACTGCACACCAGTTGGCATAATGAACACCTTACCTCTCACCTCTAATTTATATCTTATCAAAATGCAACACTGCATATCCTGCTTCAGTGTTTGGTTGAGGGAGTTGGGATGAATTGAGTGAGGGCTCATAAATCCTAACATCTTCATTTAGAGACCTGTCTATGAATATTCTCTTTATCAGACCCACTGTACGTATTTGCAGAAGAGAGAGTCTTTACTGCACTGGTTCTCCAGTGCTAGATTGCCCTTCCTTGAGAGACTCAACTGGTGCTGGCACTGCAGCCTTTTTGGCACCAAATTAAAACTTCCATATTTGCCCTTGTGTTTTAGAGGAAATTTCACCCATTTTAAGAATTTGACTTAAGTTGGTTGTTTTCTAGTTAATTGCTTGTCATAGTCAGTTCTTCTTCTTATGTATCTTTGTTTGAATAGTTTTATTTACATTTTATACACTGTCCTTTAATTATCTTAATGAAGGGCATTTAACAAATAGATGAATGAAGTTGAAGCCAAATAATCGTGAGGGCTATGTGCTTTCAGGAGGTGGGTTCACAGGTAACAGAGATGATCACATGCACATAGTGAAAAAGCAGTTGCACACTGCAAATAGTTCTGGGTCCTAGTTCTGTTCTTCAGTCTTCAGGTGGCTGTAGAACTTAGATGAACTTACTAAAAATTATACCTGATTCATCTGTGCTACAGTATCTGCTATCACTAGCTTTTGCTTGCCTGCACAGTGGCTCTGCTTTATTGAAATGAGTATGTGCTTGCCATTAGCTGAGCTACTGTGTTAATCATGAAATGCTCATAAGTTAACCTGCCAGCAGATGATCCTAGTGACAGAAGGACTACATGTGATTGATGGGAGTAAATGCAGGTAAATAAGAAGACAGTACTATTATGATAAAGGTAAATTCATAGGCAGCTAGAGCATTTGTGTATGTAAGTGTGAAATACTATACACAATCTGCTACATCCTAAAAACATAGCCATAAAGCATTGTGGCTTATTTATATAAGTGAAATATACAGTAAATTTGGGTTTCTAAGTTTAATGTAAAAAAAAGAAAATTTTAAATAGTGTTCTGTTGATTTAAAAGTGTGACTAATAATTCACTTAACATACTAAAGTGCATGCGTGTAACAATGGATCATTTACAAGATTTTTCTCAAACAGCAGTATGTCAATCTATTTCTGACTTGTAACAAAGCATTTCAATACAGGTGGCTTTTGGTGTAGAGGAAGAAGGGCAACTATTGAGGGCTGTACAGGTGTGTCCTGCCCATTCCCAAGTGATAGTTTATTTTTCTTAGAAGTGATACTTGGTATGTTGTCTAACCTGCCCAGCATGTAATGGTGGTTGTGGAATTATATGAGCTGCTTTTATTTATGGTTGGTGTTTGTTTGAAGTTTAACCTTTTGTGCTAGTGTTTTGACAGTGGGTAAACTAACATATTTAGATTGCATAATAAGTTGACTGTGTTAGTGGAGCTTGCTTCGTTACCTATGGATTTGCATTACAATTTATTTCGTACTTTGCTACAAATCAATACTGATTTTTTGACAAATACAAGAAAAAACAAACAGGAATTCAGCCTGGATAAGTTATTTCAGATAAAAATTCTGCTGAGCATCAGTCCCTATGTTTTTTTTAAAGCAATGCTTTACTTTTAGCTATTTCCATCTTAGACGTAAGCTGCTCCCACACAGTAGATGTGAGCATGGTGTGCTTTTATTTGAAATCAATATAGAGCCTCTCCATAAGATCACTATGAGAGAAACCTTTCAAAAGCAATATCACTGTTTGTCCTAGGAAATAATATTCTTGGTAGTATTTCTCTGGGTAATAATAAGGTAGAATGATAGACTCTAACTCACTTAGCTTAAATATAACCTTGTTATATTTTATATGTAGCAGTTATATATGTCATTTTCTTGCAGAATGAAACTGACCGTTTGCAATCCCAGCTTACACAGTTACGTAGCCAGCAAGCACGAGATGTGGAAAAACACCAAGTTCTTGTTTCCAATTTGAATGAACAACTTAAAGGGTAATTTACCCCCCACACACACACACACAAATTCCTTGAAGTAGATCCAGCCAGTTTATATCTTTAACAAGCAATTGTGTGGAGGAAGGGAGTACCATTTTCATTTTGTTTTCATCCTTTTTTGTTTAATATCTGCTCTGCCTGTCCACTATATATAGTATCCAATGCAGCTAAAATAATAAAATACTGATACAGTTACATAATGTATCCCCAATATAAAAATAGATAAAAAGATAAAAGAGTGATAAAAATGGAGTACTCTTGCTTGCTGTTGTAATAAGTGTGTAACATGTTTCCTATAAGCAGGCCAAGTCAACAGTATGGTCACGGCAATGTGGAACAACTGAAATGGCTTGAACATTTTTCAAGGGCAGCCCCAGTTAGTGTGTTACTGTGTGGTCCAAGTAAGATGTAATGAAGACTTTTTTTTACTGTGACCAAATGTAATTTCCAGCAAGTGATGCAGTTGGCAGTCTAGCCTTAGTTGTACAAACATGCTCTTGACTACTACCAAAAACCGGGTATCCAGGTTTAGGACTGGATCCAAGAGTACATTTAATTGTGAATCTGAGCTTTTAAGGGGAGGATAGCTCCATCCAGCCCAGGTTGACTCCCTATACCTTTGTCTGCCTTTCAGATAACCAGGAACTCTTCCTCCATGTCTAGATTAGCGATTAGCTTCAGTTTCTTTGCTACCATCAACTGCATATGCTTTATCAGCCTTGTTCCACGTTTACTGCCAGTATTGGTATAGCTCTTATATCACTTACTTCATTGCCATTTGTTCCCTTAAAATCCAGTCGCTCTGATTTTTATAAAAATTTCTAGAAAAGATTATTTTGCCTCTGGATGCATGAACACACTAGATAGTTTGGATAGGTTCAAATCTAAATGTGTTTAATTGGCAGATTAAATGAAAGAAACAGCTTGCTTGAAACTTTGCTTGTGGAGAAAGAGCAGAAGCTTTCAAGTGCAGCAGAAAAGTTAGAGCAAATAGAAGACATGAGAAATTCACTTCAAGAGAGAGACCTTTTAAACAAAGAACTTGGTGAAAAGCTTTTGCAAACTGAACAAAAGGTGAGTTGGAATCAGTGGGTTCACATGTCATGTAAGCAATGTGCCCAATAGATGATCTTTATGTGTTGTTCATTGCTTACTTTTCCCTTCTGTGCATATCCCAAGAGATTCAGCAGTAGGACCAACTTGGCTGTTCGCCACACCCCCATGATCACAACCCTTTTTGTATGCACTGCAGTTTTTCCCCTCCCCCTCTCCTTCTTAAGTGATCACTTTTCACAGTCTTTGATTTGACAGCAAATGACAACCTCTTCAGATGTTGCTGTCATGGGTTTGTCACATGTGAATGCATGTGAGTTTGTCAGAAACAAGCAAATTGACCAACCCTAGGTAGCCTGTTGAAAACAAAACAAAAACCCCTTTTAAAAAGAATGAGCTATCCAAGCTCCGTGCTCCCACAAAAGGCTACAGCTTGTACTTTTGAAACATGCGAGCTGAAAATTGACAGGTCAAAAAAAGCCCTTTATAGGATCTTGTTGCAAAGGAAATTATCTTTTGACCATTCCCTTTCAAGAGCAAAGACCAAAGACCACTTCTATTTCTTTTGACAGCTGTCTAAAGAAACGAAACTTTAAAAGTCCTGGAAATTTCTCTGGGTCAATGCACATGGAAAGTGCCTACTGCATTTTGACAGCAGGGAACCTGTAGGACACTACCCAGGAGAGGTAGATCCTGCACTTAAGTTGCAATGCAAAAGAATTTACTTTAACTGAACCGATGAGTGCAGCTCTTATATACAGTTAGCTGTTAACATAATTTTCATGGTAATTGTAAAGAGCAATTTATTATAGATTTTAGTTGTAATGTATTTTGCCATTTTAAGTACTATTAAAATGGCTTTGATTAAACAAGAACAAACACCCATAGTAAACAAATAGCTTTGTTCCTGTGTCTAGGCCCCCGCTGATTTTTTTTTTACATTAAGGGGGAAGATTATTTTATGCTCCTTACTTCAATAATTGCTTATCTTCTTGTTGGAGCCTCCCCCACCCACCAAAATGGCTGCCAAGTTATTTGTTTGCTAGAAACCAAAGTACTGAGCAAGGTCAGTTTAAACGTCATCCTGTGTAGTTGACAAGCCATGGTTTGCAGGTTGCACATTACTTTTCCCCTGCCATTTCAGCTAGTGACTAGTTTAGCGAGACATTTGAACTAGCGTAATTATAGTTACAGGTAACTATTGTTTGTCCCCAGATCAGAGAGTGCAAGTTAGCTTCTAGTTCTATTTTCAGAGCATAATTAAGCCAGCAACAATTATGTTCGTGTTACAACAACATTAACTAGCAAAGGAAGGGGTATATTCACATTGATAGAAGCAGAAAAATTTTTTGGAGGGGGAGAATAACTGAACAATGTGCTCCTAATCATCCAGCATGACCTCTGAAGTGAGCCAAGTAATGATGAACAACTCAGTTTAATGTGAACAATGCTAACTCATTTTTATTACGTTTGGGTTATTTTAGTGTGTATTCTAATGTATTAAGAAATTGGATCCAATTGAAGTCAAAACATAGTTAACTGTGATTAAAATTGTTTTTATTACTGTATCTTAAAAAATAAAGATAAGTATAATTTTATAATGGTGTTTTTGTCCTTTAGTCATAACTGCATAAAGCAATAAATGTTTTTTTCTTAACCTAGTTGGAAGATACCTTGAATAAGTGCAGTTTGTATGGAGCAGAGTGTGCAGAACAAAAAACTGTTATCAGTGATCTAACAGAGAAAGTGGTTGCTTTTAAAGAAAAGGTAAGAAATAAAGTGGTGAAATGGTGCTTTAAAATTGCTTATTTCACTGTACATCATAGTAATAAAATAACTGTAATGTAACAAACTCCATGAGCCAAAGGGAGTTTAAGGCTTATTTTTCTTAAAGAAGCAGTGCCCTCTGCTTCATGGGAAACTGCTTTTGAAAGTGCAGTTATTTAAAAATTCTAATATGAAGTTAGTTACCTGGTGCATTGGGCTAGGACCATGCCTTTGGGGTGGATTAAATACCTTTTCACAGCTAGTATTGTCATGTGAATGCTTAATTTGTTTTATTTTTGTTTTCAGACTGTGAAGCAGGATAGTGCCATAGAATTAATGCGACTGGATCTTGACCAGACAAATGAAGAACTTGACAGATTGAACACAAGCCATTTAGAAGACAGATCTCAACTCATTCAAGATTTGCAGAAACGGGAAAGAGAAATTGACAACCTTAAAGAAGTTTTAACTGAGAAAGATAAAGAACTTTCTGCTCTTTCCTCTGGTATGACCGAGTATTCTGACCAGATTAATATTCTGAAACACCAGATCAAGTGCAAAGAAAACGAAATACGAGAAATGGAAGAAGCACTGTCCAAGGCTGAAAGGGAAGCCCAGTTGCTGAAAGATGTGCAAACCGCAGATGTGAAAGATGCAAGCACAAAGCTTTCTAAACTTTCTGAGCAATTAAGTACAATAGAATCAGAGCTGTCAAAGGTGAAAATTGAAAATGAAGCTAAAACCAAAGAAAATAAGGAATTGGTTAGTCAAATCAAAGAAGCCAGCAAAAGAATGAAAGAACTTCATTCTGAAAAGAAGACCCATGATGTTACCCACAACAATAAACTGATGGAATGTGAGTCACAAATTAAGCTGCTTAAGGAACAAGTAATTAGATCAACTGAAAAGTTGCAAGAAACAGAGACAAAATGTAGAGAGGAAAGAGAACATCTCAGATCCCAGCTGGCTGAACATATGTCTTCAAAGGAGAAACTGAACATTTTGCTGAAAGAGAAAGAGGACAAAGAACAAATGCTTGTGAATGAACTGAAATCAGTGAAAGACTTAAACAATCAGCTAACTGTAGAAAATGCTAAAAAGAATGAAGAGTTGTCTAATTTATCTAGACAGGTTTCTGAACAATCCGAGCATCTAGAAATTGCCAAGAAATCTTTACAAGAAAAAAAAGAGATCATAATATCATTAAAAGACAAGCTTCAAGTTGTTGAGCAGCAGAGTGAGAAAGAGAAGTCCAAATTACTTAGTGAACTGGATGATAAGGAAATGCAGTGGAAAGAAGTTAATAACATGTTACAAGAAAAAATTGAAATAATTAATAAGTTTGAAACAGAAACACAAAACAACATTATAACTAATAAACAACTGCAAATAGCTCATGAGCAAAAAGAAAAAGATTTTGTAAGTCAGCTTAAAGTTAGTGAAGATCTTAGAAGTGAGGTATATACCATGGAAAAAGAAAAGCAACAGCTAATTAGTGAGAATGAGAGTTTGTCCAAATTATTGGATGTGAAAGAGTGTGAACTCTTGAAGCGTGTTCAGTTTATTTCAGAGTTGGAGAGTACATTATCTGCCAGGGCCACGGAACACCAGAAACTGCTTTCTGAAGTCAACCATGATAAAGAAACTTTAAGAAACAAAGTTCAAGAACTCTCAGACCTTCTAAGGCAAAAAGATACTTCAGTCTCAGAGCTGTTGCAAGAAAAAGAAAAGGAGTGTAGTGTTTTAGCATATGAACTCTCCCAAACCAGAGAAATGACCAAACAGTTACAGGAAGAAGTAAAATCATTCAGCACTCTGCTGAAGGATGCAAAAGAGAAAGAGCTAGAAAAAGATGTAATATTAAGTCGAAAGGAATCAGATTATAGCAAAATGGTCCAACAGCTTAGGCAGGAAGAAGAAAAAATACTGTCACTACAGAAACAAGTTCAAGATGTAGAAATGGAGCTTAAAGTAAAACACAAGTCTCTAGAAGAAAAAAGCAGTCATACTGATACTTTACTTAAGCAGCTAGAGGAAAAGCAAATTAATATGACAGTGTTAGAGAAAGAGCTAGAAAGGCTTCAAGGTGATGGCATACGGTTGTCTAATCAGGTTGAAGAAAAAGACTCTGTTCTGTTATCACAAGGGCTAGAGCTTGAGGATCTTCGCAGGCAGATTTCCAAGAAAAGGGAAGAGTGTGAAGTCCTAAATGAACAGCTTGTACGATTCGGCAAAGAAATGGATGTTTTGAAATGTGAAAAAGACAATGCTTTGACTATTTGCAATGCAAAATCTAGTGAATGTGATGCTCTTCAGCATGAGTTAACAAAATATCAGTGTGAAATTGTGTCCATGAAAGATGAAGCTCATATGTTGAAATCAGAAAATGAAAAATTGAAAACAGATATTGAAACAATCAATGCTACATTAATGAAAAAGTGTGAAGGAATCACTCCCTTAAATGCACAATTGTCTCAGCAAGCTAATAGTAGCTTAGCCTTTATAGACCAAATTGATCTCTTAGTCAATGAAATAAAAACTTTAAACAGGAGTTTTCATGATAAAGAGGCTGTCCTTTTGCAAAGGGAAACGTTGTTTCAACAAATGAAAGAAAGCAAAGATGCAGGTGAAAAGCAGTATTTGCAGATGATTTCAGATTTGCAATGCCAAGTACAGACTCTAGGTTTTGAAGCTGGCCAACTTAGGCAGGAAGTTCAAGAAAAAGAAAATGAAATCAAGAAGCAAGCCCAAGACTTAAAATTGCTTAAAGATAAATCTGAGGAATCTGATTTGCTTAGAGTTCAGCTGTCTGAGAATATGGAAATAATTTCTGACCTTCAGTGTCAGCTTAAAAATATGACAGCAAAGACTGAAGAATTAAGTAAATCTATTACACAGAAAGATATATTTTTAAAACAAAAGGAGGAGGAATATGATAATTTGCAAGCACATATTTCTGACACTTCTTGTTTGCAGCAGAAGCATGTAGAGCTGCTGACTTCTGAAGTAGAAAAGTTGAAAGGAATTGTTTCTGAAAAGGAGATGATGATGAATAATGCCTCATTGCTTAATAGTAAATTGAAGGCTGAACTTGTAGACACAGAAACTGAATGTGAGTGTTTGAGAAAACAAGCTACAGATGTAGAAGAATTAAACTTAAGTCTAAAAAAGGAAATTACTGATCAGAAGAAATTAATAAATGAAATTAGATGTACACTGACAGAAAAAGAGGTTTCTCTTTTGGATAATACCAACCTTGTGAAAAAACTGACAGAGGAATTGAAAAGAAATGAAGAAAAGTTGCAATTAGTCTCTCAGCTTCAGGGTCAAATTCATGAACTGACCCAAGAAATTCAAAACTTAAAAAAACTAGCACAGGAAAAAGAGAATGCTTTTTTGTCTTTGCAGGACCAATTTGCAGCTCAGTATGAACAAAGAAATGAACTCAGAGCTACTCTGAGTAAAAAGGAAGAGTATATTACAGAATTACTTAGTTCGTTAGATAAGAAAGGTGTCAATGTCCAATTAGCAGAAAGCAGTGTTCAGGCTCTTACTAATGAGATTGATCTAATTAGAGAAGAACTAAAAAAAAGCACTGCCACGGTAAAGATACTGTCACAAGAGAAGGAGGAAAGCATTGCCGATAGCCAGAAGAAAATTGACTTTTTGACAGTTGAACTGGAATCTGCAAAATTAGAGTACCAGAAAATGCTGGAACAAGTTGAAATATGGAAACAAAATGTTCAAGAGAGAGAGATTGCACTACAGGTTGAACAACAGAAATGCATTGATCAGGCTAAACAGATCGAATATTTAAATTCTGAGCTTAGTGTAATAAGATGTAAATCCTCTCAAGAATGCCAAAACTACATACTTTCAATAGAAAAATTGCAACAACAGGTGGATTCTTTAATTAAGGATAAAACACTTTTACAGGGGAATTTTGATAGGATGAGTATAGAAAACAAAGAGCTGGTTAAGTATCAGAACCAATTACAGCAGAAATCAAAAGAGCTACAGGAGCTTCATGAAAAATTAGAAAGCAGTGAGAATGAATCGCGAACACACCTACATGCCGTCACTTTGCAGCTGGAAAATGAGAGAGAGCAGTTGCAGATGCAGGTTAGTGTAAAAAGTGAAGAAATTAGTGAATTAAAGTTTAAGGTTGAAAAATTAGAACAAAGTCTTATTGAATCAGAAAACAGATGGGTGACAGAACATAATAGGGCATCTCAGCAAAGTGAAATTAACCTTGAGCAACTGAGTTATTTGGAAAGGGAAGTAAAAACAAAAGAGGCTCAGATTCAATCTTTGCAGCAAGAACAGGCCAATATTAAAAAAGAGCTGTCCAGACAACTGTGTATGTTATCAAGTAGCAGAAATGTCATTAAGGGCAATGATAGTGATGCTGGTCAGCAAGTAATTAAAAGTGAATTGGAAAAATTATCTACTCTAATAGATAGCATTCTCAGTAAAGAAGCAGAAGCAATGGCATTGCAGCATGCCTTTTTAGAGAGAGAGGAAGAAATAAATCACTTGAATAATCAGCTGGAAAGTATGTGGTCCTTGCAGCAAGAAAAAGAGCTGATACAAAGTGACTTTGCAAAGGTTAAAGCTGCTCACCAAACTGAGATTGAATATTTGTCCAATGAACTGAGTGCTGCTAAGAAGGCATTATGTAAGCAGCTCTCAGTTTGTGAAGAAAAGGGCATTGCATTAACAGACATGAAGAAACAGGTTACTTTGCTTCAGGAAAAGAACAATTTATTAGAAAAGGAACTTGAAAGTAGCTGCAAGACATTAAATGCCAAATGTCAGAAAGAAACAATACTTTTAGAAGAACTAGAGAACAAAAGCCATATGATAGAAAACCTGATTTCTCAAGCTAACCAACAGAAGGATTTAATTACTACTTTAAATCAGCAATTAAAAGAAAAAGATTGCTCAGTTACACAAATCATGGAATCTATGTCTAAAGAAATGGTAAAATTTTCTGAGGAAAAAAATGTACTTACCATTAAACTGCAGCAACTTGAAGCCATTCGGAATAACATGACAAAAGAGACAAATATATTATCACAGCAGGTGGAAGAATTTAAGAAAGAACTTGAACTTGGTCAGATATTGTTGACAGACAAAGAAACTACAATTAAAGAGTTACTGAATGAGAAGTTACAGATAAATGTTACTTTGGAAAAGCTAAGTCAGGAAAAAGAAAATCTGAAAAAGAAGCTTCAGGCGGCTCTGATAATAAGGAAGGACTTAATGCAAAAGATTGGGAAACTTGAAAAGGACAGGCAAGAATATACAGAAAAAGAATGTAAAAAAACACAAGATTTAATGAAACAAATTGATGACTTAACAAAGCAATTTAAAAATGCCGAAGCTCTCAACAAAAATCTTGAATCCCAACTCGAAGGACTGAAGGAACAAATGTTAGAAAATAATGTAAATATAAATGACACGGGTGAAATGTTGTCAACCAAGTCAACATGCTTGGAACAGCTACAGAAGGATGTTACAGAACTGAAAGATAATAATGAGCAAAAAAACTTAGCTAAGAAGGATCAGAAGGATCCACCACTTGCCCATATGCAATTTGCATTAATTGAGAAGGAGAAAATTTATGGAGAGGAATGTTCTCAGCATTTCTTTACCACAGAAAATCTTAAAGCTGAAGAAGCAAAGAGAGAAGAAACATTAAAGGAAATGAATGTGTCAGAAGCTGAAAGCTGCAGTGGCAACACACATCTCTCTAGTGGAATTAATCAATTGCAAAAAGAGAAAGAAACTCTTCAAAGGAAACTTCAGCAATTGGTTGTAGCCCATAAAGAAAGCTCTGAAACAACTCAGGAACAAGGGGACGATCATGCTATACTATTAGCAAATTTTGAGCAACTAACAAAAGACTTTGTGTTAATGAAAAAGGACCACAAAGCACTCCAGGCAATTCATCAAAAAAAGTGTGAAGAATTTGACTCCAATCTGTTGCTGTTGTGTTCTTTGCAGAAAAAGATGGCATCTCCTGCAGATCACCATCACAGTGAAAATGCCAAGCAGAAAACACTGGAGGCACAGGAGCTAAACAAGAAAGCTTATGCTGTCACAGAAGAATCAGAAAACAGGATGAACAAGATGGAGGCTGAGATAGTGAAATTCTATAATAGCTACATTAAACTTATTGAATTAAATGAAAACTGTAAGGAAGAATTAAAACAAAAGTCACTTGAACTTGATAGGAAGGAACAAGAGATAATAAATCTGAAAATTTCAATTGAAGAACTGAAACAGCAGTTTAAACAAGATGAAGACAATATGCTAATTAAGAGAGGTCAGCTTCAGCAACAGGTAGAAACTTATGAAAATGAATTGATACATGTTAAAGCTATGATTGAAAGTATGGATAATGAAAAGAATATTCTCCATAAAAGAATGGAAGATGATCACTTGTTCAGTGTGCAAGAAATTGAAAATTTGAAGCGTGATGTTCAACAAGCCAACACACAAATTTCAGAGAAGGATAATGAGATCAAACATTTACACCATTCTCTTAAGGATCTCAAGGGCAGATTTGATCATAGAAAGGAAATAATGAAAGAAGTCTCTCAATTACAAGAAAATTTATATGAAAGCCAAGAGGAAGCAAAGCATTTTAAAACCGTATTTGAACAAATGAGGCAAGAGAGGGAAGAGTTTATAAGCAATCTGGAGAAATCAAATATAGAATTAGTTAGTATGAAAGAGGAGCTGAGACATGCAAGTGAAGAAAACAAGGAACTATTGATGGAGCTAAATACACTGCGTGAGAAGTTTTTACCAGTTTCTAATCTAGGCAGAAATGTGGCAGTATCTGTAAAAGATAAAGGGGAGAACACAGAAATTAAATGGCTGCAATCAGATAATGTGGCTCAGAACAGAATTCAGGACCCAGATAACTCTATTCCATTGTTAGATGTCACTCAGACAGAAAAAATGGTATTAACAAGGAGAACAGATGATCAAGATCAGTCACCAGCTGAAATGATTCTGGGACAGATGGGGAAAAATGGAGGGAACCCTCATTCCCAAAAGCAGAAATGTGACGCTGAAGAAAAAAGCAAGGAACGTCTCCAGAGAAAGCTCCAAGCTGCTTTAATATCACGTAAAGAAGCTCTTAAAGAAAATAAAATCCTGAAAGAGCAAATGGAATTACTTACACTAGAAAACAAAGAATTAATTGATAAGGCTCATATACTAGGACTCCAGGTGACTGAGCTGAGCAGAAGAAAACAAGATTTGAATACTACACTGTATGAAGAGCAAACACTGGCAAAGGAAAATGCTAGATTGTTAACTGAAAATGAAAACCTAACAGCTGCCTGTGAAAGCCTGAAGTCTACAATGGAGACTATAGCTCAGGAGAAGGAAGCCTTTTCTTTTCAGTTGAACTCATTAAGAGATTCTCAAACAGTTGAATTAGCAGGTTGGAAAGCAAAGCACAATGAATTAAAGCAGGAATATGAGTCACTACTTCAGTCCTATGAAAATATCAGTAGTAAAATAGCAGAAATGAGGCAAGTTATTGATGTCACTAGAAAAGAAAAGCAAGAAGCTCTTCATAGACTAAATGAAAGAGAATCTGATAAACAGGAATTTCAGAAGTTACTTCAAAAAGCAACTGAGGAAAACACAGAAGTGAAAGAACAGTTGAAACAGATAATTGAATCTAAAGAGAATGAAATCAGTACGTTGCAGATTAAAGCAGAAAAGCAGGCAACTGAGCATGAACTGTGCTTGAAAGACTATCAAAAAGATGTTGATGAATTTGTTCTTCAGAACAGACAACTAACAGAGGAAAATAAGCAATTGAAAGAACGTTTTGACACTTTAACACAGACCCTAGAGAAAACTCAGAAGGAAAAGGAGAGCCTTTCTCAATATGTCAGTTCAATAAAATTGGCCCTGAGGGACCTTCAGATGCAGTTTGATTCGAACAAGTTTAATGTGCAGCTCACAAACAGTGATTTGGTCAGTGAGACTGATACATTATTAAAAGACATCCATTTGTTAAATGAAGCAATCTCAGAAAAAGAGAGAAATGCACTGATTCTAAAGCAAGAGAACAAAAGTATGTCAGTAAGATTAAAAGATACTGAAGAATCTCTGTATCAGAAACAAAGCTCTTTATCAAAATTAGAAAACTATTGTAAAAGTCTTAATCAAGAAGTAGCAAGCCTGGGTGAAAAAATTAAGATATTAGAAGATGACAAATGTCTTTTACAGGAAGAATTAGAAAATGTTCAAGAAATATCTTACAAAGTGAAAAATGAAAAAGAATGTTTGGAGACAGAGCTGCTCAGTCACATTAAAAAATTGGATGAAGCAACAGAGGGATTGAAAGCCAAACAGTTACAAATCAACTTGCTCTCACAACAGTTGCAAGATTTAAAAGAAGAGAAATGCAACACAATTAGAGAAAAGGAAGAACAGCAGCTGCATCTTGTCAAAGTACTTGAAGAAAAAGTGAAATCTGCTCAGAGAGACAATCATGGAACAAAAAACAAAACAAAAGAATTGCAAGAACTTTTAAAGGAAAAACAGCAAGAGATCAATCAGTTGCAAAATAATTCTATTAAATATCAAGAAATAATTTTGGACTTAGAAAAAACTATGAAATTGTCACAATCCAAAAGTGAAAGATTAGAGAAAGATTTGAACAGCACAGAAAGAAAGCTTACCAAATCAAATGAAGAGATGCAGAGAAAGTTGTCTTTACAGAAAACTTTACTGGATGAGTGCAGGACTGAAAGAGATCACTTAGCAAATGAGAACTTAAATATTAAAAAGGAACTTAAGAAGAAAGAAAATCAAATATTAATTAAAGAGAGAGAATTTGAGAGCCAACTGGAGGCCAGTCTTCAGCAGCTAAATGCAACTTGCCGAAAAGAATTGTTAAATTTCGAAGAAAAATACAGCGTCCTTCAAAGAGAGAAGGAAAGAATCCTTGGTGAATATCATCAGTTGCAAAAAGAAATTGGCATTAAGGACATTCAGAATAAGACCCTTCAGTCTGAGCTGGATGATGCCTTAGCCAGATTGGCAGCTTTTGCCAAGTGCATGTCTTCCCTTCAAAATGACAGGGACAGAGTCATTGATGGAATGAAAAATTGGGAAATACAGTTCAAAGAAGTTATTGACAACAAACAACAACAGATAGATGCCAATAGAGTAATAATATCATCCCTACAAGAAGAAATAAAGAGTAAAATGTTCCGAATTCAAGAACTAGAATGCAGAAGTTCTGTGCTGGAAGATGCAAAGAATGCAGACTCACACAATTTCAGTGAACTTTCTCAAATAAAGGAAGAAAATGTTACTCTACAGAACAGACAGCATGAACTGGCAGCCGCTTTGCAGTCAAAAGAAGGTTTGTTGCAGAAACTGATGAAAGAAAAAGAGTCTTTTAACCATCTCATAAACAGTAATGCTTTAGAAAAAGAGAGAGAAGCATTTAATTTGACAAGAAAAGAAGAGAAAATTAAACAGCTTCTGTTGGAAAATAATGAGCTCCAAGCTGAATTGGAAAAACAGATTGCCATTTCTAACCAAATGAAGTCAATGCTGAATAAGAAAGATACAGAAATCTCTCTTCTAATTTCATCAAAAGATACAGAAATTTCTGAATATCTTGCTCTAATACAAACTCAGCATAGACAGCAGGTTTCAGAATATGATCAGCAGATAAAAACTCTGCAGGTGGCCAAAGAACAATCTGATGAAGCCTGTCAAAGGATGAAGGATGAGTTGAAAAATCTTCACGCAAAAGCTGAGAAAGCAGTTCAAGACAAGGTTGAAATTGCCAGTGAAATTGATGCCTTTAAAAAGGCAATGTCATCTCTTCAAAATGACAGGGATTCCTTGCTTTCTAAACATAAAAAGCTAGAATGTGAGCACAGACTTGCTTTATGCGAGAAAGAAACACTTGCAATGGACAGTGCAAATCAAAACAGAATACTGAAACAAGAATTAAGGAAGTTCTTAAATCAGATAGATGACCTTCATTCTGAAAATGCAATGCTCACAGCTCAACTCATAAAGTATAGGGAAGATCTGAACCAGGTTTTATCACTAAAGGATAATCAGTTGAAAGAATTGCTTACACAAAAACTGGAAAGCATCAAGAATCTTGAACAGGAAAAACTTGAACTTCAGAAAAAATTGAAAGACATACAGCTGACAGTGAAAGCTGATGAGGAGAACATAGAATCTTTAAGACTGGAGAATGCAAAGCTAACATCAAAAACTTATGATTTAGAGATTCTGATTGCTTCTATAAACAAGGAGAGGTTAATTTCTGAATCTAGAGAGAAATCTTCAAATCTAGAACGAAATAGACTTGATCAGACAAAAGAACTTGCTGTTGACCAGCAGGTTGAAGAACAGATTGAGAAACAAGTACAAGAATTCCAGCAAATGATTGGCAAAAACACAAAAGATTCAGGACAGGATGCCAAGTTACTGGAGGATGAAGCAACTAAATCACCTCAAAAGAAGCTGTTTGAAGTTCAGTTTCAGAACAGAGAACTAAGATCTCAAATTGAATCTTTTGGAAAAGCCATGACAGCTCTGCAAGAAGATAGAAATAGGTTAATTGAGGATTTCAGGGTACTTCAGAATAACTATACTTCTGAACTCAGGTCTGAAAAAAGAAGAGCAGACAAACTGGAAACTGAACTAGATCTCTTCAAATCAAATGTTCTCAGTGTACTCAAAGAAAATGCCCTTTTGACTCAGGCATCGCTGGAAGTGAAAGGCAAAATCACTTTCAACCAGCTTACTGATGAACTTGAAAAGCTATGCAAGCTTTTAGATACCCGAAACCTTGAAATTAGCAGACTGTCATCTGAGTGTGAGAATTATGCTCAACAGATGGATGCCTTTTCTAAGGCTATGGCCAGTCTTCAAGATGACAGAGACAGACTTCTGCAGGAATTCTGCAAGCTGCAAGTATTTCATGAAGCTAATCAGGGCACAAGCTCAATTTCCGTACCCTCTGACTACATCAGTGAGATTAGTTCTCTTAAGCATAATTTGGAGACTCTTCCAAAGGATAGGGATAGACTGGTAAGTAATATTAGGTGTGATGTCCTATGATATTAATGAAAAAATAAAGGCTAAAGTTGCAATTCTGTACACTTAGCAGGGAGTTAGTCCCTTTGATCTCAAATGGGACTTACTTCTGAATAGACATGTAGAGACAGTACTAATGTATTTTTTCTTTTTCAAATTTAATATGCTTGAACTTGCTTGCTGAATAAATAAAAATTGAATTATATATCTTTGTATATATACCATTGTAAAATTTGCTAACTGTAGTTCTTCAGAAATAATGAACCTTGTTTTCTTAACCCATTTCTCTTCTTTAGGCTAAGGAAAGTGCTAATCTTGCAACAGCTGAGTTATCAAAACTAAAAGCCAAAGTGAATGACCTCAAAAGAGACTTGAACCAGACAAAAGCTTTCCATGAAGAGGCTGAGAAAGAAAGAGTTTCATTACAGACTGAACTAAGTAGATTGCGGTAAAGTAATTTTAAGCATGAGTTCCTTGGAAAAAGTGTGGGATAAAAATAGCATAAATAAAATGATGTTAACATCTAAAAGAAATATTGGAAAAAAGAGAGCAAGGTCTAATAATTCTGGTATTTTTGATTCAGGCCTTCAGTTACAGCTAGCAAAAGGCCCTCAAATTTATGAATCTAAACTGGAATTCAGTTGAAAGGTCTCTAATTTGGACTTAGAATATTTTAAGTTTATTTTGCCTTAAAATAAATTTAGACAGATTTATTTGGACTTAAGTTTGTCATATGTTAATATTGCTGTCATCATCAAATGGTATGCATTTTGGGGCTATCACTTGAGTTACTACCATTTATTCATGGAGTTTTGCAGCAATGTACTTCCATGGAAGAAATGCCTTCAGTGGTGGAGTTGTTCCCTCCTGGGACTTCTGCCCTATTATAACTGCACTCAGACAGCTGTTCAGGGGAGTTAGACTGAGTTCATCCTGATTGATTGATTGATTGATTGAGTGAATGTATTTCTATACTGTGAAATAGTAAGAAAAATCTCTGATTGGTTTCAACACAAATATTAAAATTACAATTAAAATTATTTAAAGTACAATTTTAAAAATAATACAGTTACAGTAATAATAATGCATAGCAATATAGGACCAGTAAAATGGAACAAAATTTAATTGGATTGCAGTAAAGTACATTTTAATCATTAATTTAATTACAGGCCACAGAAAGTTTGGGTGAAAAGATGCATTTTCAGGAGGTGTTTGAAAGTTGCCAAAGTTCCTGCCTTTGGAACTAAAAAGAGAGTTTTTCCGCAAGGGGGATGTTATTGTGAAGGCCATTTTCATAGTATTGATAGTTTTCATGACAACTTTCTGATAATTTTGGAATGACCAGCAAGACTTTCTCTGATTATCTTTGTGGTCAGTTTGAGAGAGAGAGATGAAGTTGGACTCTAGGTACCCTGGTTCTACATTGTTTAGGACTTTGTATGAACCTTAATAGGCTGCCGGTATGATTCTTTTAGCAGAAGTATTATGTGAGCATAACTGGGTTTCCCAGCTCTAACTGCTGCATGCTGCTCTAGCTGTAGCTTTTGAACCAGGCCCAACTGTGGCCCCACATCAGTGTATTACAGTAGTCTAATTGTGAGGTTACCAGTGCATGGATTGCTTTGGCTAGATTCTCCCTGTCCAGGAATGGACATACCAATCATAGCTAGTAGTGAGCATGCCAGGCATCACAGTCACCTGGGCCTTCAGTGACAAAAATGGGTTTAGACTCACTGCCATACTATGTACCAGCTCCTTCAGAGGAAGCATAACCTCACCCGGAACAGGCACATTCAGTTCTGAGACCTGAGAACTGCTAACCCATAGAGTTTCTGTCTTATTGGGATTCAGCTTCAGTTGATTAACCTTCATCTAATCTTTAACTGCATCCAGGCAGCACTCAGAATGTGCATGGCCTCTTTTGTTGACTGCTGATGACAGCTTCATACAGATGCTGCCTTGTGGCACCTACAGTTCAACTGACATGAGGCTGAGGTGCAATCACCCAATGTTGTTCTGTGGAACTTAGTCACCCAAGTTTGAGGCAAACTACTTGTAAAATAGTGCTTCCAACCTTTCAACTCATGAAGGCAGTCCAGGAGAATATTGGACTGATTGATGGTATCAGTGAGATCCAAAAGAAGTAACAAGTTCACACTTCTCTGTCTCTCTCCCAAAGAAAGTCATATATCAGGATACCCAAGCTAATTCTCTTCCAAAACTGGGCTTGAATCCAGACTAGAATAGATCCAGATAATCAGCTTAATTTAAGGACACTTTGCTATTGAGATGCCACCACTTTCAAGTGCCTCAGGAATGAGGCAGTTGGAACCCATCATAGTTGGCATAGATCTCTGGATTCAAGAAAGGCATTTTCAGAAGTGGTTTGCAACCATTGCCTTCTTCAAGGCAGTAGGGACCACACCATTAGGCAGTGATGTGTTTACCAGTCCTCAGATACATTCGGTCGACCCCCACAGTTTGCTTAAATACACCATGAAGGCCAAAAGTCAAGAGAGCATGTGGTGGGCTATACATATAACCCAAAAAAGCAAGGATCAAATGATGTACTGGACACCTGAACAGACAGTGCACAAATAGCAGTGTGCAAATCAGCACAAAGGTGAGTGATTTAATCCTCAAACTGTCCTGCAAACTCATCACAGAGCATTCCAGGATTGTGTTCACTGGATTACATGAAAATCACCCTTGGTCCTTTCAGCTAGATCGTTCTTTTGCCACCTTTACCAAACAGTAGGCAAGATCATACACTCTTACACATATCCAGTCACCCTAATGGCAAGTCTTACTCCACTTACGTTCCAGCCGTCTTCTGAGATTGATGAGACCAGATTTCACCAGGAAGTGATCTAACAATGACAACAGGGTGATTTCTACCTCTTCATATCCAGACCACCTTCCCATGCCCCTAGGCAACTGGCAGCCATCTGAGCAGGGGGTTGGGCCTGATGGTCCTTTGGCCCTTTCCAATTCTAGTATTCTATGATTCTAGGTAAAGGCCAACTTAGTAGTTTGCCTTGCCCTGTGTGTTGGGCCAGTGACAACAGAGTACCATGGCTGTCACAGAGGCCATGAAGTCCTGATGACCAAAGTTCCGGTCCTGTTAATGAAGCCTCAGCATGGATGTTGAGGACCAAAGGCCTAGGGCTCTCCAACACCATATCTAAGACTACCATCCATCAGGGATTCCTTTGGGTAGCGCGGGGGGGGGGGGGCAGTGCACCAGTAGCATACCCAAGATAAGGTACAGGCTTATATAGCCTGTCTCAGGTCAGAGATTTCCTGGCATCTGCATCCCCCTGCCCTCCAGCCTCACCAGCACCACAACCAAGTCAGGGGACACAGCCTGTCCACCAGAACTTATAGAACAGAATGGGATCAGAGTGGGAAATAGCTTGCAGATACCTAGGCCCTTCAACACTGTGACTTTGTTCCCCGTCATACCAAATTCCACCTTACTCGTGGCAACCCTTCCAGAGGCCTTTTCTGCCTCCATCGTTTCTCACACATCCTGGCTTTTAGTTCCTCCTTTCCCAGGCATTAGTATGAAGAACTCCTCCCTCCTGCGCGCGCGCACACACACATGCACACACCAGGGCTTGTCCTTATGAGTCTCTTCCTAGAAGAGTCTAGTCACAGGTGAGGTTCTGGTCCAGTTCAGCCATAGCAAGGTCTCCACATGCTAACAATCAGCAGCAAGCTGCAGTAGCCAAACACTCAGACACAGCAAAGCAAGTTGTGTTTCAAGAACTCTATGAACGTTAATAATGACTTTGTTTAACAGTGGTTTTTTTATTATTGTCTAGCATGGAAAAAAATCTTCTGCTGGCAGAATCTCAAGGACTTCAAAATCAATTCCAGGCAACTCTTGCAGAAAAAGAGCAACAGATTGCAGAATTACAGAGAGTGCATCATGAAGTAATATCTCAGGGATCTATATCTGCTGGTAGCAATTATCCAGCTAAGGTAAAACAATCTTTTCAAGAACCTTTTAAGAACATCCAGAATATATAACATTCTATAGCCTTGTTCAGGTATTTGCCTGAATGCATGAGGGAAAAGCTGTGTTGGAGGACATGGCTGCACACAGTGATCTTATCCCATCAGTTCCCATCATAGCTTTTATATTTAGAGCAAGATAGTTTTGCAAGTCATACCAATTCTGAAGCGGCTCACAGAGTAAGAGTTATGTGTGTGTAAACATGTTCTGTGACATTGAAAATTTCTCAAACCCGAATTTCTCTGTTGGGGTCTATTCAGAGTGGATTGTACTCTTCTATCAGGCTCAAGAAGCAGGAGTCACCTGACTAGGCATTTTTTTTCTACTTTTGCCACCTCTGTTCTTTCTCTGCCTTGCTCAAAATTAGGTGCCCTGTATATTTCCCCCAAAGAAATAAAATTCCTAAGCCTTTCTCTCTGAATTTGTCCTTCCTCCGTGTAAACCTTATGGCATTTCTTGTTGTTCTGTTCATAATCTTGCTATTCTGTTCTTATCCAAGCCTCAACCTTTCTTCTTTTATTGGCTTTCCTTTCCTGCCAGCTTCAATACCTCCACCAAAGAAACATGCTTGAGCTCAGGCTGCAGAGAAGGCAGAGGTCACCTTCTCTAGTCTTCAAGGCAAATGAGTACTGGGGTGCCTGACGTTAGTGTGTCTCCGAAAACCCAGAGAGTAGCTGTCAGAGCAGGGCATATGGAATTCCCACTCACTGCTCAAAGCCTAGCAAAAAACCGACAGGCTCTCTTCTGTCAGGCACATTTGGATGGAGCAAGACCAGAAACAGTAATGCCTGTATCAGGGCTGTTTCATCCCTTCACCAAAGCACTGCAAAATCTCTGAGCTAGTTGAGATATGGATGGCAGTACATGCCTATAATAAAATGTACCGAAAATGATAGCTTGTTCTGTCCTTTTAGTACTGGAGCCAGGATAAACATTCTTTTCATATGTTAGGAATAATACTGTGTCATTCTTGACAAAGCTAACAGCAGATCAACCATGGCTCTTACCAAAAGTCAAGCATACACTCCAGAACTGGCATACTTAGTCATATGAGAACTGAACAAAACATCTTTATAAAAAAAATGGCTATTGGAGGTCACTCTGAAACTCTCCCTTATAGATTTCAGTTCTTTTCCCCAGCCTATTAAAACCAGGTCCACACATCTGGAAACCTCTTTGAGAAACTTCCCTAATCTGTCTTCCAACAGTTCATTGTCCTTTCTTGGAAGTTCCACATAGTATTACAAATGCTTAGAAAATTGCTGTTCACCATTAAAATCAGTGACATTAAGTGTCATCAAAGTAGCCTTCTAAATTGACATCACATTATGTGTGTACATGATGTCAAAGATGAGTGCATTTTTAGTCAGGGAACAGCTATACTTCATTCAAAAGATCAGGATGGCTCTCAGACCTCAAATTCATGTTTCATCACAGAGTTTCCACTGAGCATACATCACATTCTTCCTTCTTTCTGCCAAACCTTCACATTCTACCAAAAACTCATGTTATAAATTAGACATCCATACAGTCCTCAAAATTAATACATCCATTTTAAGTAATCAGACAGCTTATTTTTCTCCTTTCACTCCCGTTCTACTTCAGTCATAGTCTGATTAAAACCAAGATTTCATTAGCATAAGGAGTAGAACACATTTCTGTCCACTAAACATAATAGCACTTTTGACCAAGCCAGATGCCAGCAGTCCTATCATTAAATGTCTCTGTTTTCCAGAACTGCAGTCACCTGAGCATGGTACAAACTAGCAGAGTACTTGAGTGGGAAGGGTGCTGAAAAGCATTCTCCCTCCATGAGAAAATATCCTATTCCAGTCAGCATATCACACTGTTCTTTTTCAAAGCCTGTCTGTGAAATCTCCTACACCAACATGGCAATGAACATTGATAATTATCATGGACATTTCTTCTTGTTGGTGTATGCAGTTGTGCAGATCTTACCACTTAATTTGCATTGAGTGGCTGTTTTTCTCCTCTTATATCTTCTCTGAAGGCTATGCATAGATTGTACTACAATCCAGAGATCAAAATATTTCCAAAGGAGCCTCATTCTCCTTGTTCTCTTTTATGACTGTATACTACATTTCATTTTTTAGTAGTTTGTCTGATAAACAGTTGGTTATGGTACCGAACTGAGGATAAGCTTACTCCAAGAGCCAAATGAGTAGGTGTCGTGTCTTCACTGCCTATTAAGCCTAATGGATGGCACTAAAATTAATTCTCTGATTTGGAAGGATTTTAATATATTTAAACTGAATTGTACTCATAATCCTAATTGTTACATCTAAATTCCCAAGCGTTGTCTGTGCTTACTAATATTTATAAAGTTAGGAGATTCATCTGATTAATGCAGTATAGTGCAGTGGCTACTATGTTGGGTGTCAAAGATGGGGGAAATCCAGATAAAAGTCTTCAATCAGTTATGAAGTTTATTGCGTGGCTTGGACAGGTCTGTATCTGTGAGCCTAATTTACCACACAGGGTTGCTGGAAGGGTACCATGAGGTTCTTGGAAGTACCATGATAGGCAAACCACAGTGGGATGTGCTGGATGATATGCGTCGCTTATTAACCTACCCAAGCACATCAGAGAAAAATGTTTTCAAAATACATTGCCACAGGAATATAGAAAGTTCACGTAACATTGCCAATTCTGATTTTTCATTTTGTCCAAGGGATTAGAGACTGTTGCTCTTGTTGGAAGCACAGACCTCCCAGATCAAGTGAAACAGTTGCTGGCTGAGAAGAGCCGGCTTCAAAATGAACTCCAACGCTGCCTTCAGGAGATGCACCAAAGAGAGCTACACTTCCAGCAGATTAATTCAAAGGTAAAGAAGAAAGTGAAGGAGCAATTGGGATAAATGTGATCTTCAGTACATATGAATAGTTGCTTCCCTCTCTCCCTATTATCTAAATTCCTCAGTGCATGGAAAGTGCCCACTTTGTTCTGACAAAACCCAGTGAGAGCAAAATACTTAGTTCCCTTGTTTTTTAGTTATATCCTATACAAACCTGGACAGGGTGACCAGTATTAAATGTGGTAGGATGGTGAGGTAAAATTGTGTATTTTGCAAATTGCCTCATTCACATGAAACCAGTCAAAAGTGAAGCAAAACCTGTGGAGAGCGATCCCTGCTCCTTTTAATGTTGGACTGAGTTTGTTTATTTCATTTCAATACCATCCAACAGCTGAAGTTGTGGGTATATAGGGCCTATTAATGAAGGAGGAGGGTGAGGTCACTGAAGGTGGTGATGGCAGGAGCAGCCATCATTCTCCTCTGGGGAACACTGAACAGCTGCTGCTGTAATTGACCAATATGTCCCACAGTGATGTAGAATCTCTGCCGGACATTATAGGTACTTATAATGGCAGATTCCCAGCACTCATGAAAGTCTGGAAAACAGGCTAGGACAAGATATGACTAGATAACAGGTGATGTGTGCTCCCTCACCAAATGCTTGAGGATGATGTAAAGCCTGCTGCTCTACTTATTGTTCTTGCCGCCCGTTCATTTAATCGAATCTTCACATTTATTGCTCCTTCAGTTAGTGAAGACCATTTGATTTTCAGGCATTTGTGAGACTGTAGAGCAACTCACTTATACAGCCAGCAAATGTTTGATTTATTTTCCCCATAGGGATGGATGAAATTGTTTTTCAGTTTCTACAAATTTGAAATTTTTCAGGCACAAAAGTTTGTTAACACTTCATTTCTACATCAGTTTGCAATTGTTTTTTATAAACATTCCACACAAAAATGGAATTTGCCTTACTGTATACATTTTATATACATTTCTCCTAGAAATAAAAAGGCATACATTATACCAAATGTATATAAATAGCATACACTTTTGTACACAGCCTGCATAAACGAACGTATTTTTGTAACCCTTTTTTTATCAAAGAACTGCGTCAGAAAATTACCTGGTTAGCCCAGGATGTGCAACTTAGGATTGTTTGTATTAAAATGTAGACCAAATGCATTTATCTTATGACAGGTTTGTTCTTGTCTTGGGAATTTATGATATAAGATTGGTATACTTAGCTACGTAAATCATGGACCAGCGGGAAATGCAATAATCCTGAACAAGTTGCCACCATGGAATTTTTTCCTCAATGTAAACAAAGCAGCTTGTTATGCAGGTTGGTGCAATAGTCCTATGACTTGCAAAAGCTTCAGGAATAAAGACTTTCATAATCACCCATTCCCCCACCCCCGAATAGTTACAAGATAAATGCTTTAAAACTTCTTTTAAAGCTTTCAAAAATGTTTTGTTGTTCAGTTATTTCTGAGGCTTAGGAAGAGAAAAAGTCAAAAGTCTTGCTGGTAGTTTACCGCATCCAAATTATTTCAGGCAATGCAGTCAGTAGAAGAAAAAAATATATTGACTACACAGCTAAAAACAGTGTCCCAGACTTTGCGGGATAGTCAACTCCATTATGCTGATCTGCAGAATTGTTACTTGCAGCTTGAAAGAGAATATCAAGTACAAGTTTCTTCTGTTCAAGGTACTGCTCAGGTAAGAAAGCACAGAAAGCTTTTAATTCTCATTGCTGGAGAGTCTAGTTTAACTCAGTTTCTGAAGGCCTAAGGAATCTCCCATGTTTGATTGAATTGCTGACTTGCAAGGAGAAAGGGGTTGCACCTAGTTTGTTTTGAAAAAGTTGGCGGGATGGTAGAAGAAAGAGAGGATGAGATCCTTGCTCAAAGCTTTTCAACTAGATTGAATGTTCAAGAGAGGAAAGGAAGGGTACAAAGCCTGCTCATACCTTTCTTTCAGACTTATTCCTATCTGTTTGTCTGATATGAGCCATCTTTCTTTATTCCTATCTAATTTACAAAATTAGATTGAGCATAAAACTTGAGTGTCCATTGAATAGAGTTTAGATTCTTTTAACACACGCACACACAACCCTATATACACACAAATATATGCACATTATTAAATAACCTCAAGAAAAGTTCAAGAAAGTGTGGCGCTAATGCAAGGCACTGCCACTGTTTTCTCTCCCTGCCAACCAAAGCACTATATATATACTATGTACTGTCTTCACAGCCTCAGTGACAACATGACTCCATCCTTCAAGCCAAGGTTGAAAGGTGACAGTGTTCCCATTGTAACCTATCTTTTGGATGTACCTTGAACTTGGAAGGAAAAAAATTCCAACATACTGGTTAGGAGGAGACGTGTGGGGTGTCAGTATTCCCTACTGAGTATCAAGCAGGAAGGATTACTCAGTGTCATTCCACTGAAGACAGGAATTTCTGTCTTTGTTCTACTCTAGTTCCTGGTTTTGGTTTCAGTCCAAGAAAGAACACTATGGGCATACAAGCAGATATAATAGCCAGCATGCTTTTGATATTTTGTGTTGCTTGGTTGATTAGCCAAGTTCAAACTAAAAACTTACCTTTATGTGCAAATGAAAAAAGGATTCAGCACTGCACTAACAAAGCTCTGTTGTGAGCACTGTTCTCAAGTTGTATATGACTTTTTCAGTTATTTGCATTGGAGTCTTCCCTGTTGGTCAGGGATGGTGGATCCATAAACCAGGAAATTATTAATAATTTCTTCTAAGCATTTTTGAAACTTTCCGTAATACAAAGCCTCATACAGCTGCCTTGAGATGTGGTGGGCTCTCCCACACTAGAGACTTTCAGAAAGAAACTTGGCAGCCATCTCAGTGGGATGGTGTAACTTGGTGTACTGCAACAGCAGGGGGTTGGACCTGATGACCTTCATAGCCCCTTCCAATTCTACTATTCTTATGATTCTATGATTAATTCTTAGAACAACTGTATCTATGCTGGAACAAAAGCTTTTGTTAAGATGAATGTTGCAAACTCTAAAATGCAAAGTCTTTCTTGAACTCAAGAAAACAAGACTAGTCACAATTTCTGGATTGTCATTCAGGAATATGTTTCTACTGAAAGCTTCATCAAATGCCAAAATACTGTGCTTTGTTTAGCAATGCACTGTTGATTCAATAGGATTCACAAAAGTATAATCAGACACTTAGAAATTGCATAAGTATTTTTTCTCTGGCTGTAGATGTGCCAACATCTATTTCAATCCAAATCATTTTCATTTATATGCTGTATGATTTTTAAATGATCATCTATTTTAGAAATATAAATATGGTTTGCTGTTATTAAGACCATATTTTTGACAATATCCCTCACTTGGTAAAAGTGTTACAATCACACAATTAAGGCTAATTCGATTTCTTGATTAACCAATATTCTTGGTTAATATTTCAACCTGTTATAAACCCTGGTTGATGAGAACATGATTAACCTTAACTAAAAAGATGATAGTATAACATTTAAGGCAGGCAGAAGATAGGTGTGCGAGTGAGAAGGGATGGGAGAAAGACAAATTACCGGCTGTGCCACATTTAAGGGACACATTGCTCTCATATGTTCATTGTACTTGTTTTATCATACCTGAAGAGTTTACTTGAAGGCTTAAGGTAATTGTAGTAAATTTAGTAAACCAGCTTATCAATTAATTTTGGAAGTATTAAGTTAAATACGACCATACAGAAATATGAAATAGGTTAATTTTATTAAACAGGAATTTAATATTTTTGAAGAATTTCTATATAACTACCATATTAACTGTTGTATTTAGGATGAACTACAGGCAGAGGTTCCTCCAGGCGCTCCCCAAGAAAGAGCTGCTGTTATTGTTGAAATTGACAATATGGAGCTTGATAAACTCAGGAAAAGGTCAGGATTGTTTCTACTTTCTGGTAAAGTATAGCTCAAATACAAACTATTGCACATTTTTCATGACAAGACAGAAAATTGTAAGAAAATATTACTGTAGTTAAAATAGTAACTTTTTAAAAGCTTTATTCTTAAAACAAGTAATATCTGTATAGTGCCCTATTAAGAATAAGCTCAGAAAGCAAAAGATGTCAGTTGCTTTGGCTTTGAATTAAATATTTAGAGTTTGGGTGTTCTCTAGGCTTGCAGATATGGAAGCACAACACGATTCAGCACAACGAACTGTTTTGCAACTAACGGAAGCATTGTCCGAAGAGAGGAACAAGCGGCAAATTGCAGAAGAGGCCTTGGGACTTTCTGAGGAACAAATAAAAAGGTAGCAGTATCTGAGGAGATCTTTTGGGCTAATTTAAAAGTGTGTCGATGTTGGTAGGCAAGCATTGTGTCATTGAAACCATTTATTAACAAAACTATTGTTGCAGTGGACTAATGCATTCACCCATCAGGATGTATTGACATTAAAGCACTCAATATTAAATATATTACTCTGCATTAGATGGAAGGTCCAGATTATACACGTTCATTTCTTTTTATATTTTCTATTTATTTCCTCACAGTTCACTGTATTTATTTATTTATTAAAACATTTCTATGCTGCCCCATTCGCCAAAGCCTCGGGGTGGCTCACAACATAAAATACAAAAATAACAATATAAAAATAACAATATAAAATAAATAACAATATAAAATAATGTAACTTACTGCAGTGGCTTTCAGACTTCCTTTTCCTAGTGACTTCTTGGCTGTGAAGCCAGTGCACACTGTGGGCATTTGAGAGCTTGTTTGAGTGACTATGCAGTTCATAGAAAGAGCTGGTCACCAGCCTGTTGTATTGTGCTAACTGAGGACACATTCCCGCAGGGCTTCCATTTCAAGGCAGTATGAGTTTCTGTACGCAAGAAGGCTTTTCTGCCATTATTCAATGAGGAATCCTTGATAAGCCAAGAGTAGAATACATGCTGAAAAACACCAATTTATTAATAGAGTTCCTATTTTTTCACTGAATTATTACTATTCTTTTACAGTATATCACAGAAGTGAGTACACCCCTCACATTTTGTAAATATTTTATTATATCTTTTCATGTGACAACCCTGAAGAAATGACACTTTGCTACGATGTAAAGTAGTGAGTATACAGCTTGTATAAAAGTGTACATTTGCTGTCCCCTCAGAATAACTCAACACACAGCCATTAATGTCTAAACCACTGGCAACAAAAGTGAGTACACCTCTAAGTGAAACTGTCCAAATTGAGCCCAAAGTGTCAATATTTTGTGTGGCCACCATTATTTTCCAGCACTGCCTTAACCCTCTTGGGCATGGAGTTCACCAGAGCTTCAGAGGTTGCCACTGGAGTCCTCTTCCACTCCTCCATGACGACATCACAGAGCTGGTGGATGTGAGAGACCTTGCACTCCTCCACCTTCCATTTCAGGATGCCCCACAGATGCTCAATAGGGTTTAGGTCTGGAAACATGCCTGGCCAGTCCATCACCTTTACCCTCAGCTTCTTTAGCAAGACAGTGGTCGTCTTGAAGGTGTGTTGGGGGTCGTTATCATGTTGGAATACTGTCCTGCGGCCCAGTCTCCGAAGGGAGGGGATCATGTTCTGCTTCAGTATGTCACAGTACATGTTGGCATTCATGGTTCCCTCAATGAACTGTTGCTCCCCAGTGCCGTTAGCACTCATGCAGCCCCAGAACATGACACTCCCACCACCATGCTTGACTGTAGGCAAAACACACTTAGTCTTTGTACTCCTCACCTGGCTGTCGCCACACATGCTTGACACCATCTGAACCATGTAAGTTTATCTTGGTCTCATCAGACCACAGGACATGGTTCCACTAATCCATGTCCTTAGTCTGCTTGTCCTCAGCAAACTGTTTGCAGGCTTTCTTGTGCATCATCTTTAGAAGAGGCTTCTTCTGGGATGACAGCCCTGCAGACCAATTTGATGCAGTGTGCGGCGTATGGTCTGAGCACTGACAGGCTGACCCACCACCCCTTCAACCTCTGCAGCAATGCTGGCAGCACTCATACATCTATTTCCCAAAGTCAACCTCTGGATATGACGCTGAGCACGTGCACTCAACTTCTTTGGTCGACCATGGCGAGGCCTGTTCTGAGTGGAACCTGTTCTGTTAAACTGCTGTATGGTCTTGGCCACCATGCTGCAGCTCAGTTTCAGGGTATTGGCAATCTTCTTACAGCATAGGCCATCGTTATGTAGAGCAACAAATCTTTTTTTCAGATCCTCAGAGAGTTCTTTGCTATGAGGTGCCATGTTGAACTTCCAGTGACCAGTATGAGAGAGTGAGAGTGATAACACCAAATTTAACACACCTGCTCCCCATTCACACCTGAGACCTTGTAACACTTAATGAGTCACATGACACTGGGGAGGGAAAATGTCTAATAATGCCCAGTTTGGACAGTTTCACTTAGGGGTGTACTCACTTTTGTTGCCAGCAGTTCAGACATTAATGGCTGTGTGTTGAGTGAGGGGACAGCAAATGTACACTGTTATACAAGCTACTTTACATTGTAGCAAAGTGTCATTTCTTCAGGGTTGTCACATGAAAAGATACAATAAAATATTTACAAAATGTGAGGGGTGTACTCACTTCTGTGATAGACTGTAAATTATTGGTTAAAGTGCTGGGTATCCAAGACAAAGTATACACATTTTTGGCTGAGCAGTAATGAATCTTTAAATATTGCTCCATGTCTATATAGATGTCATAATATACACTCATTGTCTAATCATGACCAATTTATATACTATAACTGTCCTTATATCCTAGTATACAGTGGTCTGTTTGATGGAAGCATCATGAGTCCCCAGCCCAATTAGTATGGTCTTCAAGCGCTTCCATACATTTTGTAGGTTCTGTTTCTATAATTACCTAAGTCAGATTGCGATTCTTCTAGTGAAGCTTTCTCTTTTAGTTATAAGAAATTCATTTTTGAGTTCTTGGTTGTTGGTGTTTTTTGTTTGTTTTTGTTTGAGGGGTTGTTGTTGCTGTTTTTAGACTTGAATTGAATACTTGCAGGTCGACGCCTAGGGATTATAGTATCCAGATGCAGTCTGATGAGGAAAGGGAAGCCCTGATTATCAACACAAGTGAACATATTATAGTACGAAAGGTAAGCCTATAAATCTTAAAGGTAAGTCTGAGATATTGACTGAGTTTGCGTCATACTAAGGCCCCACTATGGGTGACAAGTCATGGCAGTGGGTGTACTGTGCAAATCCAGATCACTTCCTGTTGATGGCAACACCCATCCTGACCCCCAGTGACTTGCTTTGTGAGTTGTTATATCCACAATTGATATTTAGGTTGTCTGAACCTAGACAAGCAGCCCCATTGTGTGTACCAGGAAATGAGTAGCAAGCCACTTGGCAAGAGTTTCAGAAACCCCTTTGCAGTCTCATTTGGGCTACATCAGTGACAGTCACCCCAGAAGTGCCCAAGTGCCACTCATCATGATGACATAGAAACAAAGCAAGTCAGAAGGGGCTTCCCGGGCCGTCTAGTCTGACCTCTGGCACCAGCCGGCTCCGCTCACGACATTTGTATGTCCAGCCTATCTTTGAACACCCTCACCGATGGGGCCTCAACGACCTCTCATGGAAGCCCATTCCACACCCTCGGGGTCCTAACTGTCAGGAAGTGCTTCCTGGCATCTAAATGGAACCTTGGCTCCCTGAGCTTTGCTCTGTTGGAGCACGCCCTGCCTTCCTCTGCAGGGGAGAACAGGTCTCTACCCATCTCCATGTGACATCCCCTCACATACCTGTATGTCACCAACAGATCCCCTCTGAGTCTCCTCTTCTCCAGGCTGAAGAGACCCATTTCCCTCAGTCTCACCTGATACGGCATCCCCTGCAAACCAGCCACCAACCTTGTGGCCCAACACTGCACTCACTCTAACCTGGCTATATCCTTTCTGTAATGAGGGGCCCAAAACTGAGCATAATACTCCAGTTGCGGGCGCACCAGAGTCATATAGAGTGGTAGTAAAACCTCTCTCGATCTAGAAGCCACACTTCTGGCTATGCAACCAAGGGTGGTGTTTGCCCTCTTGACCACCGCATCACACTGCTGACTCATGTTCAGCCTGCAGTCAACCAGCAGCCCGAGGTCCCTTTCACAAGTGCTGTTCTCCAGCCACTTGTCCCCTAACCTGTACTTATGACACCTGTTCCTATGCCCCAAGTGCAAGGCCTTGCACTTACCCACATTGAATGCCATCCTGTTGTCTCCTGCCCACTTCCATAGTCTGTCCAGATCCTTTTGGATCTGGAGTACCTGCTCCTCAGTTGTGGCCACTGCTCCAGTTTTAGTATTGTCTGCAAATTTGTTCAGCAGACTGTTCACCCTTCTTCCATGTCATTTATGAAAAGATTAAACAGGATTGGCCCCAGGACAGTGACTCCGCTTGTCACTGGTCACCATCCTGATGACAGTTTCTTCCTCTTTTTGCTTACTGTAGCTTTTTCTCCCTTCACTCTTTTTTAGATTATAAATGGTGATCTTGAAATTTAAAGGCAGTGTCAGTCCCTCAAAACTACCAATCTCTATAGATGAATGAGTCTAGCTAAAAATAGAAATGTTTTTACAAAAAAAGGTGCACATTGAGAGCACACAAAATGTTTAAAGTATGGCCAACCAATTAGCTTGGGCACTTTGTAGGGGCTGTCACTGGCTGCCAATTCAGAGATCTTTGTTTGCCGTCTCCAGGAAAAAAATGCGAAAGCGGGAAAAGGCCATGGTGAGCTAAAAAGGGCTTTATGATGGAGAGGATATATCTACACGGAACCCAACTTATGCTGAGTTCAATTATCTCTCAGGTTATCTGTCCTGTGCTGCTTTGGCAGTAATCAATACTCTGTGGCTTAGCACGACATGCTAGCCCTCACATTATTTTCATGGTTGTGGATGTGCAATAGCAAATATCTGGAAGTCATTTGTTTTTAAAAGGGTTTTGCTGGAATCTAAAAAAGATGCACGGAAAATCAGTTTTTGGAAGCTGGTGTAATGGGCAGCAAACCCCATTTTTGACCACCTCTGCTCCAGTGTCCTACTTTGTAATGCTTATCAGATTGCTGAGTTGTAGACTATATTGAGTGTGGCCCTGCATGTGAGCAAGGAGCTGACTGTGGACCCATTAGGAACAACGCCTGCTTATTCAGTGCTATTGCGATCCAAGTTCATCCACTCTGTACATGATCATCAGTTAATTATTACTTATATTGTTAGTTCTTTGCTGGCCCATAGACCCCATAAAAATGATTGTACAAGTTTTCCTAAGTCAGGGCAACAGTTGTACAGTACCTTGCTGAGTTATTCATGCCATAATGAAAATATTTTTCACCTTCACAGTATTGGGTATCTTGTGTACATCAAGTGGTAAAAATGCAGTTCAATCCATTTCAGTTCCATGTTGTAAAACTAAAAATGTGGGAAAATCCAAGGGGAGGAGGTGGATACCTTTGCAAGGCATGGTAGTGATATTTTACATAGAATGTTTTACTAAAGCAAATCTCTTGGGATCCTCTCAGCAGCAAAGTTTAAGCATTCATTTTTGAGAGTTCAATTGGAAGGCATGGGTGTCAAGTGCTATTTTTTAATAGGATTATATGTTTCCCGTCTGAACAGGTGAAAGGAGGAGCCCTTTCTTTCAAGAGATGGATTCGGGGGAGAAGCCTTTACTGCTCCAAGTTGCTAACCTCAAGGGCAAAATCTCGCTATCTCTTTCTCAGTTATTTGGTGATTCTACATCTTCTTGTTCTCTTGTGCCTAACAGGCATCTTATAAATGCACTGAACTTACTGTGTGAACTATTTTCCTTAAAAATAATGGTGTGCCAATTTGAGATGATGGACTTCTCACAAGCTGCTGTTACGCTATGCACTGGACACAATTGTATATACTCTTAGTATATGTAGGTTTTGAACTTCTTTCTTAAGAAGTTTTAAATGTACATCACACTTGCTCCAAAGTTTCCTGAGTTGCTCTTTAACAATGGAATATTATATTTGCTAAGAAAAAGATGTTGTCCTATCAAAACACTATTAAGAAGCTGCTGTAATTGGGTTGTTTAATATTCTTTGGGAAGATGTAAAGGTTGAATGGGTTGTAAATGATATCTTTTCTATATAAATTTATTTTAACAGAGTTGAACTATAAATTTTGCGGGGAACTATTCTCCACTATTGGGTTTCTTGACTTCTTGATTATAACAAGAAGTGCACGGAGTGCAATACAGGGCAGTAGGGGAAGCTGGAATCATTTAAATAAAATCTTAAGAACTGAAGGCATAAATTCCTCTTCTTGTGTTTGATTTGTTGAATATATGTGTGAGGAGATTGAAACAGACCATCAGGCTACAGGTAGTTCCCACTGTAAGAACAACCTGTACTTAGGAACATGCAGACTGCCATGAATCCTGCTTGAATAACTCTAGAGAAAAGCCATGATTATCTCTCAGGAACCATGTGATCATGTAGCTCCCTAGAGATAAGAGTATTCATGGCTTTTCATTCCTCAGTACTGTATACCCAAGCCCAGTGAGTGTCAAGTCACATGTAGGTCCTCAAACAGAACCATGACATTGGCAAGCTTGAGCCCCTCCAAAGTGACCAACAGGCCTGCAGATATTACCCAATTCTATAAAAAGAAAGATAGTTCTGATTATTTTCTCTGTTTTATTTTAGGTTTGGTTTTGTTTGGAACTGTGGCATTTTATTATTATAGTTTATTGTAAATTAGCAGAGACACAGAAATATATTCAGAAAATGAACAAACAAAAAAACAAACAAGACATAGTACTTTACAGTGCTCAAAATCCATCATATTCTTGATCTTGGTATAAGCTATGCAAGAATGATTGTGACCTAGCTTAACTGTATAAGACACTGATTTGAAAGAATGTTCTAAACTGTTTTAAGAACGGTTTCTTTTGTTTTTCACCATACTGTATACCAACAAACATGCAAACATACATATAGATTATTTATCATTACTGTATTATTACAATGCTGTATTGTGTTTAGGATAGTTTAGTGAATATGGAAATGTTTCTTAAGTGTTTTATATGCATAGAAAGGTAAAATTTATACATACAGTAAGGCAAACATTTGGCTTACTCATGTAATCCAACTTACATACAGATTCAGCTTAAGGCCATTCTCAGGAACAGCACTTGTTCTTAACCCAGAGACTAAATGTAAAATGTAAAAAATAGTCAGATAAGATGGGCATGTTTCTTCCAGTTTTTGAAGTTATCCAGGATGTGCGCACCACACTGTAGTATGTAAATCTCAAACCAAATCACTTTTGTAGGCACTGCCCACAAACCACATCTTTAGTCTTACTGCATAAATGAACAGTACCCTCCAAGTTTTCTTATGTACCATCTTGGTACATAAAGTCTTCATAGCCTTAAGCTGCAGGTATTTTATTTATGTACCATGTCCTTTTACCTGTCCAGAATCTCCCATCAGTCCACTTCAAAGAATGACCTCACATTCTGATATTATGGGAAGGGGGAGAAATGTCGCACTATCAGCATTTTCTATTATATGCATAACTTTTTACAATTCTGTCATGTCACCTTTTACTTGCCTTTTTTTCTAAGCTGTGCAGTCCCAAACAGATCCTTCTCTCATAGGGAAGTTGCTCCAGCTCCTGAATCATTTTAGTTGCTCTTTTTCACACTTTTGCCAACTCTACAATATTTTTTAGCTGTGGTGACTAAAACTTTAAACATTGTTCCAAATGAAGTTGCACAGTAGGTTTCTCTAAGAACAGTGGTATTGACAGCTATATTCATAAGTTCCATTCTAAAAATGCTGATCATAGTATTTGCCTTTTTCTCAGCAGCCACACTTGGGTCAACAATTTGATTTAACTGTCCTCCATAGCCCCAACATCTGTTTCTTTGGTTTGTCATGACCAGCTCAAATCCTGTCAGTGTGTATAGAAAGGGATTTTTTCCTTAACATGGATCACGTTATGCTTGCTGACTCTGAACCCACATTTACCATTTGGATGCTCATTTTCTTAGTTTGCAGAAATGCTTTTGGAGCTCATTCCGATCCCTTTTTGTTTTAACAATCCTAAATAATTTGGTGGTATTAACAAACTTGGCCATGGCAGTGGTAACTCCTAGTTCCAGAACATTGCAAAACAGCATGTCCTTTTATGCTTACTAATTTTATCTTTTCACTAATTCATCTATAAAACATAGAACTTCGTCTTTTTCATAGCATGTTCCTAGATCAGTGAAAGGTTCAGTCAAAAGCTGCAGCATATCAACCCAAATACATCTACTAGACTACGTCATCAAACTGATTCAAACTTCATATGGTAATGCATTTTAATGTAACATTTATTTATATATGAAAATTGTAAGCTTAAAAAGGAGGTACACACAAGAAAAAATACAGAAGACCAAGTAACTCTTTTTGAAGAAGTATATTGCAAGGTAAGTTATTGTGAAAGTATCTAAGTCAAATGTGATAGTATTGGACTTCCTTGGCAAGTTTCCACTTAGTACATATTAAATATGATAGTACTGGGTTCAAACTTGCAAGTGGTGTGGTTCAACAACATATCTCATACCAAAGTCTGAGTGTCACTACTTAAATTCGGGGTAAATTGGAAATTCCGGTTCTAGGACATAGTCATTTTGGGCATCAAGAAATAAAGCCTCTTGGTTCTCACTGAAACATGCATTAATTCAGTCAGTGTGAGGATGATGATTTACCCATTCTTAAAACACTTTGTTGTTTTGATGCTTCACTGGTACCATTTTTCATCACAAGATCACCCTATGAGTTCTTGTTTAAAAGTTGATAGTGCTCTCTCAGAGTGAGGTATGACTGTGTCTCCTGTTCCCAAACAGCTACCTGTACTCTAACTGGTCTGGCCATTTCTTGTCAGCCAGAGGTAGCAAGGTGGTTCCTGTTTTCAAGAGGAAAGTAATACAAACACCAAAGTAAAGACTAAACAATGTATTGAGATTTGAGCAGTGAAGTGAAGACAAGCCATTAAAGGAAAACTGGCCTGGAATTTAAATGCTCAGGAGAAAGATGGCTTGCTGTCCGTCCCCTGAAGACAAAGGATTTACCTATTACTAGCAAGATGCCATTGGAACCCAAGTTGGGATCCTTGCCAAGAAGCTTCTCAGGAACCACAAGCTGCATTATGTGATCCCTTTCTTGTCAATTTCCCTCCCAGCCCAGGGAACATCCCCTCATTCTGCCATTCATCTGAGACTCTCATGTGGTACATTCAGAGGTCATCTAACTGGTGAAAGAGATGCAGAATATTGAAAGAATCCTGAGAAACTGCTAGACTGGCTTCAGCAAGCCATGGTGGACAGCAGTGATCTTGGTCACTAAAATAGCAGTGTTGAATTAAAGACTTGGGGAAGGTGGAAATAAGGAGAAGCAAAGCATTTAAGTCCCACTCAGTCTAATTTCTCAGTCATCTCATTATACAAGAAGACAACACATAATATATCAGAACAATTTTCCATATTGGAATATATAGTAATCACAGTGAAATTGTGTTGAAACTAAGCACCATGTCTGATATTACAGAAATACATCATTTTTCCTAATACAACTTTTTAAAAGCAGTTATTACAAAAACCATGGCAGATGTTCAATGATCAAGAGAGTTTAATTGTCTTATCAGAAGATACCTAGAGAGAGAGTCATGCATGCATAAATAACGTTTCTTCTGTGTGTATGCAGCCCACACATCTCAAATTAACACCTGAAAAGCAAGCCTGGGGGAAAAGGCAAGTTAATAGGTGGTGATTATTGAAATAGGAAGCATCTAATGTGACAACTAAAGAGCTGGTTGTTGGAACATATGTCACGTGAAAAAGAAGAATTGCCTGATGAGGTTTGAAGGAAGTAGAAAGTTTGCTACTAATTGAACTGGTACACCATTAAGCTGTCAGATGCAGATGTGCCAAAAACAAAACAATCCCCCCAACACCATCTAAGTTCAGTGCTTTTTCCAAACTCTTCAAATACAAGAGAGAGTGTTTGGGGGTTGGTGGTGGGGAGGTCACTTCTGAACAGAATAAAATCAGTTTGAGGAAGAATTATTAAGCATCTCGGAATGACGTATAAATTCAATTCATTCCTATTTGGGTTTGGTGTGAATATCATGTCTTTTATTTATTATTTATATGCTAAATAAAATAAGTCCTCTAATGGGTCAATAACTGATTAAAGAATAGAAAGTAGATGTAAAGAGCCAGTGTGATATATTAGTTAAGAGTGCAGGACAGGGACTCAGGTGATCTGGGTTTTAGTTCCCTGTGCAGCCATGCAGCCAGCTGGGTGACTCTGAGTTTAGTCACAGACTCTCAGGCCAACCTATCTGCTATTGTGAGGATAAGATTGAGAAGAGGAAGAAAATTATGTAAGCTCCCTTGATCTCCTTGAAAGGAAAACAAGCAGCATATAACGATAGCAAACAATGGGGACTGTAATAGGACCATGTTTTTTAAATATATTCATAAATCATTTGGATTTCGGAGTGATCAATAAGTGACCAATTTTGCTAATGAAATCAGGTTATATAGAGTGGTTGAAACAAAAACTGATAGTGAGGAACTCCAGAAGAATCTCTGAAGTCGGATAAAGTGCAGCAAAATGGCAAATGTAAATCAATATTAACTTAAAATGATGTATGTTGGGGCAAATCCAATCAGCTTATCTTTGAAATTGGGGGAAAAATCCCAATTTCAACTGATGGAATTTGAACCAGTGCTGACTTACCAAGAAAAAGATCTTGACCACACTTTGAATACTCTGTACAGCACCACTAAAAGATTATTGTAAAGTTGGAAACAGTGCCAAAAAGAGCAATTAAGATGATTAAAGGGCCGGGAGCAACTCTCCTCTGAGGGATGGTTACAATAATTTGAATTGTTTAGCACAGAAAAAGTAAAGTGGGATATGATACAGTTATACAAAATTATGCGTGCTGCATAGAAAGTAGAAAGGCAGACCTTTTTCTCCCTCTTTCACAGTGAAAGAACCTGGGGTCTTCCCATGACGCTGATTGGTGGAAGATGTAGGACACATAAAAAATGTACTTTTTCACAGAGCACGTAATTGAACTATGGAATCCACTTCCACAGGTGGATGGACAAATTCATGGAGGATAAAGCATGAAAGAGGATCCGTGGCTACTAGTCCTGGTTTGCTACATGCTATCTTCACTATCAGGGGCAGCATGCCTGAGTATATCAGCTTCAGGGGAACATGGACAGGAGCATGCTGTTGC